TATTAATGTAATTAATTTAAATATATGTATTGCATAATTATAAAGATAAAAAGATTGTTAAAGGTTTTTAATAAGGAATAATAAGATAAGGGATAATAAGATAACTTTTTTAATTAAAGGCAATGCATAGTAAAAGTGTAAAAGTTTAATTTATATCTATTAATTACTTATAAATTACCTTATAATGTAATGCAATTAACTAACTTTAAATTATATTCCTTTTAAGGGCAAACCTTATATTTAAGATTTTTATAATAGTATTTATGTATTAAGGGTTTAAGTAATAAGGGTTACTACTATCTTATGGGTACTTAAGTTGCTAGCTTGTATTTAATAAGCGTCCTTAGTTAGATTTCATAGTTTAATATTTATATATTAAAATTAAAAGTGTTGTTATTTATTAACTTAATTAATATTCTTTATCTTGCACTTTACTTTCCCTTTATTTAAATACCTTATTTATTAATTTTTATAACTTATTAACTTTTATTCTAACCTATCCTTTAATTATACTTTTTGATTTCTTTATTTAATAAGCGGTATTAGGTATGGCAAAGCTTAGGCTAAGCTAAAACGGAAAATTTTAGTTATTTAGAGATTAAATAATTATGTTAATAATTTAAAGGTTTAGTTTAATTCTTATTTAACCTAGGCGCTATAGGTAATGAAAGTATAAGTTTATAAAATGCATTATAAATAAAATGTTTATATGGTAATTATAACCTTTTAAGCTTTTTAACTTTATATAATTAGGATGTTTTAATATATATATATACTTAATTAACCTTTTCCTATTAATTGCATACTTTAATAAATTAACCAACCTTTAACTTCTTAATAATAACTTAGGCCTTCTTATATGCCTGCTTTTTATAATAATATAGCGCAGCAAAATAATAATATACTTGCAATTTAATTTATATATATAATTAATTAATTATCTCTTGATCTTAAGTTTAATTTAACTTAATACCTTTCTTTCTTTTATACTTTTTAAAAGAGGTATGCATTTATAAAATAAAGATTGCTAGTGTGGAAATAATGGGTATTATTTATATGGAGAATTATTTAGGATTAGGTAGCTTTAATTTGTTAGGGTGCCCAGCAGGCAGTAGCCTTGGCGTTGCATATAAAATAGCTAGCATAGTCAGGCCTTTTGCTTTCCTTCCTTTTATAGTCAATAATAATTAATCACTATACCAATTAAACGTCATATTGCAATACGTAACCCAGCCAACATTTTTAAAAATTATTATAATATTTTTATTATTATAATAATATAATTTATTAATAAATAATTAATATTAATAAATAATTAATGTTTTTAACTTTACTTAATTTTAATTAAGCTTAATACTTATTTAATGTAAAAAGATAATTTTTTATTTTTAATTAATTTAATTAATTTAAAATAATTAATAAAAATATAATATTAATTTAAATTAATTAATTTTTAATATAAAATATATATTTAATATTAAATAATATTAAATATATTATTAAAAATATAATTTATTATATATTATTAAAATAAATATATTTATATTAATTAATATTAATTAAATTAAATTTATTATAACGTAATTTATTAAGTAATAATTAATATTAAATAATAATTAACTTTTTTAACTTTAATATTTATTTAATATAAATAATTTATTTAAATTTAATATTAATTAATATTAATTATATTTAATTATTTAATTTTAATTAATTTAATTAATTTAAAGGGGTTAATATAATTATATTTAAATTTAAAATAATTAACTTTTAATAAAATATATATATTTAATATTAAATAATGCTAATTATATTATTAAAAATATAATTTATTATAATATAATTAAAATTTAATTAATTAAATTTTTCTTTATATTTTTATAAGTTTTTATATTATATTTAATTTTATTATAATTATTATATTATCTTTTAATTAATTTATTATAAATTAATTTCTTAATATTATTACTTATTATATTAATTAATTATTTTTTTTATTCTTTTTTAAGTAAAAGCTTAAAATCTTTTAATAATAAATGCTTTTTTAAATTATATTTAAATTCTTTTAACCCTTTAATATTTAATAATAAATATTATATTAATCATTTAAAAAATATAAATTTATTTATTTATAAAAGTAATTAAATATATTATAATTTATATTCTTTTATTATTTAATTAATAACTTTTATAATTAATATAAAGAAGTTTTTTTAATAAATAAAGATATTATTTTTAATAAAATTTAATTATTAAATAATTTATTAAATATTTAATAATATTTAAAACTTTTATTTTTTAAAAAAAGTAAATAAAAATTATATTAAAGTTTATAAATAAATATTAAACTTAATATTTTTTATTATAAAAGTTTTATTATAAATTATTTTAAATATAAAAAAGAATTTAAATTTAATGATATAATTAATTAAGGTTTAAATAAAAAAGTTAATTTTATTATTATATATATATTTTAAAAATAAATATAATATAATATTTAATAATTAAAATAAGTAAAATAAATATAATAATATATTAATAATAATATTTTTATTATTTTTATAATATTAATTAAACTTAATTAAATATAACTTTTATAATTATTTATAATTAATATTTAATAATTAATATTTAATAATTAATATTTAATAATTAATATTTAATAATTAATATTTTTTAACTTAATATATTTATTAAAATATTAAATATATTTTAAATTAATTTTATTATTTTTTTTATTTATTAAAAATAAGCTTAATAATTTAATTATTTAAAAAAATTAACTTTATTACTTAATTAATAAAATAATAAATACTTTAAATAATTATAAATAATAAAATTTATAATTTATTTATATTTATTAATATATATAATAATTATTAATATAATAATTATATTTATTATAAAGTTAATTTTATTAAAGTTATAAAAGTTATTATTAATAATTTAATATTTAATTATTATATTATAAAATAGCTTAAATTAATTTTTAATAATCTTTAAAGCTTTATAAAGGGTTTTTTAATAATTATAAAAATATTTAAACTTAATTTTAAAAATAAATTATAAAATTATAAAAAATATTAAGCTTAATATTTATTAATAAGTTTAATATTATATAATATTAATAATAAGTTAATTATATTTTTATATATTAAAAAGTTATAAAAAAATATTTAAATATTGTATTTAATAATATATTAAATAAATATTTATTTTTTAATTTAATTAAGTTTATATTTATTAATATATAATCTTTTATAAAATAAATATTATTTTATTTTATAATATAAAGTTTATTTTAAAATATAAAAAATTTATATTATTTAAGGAATATTAAAAGGTTTTATATTTTTTTTTAAATGTATTAATTATTTAAATAATTAAAAAGATTTAATTTTTTTTTAATAAAAGATATATATTATAATTATTAATTTTTAATACATTAAATATTTAAATAAATAAAATAAAATAAAATTAATATAACAAATTAAAATATAATTTATATTAAAATAAAACCCTTTTATTAAAAATTAATTATTTTAAACTTAAACATAATTATATTAACCTCTTTAAATTATTTATATTAAATAAATATTAAAGTTAATTAAAATTAAAAACATTAATTATTATTTAATATTAATTATTACTTAATAAATTACATTATATATATTAAATTAAAAAGATTAAGTTATTAAAGAATTAAATTATTAAATTAACTTAAATTTAAAACTTCTTATATTAAATTATTAATAAATATATATAAAGCTTATATATAAAGAAATTTATTAAGAAATATATATTATTATTTAAATAACTTAAATAAAAAATAATTCATAAATTAAATATAAAAAATAATAAAAAATAAGAAAAAAAGTTAATAAATAAATAAGTTACTTATAATATTTAATTTCAAGAAAATAAATAATAATTAAAGAAAATTAAGTTAAAATAATATTAATTATAATTTAATAATAAAAATAAAAATAAATTTAATAATATTTATATTATAAAAAATATATAAAAAAAAAAATATAAAGTTAAAGAATTTAATATTAGCTTTATAAATATTAACTTTCCTTATAAAGAAAAAAAGTTAAAATTAAAGCTTTTATAAAAAAGTTAATAACTTTTAAAAAAAAGCAATCTTAAAAATTAAATATTAAAATAATAAAATTTTAATTAAAAATAATAAATATAATATTTAAAATTTAAGGAATAATATAATAATAAAAGTTATATAAATTTATTTTAAAACTTATAATAAATTATAATTTTAAGTTATTTTAATAATGCTTATAATAAAAATTATATATATTTAATATATAATAAATTATTATTTTAAATTAATTATAATAAGGATTATATATATTTATTAAAAAAAGAGAAAATTATAAGTATTGATAAGCATAACCGTTGCCTTTGCTTAACTATTTTAGTTATCCCCTATGGGGCATGTAGCCTCTTAAAACTTAAACAGAATAACACCAATAAACGATTGCTTCCCCATACGATTATCATACGTACGAGAGACCTACCAACAATCACCTCACGGATGCAATGATCGCACCAACACTTTTCCTCTTTAAATATCTGATCAGATGCCCCAGGCCGTCAGCCTTCCTCTGCACCAGCCTCTTGACGTCGCAATCTCGTCAACTCTTCAAGTTACCGAAACCTCTCAAGGTTGCGTCATCATCAAATTGTCAAGTGAGTAAATGCTACAGCAAGAATCGTCCCCTTCAACAGACTGACTTCGAGATCAGCACGACTGGGGTGCCTCTCTAGTACTTCGATGGCGCTTACAAGAAGCTGCTAAACTCCTATGAGCCTACACAGCTTGCTCCCGACTTACCAGACCATCGTGGACGCGGGTTCTACGACCATAAAGGCCCACAAGATGTTCTGGCTGCATTGCAATCAGGAACACAACATGGAGATCGCGGTCTCATAGCGCGCAACGCGCAACCGTTCGAATTTCTTACGCGTACGGGAGCGCAATGGGACAGCGCCCCGATGGAGAAGATCAGCTGTTGGTTCTCAGTATCGAATACGAGTCGATCTGGAACGTGAGTGTTACAGAGCTCAGATCGACTCCATTTTGTGCCCGCTTCTTCACGCCATCCAGGCACAATCGGAGTAGTGCATGCTCATCATCGACCTCGGTGAAGAGAACTTATCAGCAAGTACCACGGTGTCCTCGACAACTACCTGGAGTCTGGCCAGGACGTCGCTGTCCCGTTCAATCCCTCGCCTCCTCGATTCCGAGGCAATACAAAGGCGCGGAAGCTGGACAAGCCGTTTTGGGCGGGTCGGTTTGCAACGGCCCCAGCTCAGTTCCGAGACGCGATCCCTCGCAACTCACTCTGTGTCGTGATCTACGTTTCTTCAGATTACCCACCACCGGTCGCGATCACAGACGTCGGCACATTCAAAATACGACAGCATTCTCGAGTCGTACGACGTCTACCTACGCTTGGAAGATACGTCCAAGGCGGCTTGTCGCAACTTCAATGGCATTGCTCGCCTTGCGCCCCCTCCAACTGACGACGATTGGATCAGAGGTGGAGATTCAGAGGCGGACCTGACCGGTGTGAACCAGCCTGACCGTACCGGCGCCTGTCGAGGCCAATCACTTATCCACGCCGTGCAGGATGACAGTACTATCACACGACGAGGAGCGGACACGTTCCGCAGTTTGCTCTGTGGCACGCTGGTGCAGATTACTTTGAGTTCGACATGCTGTCTGATGTTGAGTCCGCAAAAAAGACCGGATCCTCGCAGGCATCCATCCTACACGTCGCGCCCAGCGGGTTGAGTTTCTGTCTCGAATTCCATGCGTTACCCTCCTCATTCATGGCGCCCCCGGGTGCGGTAAATCTGAGCAACTTGCTGGTTGTATCACCCTCTGTGTGCCGCAAAACATGCCTGTCCTCCTCACGGCGTCACGGCATGAAGCATTCGATGCTTGCCTCAGGAAGGTCGAGGTTCTGGTGAAGACGAGCGGTCTCGACTACACCATCGTCTGTGCCTTTGACGCGGCAGAAGACAAGCAGGCTTGCAAGCGCGTCTTCCGATGTCGCAATGAATGGCGCAATGCTGAGTTCAGAGTGCGGTCGAAATGGTGCCCACACCTGTCTTTCGCGTTCTGGGTGCATACCATCTCGGGATGGAGTCTTCTCCCTGGACGGATCGGTGTCTGGACGCCACAACTTCACCACAGTGCTTCCGCGATGCGCAGCATGTGGCTCAGCAGTTGGACGATGCGCCCGATGATTTGCCCAAACCACAGAAGTCTTGACTTCGCAACACCTTCAGTTTCCATCTGGACCAGTGCATTGACCATGTCTACTCGTCTGCGCTGCTGGTTGCGGTGACACCATACGCCGCACTTGGCAAGATGGCGAAGTGGTTCACCCGGAATCGCGCTTCCGTCCTCGCTGTCGACGAGGCTGCTGCGATCGATGAGGCCCACGTCCTCCAGTGTGTCTACAACCAGTCTGTCTTCCTCTTCGCCTTCGACCCACAGCAACTGCCGACATTCAGTGCGTCGAAGACATCACCCATGGTGCCCCGAGTCAACACATACGAGGACCAGTATGTTTCCTCCCTTGCGGAGCGTCTGCTCACTCGAGTGGCCAATCCTCCTCATGGACCAACAGTTTCGGATGTTTCCCGGTCTCTTCGATCCAGCCCGAGAGGCATTCTACCACAGGCGAGGCATCGAAGACGTCATGACACCAGGTACTGACACTGCCATTGCCCACAATGTCGAGATTTGGGCCATGGACAAAGGGGGCTCGCCGCCACCACCTGGCAGATACTGGCCGGTTTTCGTGGACATCCCCCCAAGTGTGAAAAGCTGTCAGACTCGAAGTCTTCAGTCAACAAGGGCATGTGGAAGATCTTCTTCGAAAAGGACCTCTGGCCGGACTTCCTGTCGCCAAGTGCGGGATTTCATGTCGACTGGGACAGACTGTGCATCCTGACACCGTACCGAGCCATGACGAACTACCACCAAGATTTCCTGCACGAGCGAGGTCTTGACCTCACAACAGACACAGTCCCATTCGAGCAAGGCGATGGTGTCGCTGACCAAAGCCATGATGGGAACCTGGCTGGAGACATGGGTGCCTTGGTCGTGGCAGGAGAGGTCGACGATAACGATGGCCCAGATGGAGCAGAGCCGACAATTCGGACCCACAACCCTATGGGCCTAGATTGTGCTACCATTGACTTGTACCAGGGCCAGGAGAAGGACCTCGTGTTACTCTTCAGCACCGTGTCCGCCTCGTCTGGCCCTAAGTTTGTTGCGAACTCGAACCGTCTGTGTGTCACGTTCACGAGGATGAGGCAGGGTCTGATCGTGGTCGGCGATCAGGGTACTCATACCAAGAAGAGGATGGAGGTGACTGAGGGTAGACAACACTTGGACACTAGGGCATTCAACATTGAACCACCTTTGGGATTGGTTCCGCAAGAGCGAACCGCGTCGTGGAGCTGGACTCATCGTCAGCTTAGATTAAGATGGAACTTTTGATGGAAGCGGAGTCGACGTGAGACAAGGGCACAGTATGCTTGCATGTCTGCACATAGGGAAGATAAGCGTCGTCGTATCTTCCCTGTGTCCAACAGGAGGTTACCCGGGAGTAGATTATCCCACAGGAGGTTATCCCACAGGAGGCTACTCTAGAGGAGGTTGTCCCATAGAGGGTCGTCTCACAGGACTTATTGATGGTGCCAGTCAACGACGGGCTAAGGGCAGCTCGGGACGAACGGCGGCGATAGTTTGAGCTAGGCAGTGGTCTGAAACAAGGTACAGAATGAGGGACTTGGGCCCAGAACAGTACTTGATGCAGCTTGTGCGAGGGCGGACTGGTAGCTATGACGGATCGATTGGCCGGCGGAGTGCCCGCTGTGAGGTAGCCTATTGTACTACCAAGTAGTCTGGAGAGTCCCGAGCCCCGAGCCCCGGGGCGCCCCACGTTGAACGTTGAGGTTGGATCGGCGTGATCCCTGCCTCGACTAAATACCAAGCTTTTGCCGAGCCATGTCAGAAGGGGTCTAGAGCCGATCCGTTGGTTCCGTTCCCGTGGGGGAGCGATGCCCAGGGCGGTTGTGTTTGATCCAGCTGGCATAGCCCCTGGCGATCGTGCTCGTTACTGTCTGTGTCCTGTTCTTCGACACCTGTCTCATTGCCTGTCGCCCAAGAGACACACCCCGACTTGCACATGGGGTGATTGGACAGTAGCACCACTTGCTGACTAGATACCATGTAATCTGCACACACACGTGGGTCCATGCCAATGGCCAAGGGCTCAGCGTGGCATGACGGGGAGAGCCAACCGGTGGGAGGCCTTGGTTCCGTACAGGCCCAGCCCGTAACAAGCGGTGCACAGTGCTGTCCCAAACTGGGGAGCTTCCCCTGTCGACACACGCATTAGACGCCCAGCGTTACGTCAGTCAGGGCAGGGAGCTGTTTGAGCTTCGAGCTATGCCCCCCTGTCGTGTCCCGCGTTTCCCCTCCACGCCCTCAGTAAGCTGCTGCTGTTCCTGCTGCCCCTTTAAGTCGTCACCACCGCGTCCTCCTCCTGTCCCCGCCTCTTCTCTTCCCAGCAACCGACTTGTGGAAACCATTTATCTCGTGTGAGTCTGACCCCACGCTGACTCGACCACGCCACTCAATCACTCGCACCTGCTGCGTGATCTGGGCTGGACGCGGACGAGTCGAGTTGCCCGTAAAGACCTCAACCCCACTTCACGGATCTGCAACCCCCCAGCCCACCGCAGAGACACGAGTGCTGACTCGCCTCCCAGCTTATAAGACACTCAAAGGCGGCCTCCCAGAGAAATAGATCACCTTTCCCTCAGATATAAGATCGAGCCTTGGACCCTCTCCATCGAGCTCAGGACAGAGTCAGATCTACCACTACAACCGCTTTGCTTTCTTCCTCCTACAAACCACCCAAGATGGTGAGCATCATTCTTCCCCTGTTACGGCCCCCCGTCTGTCATGGTTTTAACACGTACAGGTGCATCTGAGCCATGTTTCCAGTTTCCCCCCCGAGGAGGACGACCACCTCTCCAAGGAGGTTAGGAAGATCCACCTTGAAGCAGTCGACAACGACAATTTCACCACCTCGGTCTACGGCTCCAAGTTTGCCGCCCAGGATCTCCCCCGTTACGAGATTCCTGATGGCGAAATGCCCCGCGAGGCAGCTTACAGGCTTATAAAGGACGAGCTGTCGTTGGATGGAAATCCTATGCTCAAGTACGCCTTGAATGATCATACGTAAAGTTTTGGGTTGATCGCTGATACCCGGACAGTCTCGCCTCATTCGTCACCACCTATATGGAGGACGAGGCCGAGAAGCTCATGAGTGACGCACTCTCCAAGAACTTCATCGACTACGAGGAGTACCCAAAGACAGCCGAAATGCAGAAGTGAGCTTCTCTTCCCCCGGCAGCTACGCCCCCCCCCCTCTTCCCCCAATGTGGCTTTTTACTGACTTGCCCCTTCAGCCGGTGTGTCAATATGATCGGAAACCTCTTCCACGCTCCAATTGGCGAGGGTGCTGGTGCTGTCGGTACCAGCTGCGTCGGCTCGTCCGAGGCCATTATACTGGGTGTCCTGGCCATGAAGAGACGCTGGAAGAACAAGCGCAAGGCCGAGGGAAAGTCGACCGAGAACCCCAATATCGTCATGAACTCGGCCGTCCAGGTTTGCTGGGAGAAGGAAAGTGAAATATCCTCGCACTGAAACTCATTGGGAAAAAAAGTGCCATGTGCTCTGGGAAAGGCAAGGTGGCGCCCACGGGGCTCGCCGGCATACCTACCATCACTTTACCATAACAGCCATGCGGACGCTATGCTAACAATACAACAGGCCACCAGATACCTCGAAATAGATGAAAGGTAAGCTATTCCCCAATTCAATGTGTCTTTGGCGCTCAGGAGATTTTACACATCACGTACCGGTTCGGCAGCAAGGTTGGAAAGCCACGTGCTTGAAGGAATGCTAACACACAATTATTTAGACTAGTCTACTGTACTGAGGATCGATATGTGATCGACCCCAAGCAGGCTGTTGATCTAGTCGACGAGAACACGATCGGTATCTGCTGCATCCTCGGAACCACCTACACAGGCGAGTATGAGGATGTCAAGGCCGTCAATGACCTGCTGGTTGAGCGTGGCTTGGACACACCCATCCACGTTGATGCAGCCAGTGGTGGCTTCGTGGCTCCATTCGTGAACCCGGGTACGTGGATCCCCGAAGATATACGCCCGTCCTCCCTAGTGCCCCTGAGCTCTAACACTGTTCATCCAGACCTTGTGTGGGATTTCCGTTTGCCCAGAGTGGTCTCGATCAACGTCTCAGGACACAAGTACGGGCTTGTATATCCAGGTGTTGGTTGGGTCGTCTGGCGGGATGCCGAGCACTTGCCCCAGGAACTGGTGTTCAACATCAACTACCTCGGTGCCGACCAGAGTTCCTTCACGCTCAACTTCTCCAAAGGAGCTTCACAGGTCATCGGTCAATATGTCAGTCCTCCCCATATCTAATTGAAACTTATTCCTTAGTGCTTTGATGGCTGAGTCCTTTTGCTGCAGTACCAACTGATTCGACTGGGCAAGAAAGGCTACACCCAAATCATGAGGAACCTTACCCTGACCGCAGATTATCTCTCCGACTCCCTGGAGGCCTTAGGGTTCATAATCATGTCGCAGAAAAATGGAGACGGTGTAAGCAGCTTCTGGATTCATTTTAACCCTCTGAGAACAAACAGCTCCTATCTGTAGCCTATACCTCAAAGGTAGTATCAGGCTGCAGGTTTTGAGACAGGCCATGGCCACACTGTGGCCTCTTTGGCCTCTTCCTCCCTACATTTGTATAGAACTACTGTCTTGGTTCTTTCATAGCTGACACTGAATACTGCAGCTTCCGCTGTAAGCAGCTTCCGATTACAATCTACACCCTCGGAACAAAAATCCAACACCTGTGGCCTGTGCTTCGAAGGCCTTGCGAGGCTGCAGATCTTGAGACAAACTATGGGCATACTGTGTCCTGGTCTTCCCCACATTCGAATGAAACTTCTTCCACGGTGCTTTGATAGCTGACTCCTATTTCTGCAGAGTGGCCTTCCGCCTGGATCCAGATTCTGAATCAGAGAGGTCATACGACGAATTTGCACTGGCACATCAGGTGTGTTCTGATGACCCATGAGGTCCTTCTTTTTTGGCCCCCCCTCCCCCCCTTGCCGCCCCCCTTTTTTTCCCCTTATATCTGGATGGTCACGGATGGCAGATTCTAACGATTCTTAGCTTCGAGTGCGCTCATGGATCGTGCCGGCATACACAATGGCTCCGAAGACTGAGAATTTCAAGATGCTCCGTGTGGTGGTGAGGGAGGACTTTACCCGAAGCCGATGCGAGGCGCTCATCACAGATGTCAAACTGTGCATGCAACTCCTGGAGAAGATGGACAAGGATGCTGTGAAGCGTCAACAGGACTTCATTAACAAGCACCACCTCCACAGTGGAAAGGCGACTCATAACCATCCCAAGTACAAGGTACGTTTTGATCGACATTGTCACAGACAATCGTTTGCTAGCACTGCCTGCCATCCCCAATCCTTCCCAAAGCGCATGGAAATTTCCGTCTTGATAATTATCAGTGCGAGGAGGGATTGCCTGCTTAAAACCATATGTCGCCCTGGTTGGCGAATATGTCGCTTGCAGAATCCTACCCATAGCCTTCCCTGGCCTTTCTGCGTATTCCACGAATGACATGGGATCACGTTGCCAAGCCGAGGCTGAGACTAAGCTAACGTATTTCTACAGAATGAGAAGCACTCTTTGCAGGGAAAGACGGGGAAGACCCATGCAGTCTGCTAGATGGAGTCAGTCGCTGTGCAGGGCCCTTCCAATTGAGGGAACGGACCAGTCTTGGGAACACAAATAGCTTTCTCCAAAGTTTCGATTAGCCGCATGGACCACATTGTCGGCGGTCTTCATTCACAGACGCATCAGGATATGCGGTGAATTGCAGTATGCAGCGTAACAAAGTATACAATAGCAATAAAAAACACAGAATGAATTTCTTTGGGAAGTTGAGAAGTGCGCTTGTCTACATTGTCTTTTTGACCTACTGTTACACATAAAGACTCAGGTGCCAGGTCACAAGACTAAACACCTGACTATACAAGTCCCCCCTTGCCCACACCAGCAAGCATAGGTATCAATGAGCCCTGGAGCTGAAATAGAAAGACTCGCACCCTGGAACGGAAGACAGCGCCAGCACCCGTCGGGTAACACCTAGGTAGCTGCCGAAAGTCAATAGTTCTTAACCCCCCTCGCCCTGGCCCCTTCCCAATGGCACTCTGACAAGGCACTCTGACAAGGCGCGCAGCGCTCCAAGGGACCCCTTCCTTTTTGGCCCCCAACCCGTCCTATCCACTGCAGCTCGCCACATGTGCCGAAGCGGACGGGCCGCCAAAAGGTGCCCCCCTTTGACCGCCTTGCACAGGGCCCCCTCCCCCCCCCAAGCCCTGCGGTCCTTTTACTCGCAACCTCCGACCCAACTCCCGGAAGTCTCAACGATTTCCCTTGTGTGTTTTGAGTCAGCCTCACCGAGACTTCGTATTTGAGGAGGCCATGGTTGCACGCCGTGTAACGGTGCGGCAGGGGGGATGTGGGGAGATAGTTGTGTGACCCGGGGAAGGAAAAGGGGAGGAGCCAAGGAAAACAGGTAGACAAGACCTACTCCCACCCCTTCTTCAACGATCAACCCTTTTTTCGAAACAACGCCCGGCAGACGCAGCTAGCCGGCCGGGCACTATATCTGTCGGCCGGGAGAGGAGGGTGATGGGCACGGGAGGGTGGGGGCCGGTGTTTGTCCAAGATGAAAGAGTGAGAAAAGAGGTTACATAGGCGCGCCCCAAAAACAAAGGCTGACGGTGAGCGTCTGGAATGTTCCTGCCCTTCGGCCGAGAAGAGTCGGGGTGCCCTGCCCTGTCAGAAAAAGGGGGCTGGCGGATGCGATGTGGTGGGTGACGGCCATGTCACGGTGGGTTGACAGGTCTTCCCAGGGCTTTTTTGCGGGAAGCCGATGTCGTGCCCGGGGACGGGGTTCACCATGTCTGATGATGGGACACACTGCCGTGTGCGAGCTATACTAAGGAGGGAGGGAGGAGGATCCAAGCGAGTCGACCCGACCCGGGGCCTCCAGACATCGGGATCCCGAGCGGCCCCGATGGGCACAGGTGGTTGGCTTCTGGGCGAGTTGGTTCAAACAAACCTTTTTGCGTTGGCACAGACAGCGTGCCGGCATGTCCCCTTTTCTCTGTTTAGGTTCACGATACACAGCGCTTTTACGTCTTTGGTCCTCAATCATGTCCGCGGCGGTCACAAGAGGTCTGGGTGGTTTGGTGGGTATGTATGTCTCCTCCATTTTGCACGTTCATGCCCCAGCGTTCTCATGCAACTCCCGACAAAACGCCTGTACACAGGCACAGTTATGTACAGTTGGGCGGGAAAGCCGTCGACTGTGGATTAGGTCGACAGCCCCTGCCAGACAGATAGAGAACATGTACAAGGCCCTAGTAGGCCCCTTTGTAGCATCAGCATCAGCATCAGCGCGTAGCTCCCGCGCCCGTGTCTCTTCAACCTCGCTCCTCCAGGACAGTGACACCGCACCTCTTTCGCCTCCCTTTCGCTCTTCTAGTCTCGCCGCAAGGCACCAGCAAAGATCCGGTAGATGTTGTACAGAACAGGTCCTCTTCAGCCCAGATGATTCACGCAGCAGTCAGACATGAGGGATAGAAATAGAAAGATGCCGTAAGATCCATCGGTAGAGTAGAGGAAGCAAGAGCGAACATCGGATCGCCGGAACATAGCCATGCCATGCGCAGATGTAGACCAGACCACCGTCTCTTGCCCACGCCTGATCGGGTCACCCTGCAGTGTCACATGGGCGCCCGACTCCCATTAAGCTTGCTGAGGAACAGAACCAGCCGCGCTCTCAACCCAAGCCCGCCCGCACTGCCCGCGTCAACAGAAGTTGCCCAATGTCTGCCCCTTTGGCCAGACACAACAAGTTGTTCCGATTCTTCACTCCCAAGTCCGTGCCTCCCCCTCCTCCAGTCTTTCACCCTCAAGCAAAAAACATGATGTTATGAAATAGGTATTCGCACTTATTAAGAATGTCGGTCGCTCGAAAAGGAAATAGGGAATCAATTCTCAAAGCCAGGTATCGTATGTCTGTTGGCTCGTCTTGTAGTCATACAACCATCCACTGCAATGCACAACGGTGTATTTCCCGAAAATAGTCTTTTCGTGATATAAAACCTCGCTCGGTAAACCCATGAGACCCAAAAGCCCGAGATGACCGCAGTATGCGGAAATTCTTCAATTGGAGGTACATGGACAGGGTCGTGTTGTCGTAATCGTAAGTCGCGGTCGGGTCGCCTCCGAAATGATTGTAGCGTGGAATCAGATGATGTTCGCGATGCTGATCCGGTCCTGACTTTTCGTCTTGCCTGTCGTGGGACTATTGCCGTTGCTTCCTCCTCCGCCGCTTGGCCCCGCCGCTGGGGGCAACTGGCCCATTCCTGGTTCCATCTTGACCTGCAATGGCGGCCCCGGTGGCGGTGGCAGGGTTGCAGGACGCGCATGGGCCCAGGGCCCGCCGCTTGCCGGTGCAGTAGGCGTAGTCGACCCAGATGACAGACCGCGGATCAGGCCCTCAACCCTCTCCCATCCGCCCCAGTCTCGACTCTCTTCCTCGCTGAGCCCGGTCCGGGCTTCCGAGCTGAACAGGGCTCCCTTTCCGCTTCCAGAAGCACCGCTCCGTACCAGCCCAGGGCTGGGAGATTGCTGAGCCTGCGCATCCCTTTCACCGCCTGCCCAGACCCATCCAGTCTCCGGGCCAGCCTGAAGATCCGCACTGACATACACAAGCAGCTCCTCATCCCTGAGAAGCGCGTCCTGCAGCGGACTGTGCTGTGGCCTCCCAGCGGCGGGAGGCGGCTGTGCGAGAGTCTGTGGGCTGCTTCTGGCTATGTAGGCCGCATACTCGGTCTTCTTGCCCGCCAGTACTGCCGCGAAAAACGCCAGGAAACGACCACACGGCGTCGTGACATCTCGTCGACCACCGATGGCGGCCAGTGCGCGGATACAGGCGGTGGCTGCATCCAGGTATCCCGCAAGCAGGAGGAACAGTGTGCAGCGAAAGAGGTGCATAGTGAGCAGAGAAGTGGCCCCGTCGGGGAGCTGAGGTGTCGTTCGGGTGACGAGAGACGCGGTTTCCAGTGCCGTGTGGGTGCACTGCTCGATCGCGGAAATTCGGACGTCGGATGGGCAGCTGGGCGTGAGGTTGTGCCTGTGGAGGAGGAGACGCGCGTGGAGTAGATAGATCAAGGGGTTGAGCAGGTGTGGGCTCAACGGCACCTGTGACGAAGGATCGCACGCTGGCGGGAAGGTGCGCAGGCATGATGCGAAGTGCGAGTCGAAAGTTGCGAGGCGGGTTGGTGCAACCACTGGCGAGGCAAGAGCCTTGTGAAGGGCGCCGTATGATCGCACCACGTTAATGAGGGCGAGAAGGGAGTTCGTCAGGGGCTCGGCTCCTGCAGGGACAGTCATCCCGCCGTCGTGGATGTAAGCGTCGTCAACGCCTGCGGGAAGAGACACGTCGCAGTCAGAGTCTTCGATCAGAAGTGGCCTGCCCAGCTCCACGGAAAGGCTGCGGTCGAGAATGTAGATCGTCCACCAAGCTCTCCGACGCATTTCTCCTTCGATTACCGGCCACGGCCCTGATTCGGAGTATAGCCCTATGTCTTGCGCAACTCGGACGGCATTCCCTAGACAGTTCCAGGCCGCGGACTTGAGGTTCATCTCGCTGAGGAAGATCGATTGTAGAGTTAGCGTCCGCGCATCATCCAGCACGAAATTGTTGTTCCACGGATCGATCAGCTTCCGTGACATTTCGAGGAGCTCGGCACCGCGGTATGACCGCTCGCCTGGCGCATCGGGTGTGAACAGACTGCCCACTGCCAGAACGGCGAAGAACACAGACATGAACGACAGAGGAACACTTTGTAAGTTTGGCGCCCTGTACATATCCTCAATGCCCTGCTCGAAAGTCCGCCAGTGGAGTATTGGAAACATGCTGTGCGTAGAGGTAAAGTAGCTGTCAAGGAGCTGCTTCGTCGCCTGTATTGGTGGCAACTCGGGCCTCTGGGTGTCGAACAGAGTGGGGGTTAGAGAGTGACGGTATTGTGCTGGCGGTTTCCAGACACCTTTCGAGAAACTCAACAAATTCGATCGCGCCCTGGAGAGATCGTGCATGGGCGCCGGACGCTTCCTCCTCTTCGGTTCCGCTCCAATGCTGGGAAGCTGAAGGGGTAGCTGCTCGATGCCCTCGGCGTCCACGTCAAGCTGTCCATCCTTTTCAGAGATCATGCGTCGGAGACTGTTGTTCTCCCTGCGGACACGTTCGATCTGCTTCTCGAGGTCCTGTACTTGCTTGATGGACGACATGCGGCGGTTCGTCTCCTTGGTGAATTGACACTTGACATTCCGGCTAGAGCATTCGGAACAGCTGGTCGTCTCTGTCGCGTCGCACTTGACCTTGCGTTCTCGGCAGGCGTCACAGCTAGGGTCTTTTCTCCTCTGGCGGTAGGCCCGCTTCTGCTGCACATTGCTGCTACTGGCGGATGTTGGTGGGAGCTGGGCATTGGCTGTTCCGGGCGTGCTGGCAACGGAGTCGTTCGACGGTAGAGAGTCCCGTCCGATCATGGTCGTCGCGGTGACTGGCGTGTACGGCTGGAAGGACGAGTGCTGATGAACTGGGGGCAATGGGGGGATACCGATGGGGTGTGGTGCTGGCGCCGGGTTCGACCTCGCACTTGTGCTCATCAAGCCGCCCAAGTACTGGGCGGGAGGCGCTGGAGAAGTTGCAGAAGATACTGACGAAGAGTCGTATGACCTTGTGGAAGGGTTGGGAGATCGAGGGTATTGGTTGTGTGACGCGGCTGCCATGTTCGACGAGTCTATAGACCAGTGACTTCTGGTCTTGTTCGGCAAGGACCCCACAAGCTCCCCAATAGGCGAGATTCCGGGGAGCTGTCTGTCGAGAAACATGCAGAGTTATATTTCTGGGGCGGTCTTGTTGTTTTCTGTCTTTGGTCGGCTGGACCAAAGGACGGGTTGTGGATGAACTGAGGTCGCGACTAGGTGGCGGACTTGCTCCCCATTTACCAGCCTCCCTCCACAGCTCACAAATCGAGACCAAGTCTGGTCTGGTACACACAAGAACTGGCCGTTATCTACCTGGTCGATCAGGATTGGCAACGCAGAGATGTCTCAAGTACTCTCCACCCCAATTCGTCAGAGCACAGGTAGGTGTGTCCTCTTTGGCGGCAACTTCGCAGTGCTGCAGTTCCTGTGCAACCCCAATGTGTTCTGGTCCGTGGTGGCATACAGCTGCTCGGCAGACTTTCCCTTCAGTTGGCCCTGGTGAATATTCTATTTCACAGCGGGGGTAGATGGGACACAGTCCGTCGTAGAGCACGTCGACAAGCGCAGTGCTGCATCTGCTGGCATGCGACTGCCCAGTTGGCGTAAAAGCTCGCTCCAGAGTTGCCGAACCAAGTACCTCGCAGCGTCTTCAGTGGACAGAGGAGTTGGACAAGAGACTGACGTTTGGCAACACAATATCCGCAGCCAATCTCGCAGACTTCCGTACGAAAGGTGCAGGTCAGTTCCACCGGGCCGCCAGGTTGCAGAGCTGAGCAGGCTAGAAACAGCTCCGGATTGAGTCGGCAGACAGAGAGAGGATCCTGCCGATGAAGATCGAGGGACATGCAAGCTCAGGAGACAGGGCTTGTGCAGGTGATGACAGGACAGGGAAAAGGAAGATTCTAGGCCTATGGGGTGACTAGAAGGAGGAGACGACTACTAGTATGTCGAAGGAAACGTCGACAAGTATGGCTCCGAGGTCAACTTAGCTCGGCTTGAGAGAGAGGGAGTGCAAGGAGATCTCCGTGAATCCATGCAAGCTTGACTTTGACTTGCCATGACAAGTTGGGGCCTGTAAGTGGAGATCGATGTGGAGGGAGGAGCTGTCTCGGTACGTACTGCTACCCTGCCTGTACGTACGTAGTACTGCGCAGTAGGCACTATGCACGCCGCCTCCGACTCTGCGTGGTCCATCCGGTCAGGGGTTGCAGCTTGCCGGGGCTCTCCGCGTGTTAACGCTGAATCGGAAGGATTATCTGGAGGGATGGATTCTCTAGGCCCACTTGACGAGGCCCCCCTGGCGCACACTGGCTAGGGCAAACCAAGAGATCTTGAATGATGTTCAACAACCGGCATTGCTGGCGTGTTTTGCGGCCCCAGGGGCTGTGGGCAGGCGGTTTCTGCTGTGACCTGTGTGCCTGCTAGTCATGGACCCCAGAGCGAGCCCCTGTTCCCCATAGTTCAGCATCTGCAGTCGAGGTGGCCGCTGCGTTAATACAGGTGTGCAATTAAGCCATGGGTCATTGTTGCTGCATTCCCGGTGGTGACAAGCCGGGCACTTTCCCGCTCCCAGCCCTGGGGATAAAACAGAGTGTCGCTTCCGGACGACTAAATGTTGCCCACCTCTGGGCGAGCTGACTGCCCGGCCACCCGGCCAGGCCAGGCCTGTACACAGATCAGCCGGTGGGGGCGGTATCCACGGTGCTCTTCCTCGCTGGGAAGAGGTGAGCGTGTAGTAGGCTGGTCAGGCGACGATACTTCATGGCGTTGCAGGATGTTACACTCAAGACTGATGAACATCCTGAAGTATCCAGACATTAGGTGCCATGCGGCTTCCTACCCCTTTTCTGGCATGTGGGTGCCACGCTTCTAATTATGACAAGGTTTCAACTGATGGCGAGCTAGAGGGGTGCCGAAATCATGTTCATGCGACCGGGAGACCCCTTCACGGGCTGCGCTTCGGCTGCCGCTCTGAATGGGTACTTGTGAATGGCTACCACGGAAGCTTGAATGGACGGACCTGAACACTGCAGGCGCATGCGTCGCCAGCGTTGTGTTCCTATTAGTCCAGAAAATGGTGTCAGACGTGTGGAATGTTGGCATGGTCCAAGGCTGTACCGGATACCTGTGCAAGTACATGGTTGTAGCCGCGACCCTCCGTGCGTTACCCGTGGTGGCCGTTGTGAAGACTTGCGCCGTTGCTTGCTGGAGAAACTGTCGGCCTGGTCGCCGAAATCGTGTTAGTACTCCTAGTCTATTCTTTGCGTCAAACAAGGTTGCCGCTCTTGGGTTCGGCACATGATATGCGTTTGCCATTATTATCAAGGCTTTCATCCAACCCCCGTGCGAATAGTCCTGCACAACGAGAGGGTGCTGGTACAGCTTGTACACCCACCACCTACGAGTCCCGCTGGCCTGCGGTGTGAGAATCTGGCTGAGCTTGTTGTCCGTCGGACCGCATCGGTACCAGGTACCATAGTTCTGTGCTATGGTTTGCTAGCGATTGGCGGACCCAGAGATCGGGGATTTTACTGACAGCGACGCCGCACCGGCGAATTTTCCCCACTGCCGGGTCGAGTCTCCCTAGAATGGACATGGCTGTGGTCTTGTGGAATGGATCCAGATCCTCCTCGCTTCGATCAATGAAACAAGGCAGGAGTTCGGCAACGCAGAGTCCCACACAACTCGAGATTGAGATATCAGGGGTATCTGGCGACGTTGCCGAGCCTCTTTTGCAGCACTGCCCTCGGCGTGTGCCTTCCTGTACGCGTCGGGCGGAGTATCGCCTAACAGACTGTCCGGCGTGGCTGGCATGACAATGCTGTCCGTGAAGTGATGAGCCATGTCACGCGATTCCCCGCGTAGGGCATTGGCTCCCTGGCAGCGGCACCGTGCCCGAGGTGGCGTCGACAAAGTCCACCGTAGGGACGAGATCAGCTGGCCGTGCTCACTCCTCACGCAACGGCTGCTTGCTCCCTGTTCGCGGCCGGTGGCGCAGGAATGAAGGGGTGGCAAGCTCCTGGACAAGGCATGGGCGCAGGTTTCTCAAACGCGTGGCGTCAGATGGCGCCGCCGCCAACTCTGAAAGGAATCCATTGCGCTTGACGGGAATTTATCGCTGCTGGTGCGCGTTTCTTCAAGGCTGCCAGGGACATTTGGCCAATTTGAGGCTGCTTCCCGGCTTGCTGGCTATGGCGGACCCTGTGGCTGTATGCATCTAGTAAGGGGTGGGAGTTGTTTTGGTCGGGACCCACTCTACACGCAACTGCTCCGACTTGGCTTTTCCCAGGCACAAGGGGATGCGGGAAAGCTGGCAACGTGCCGGAGCGACCCATGTGCCACAGTACACAGTACCAAGCAATACTGTACGTGGGCATATCTGCTATAGCACGTAGGCCCTGTAGCAAGGGCCAGGTGGAACTTCCCGTGTGGTGACTGGAACAAGTCTCCGAACAGCGACAAGGGAAAAAACTGGGGTTTGCTGACCAGTGGATCCGAACAGCCCCCGACATGGCCAGACGGAAGTCTACCGCGTGGCCCAGGGAGCACCGTATCCCACTGCAAGCAAAGGCCTAGAGCTTGTCCGACGTTGTGCCGGATCCAAGTACCGGGGCTCAGCAGTGGTAGACTATTGCGATCTACCAAGACGAGCTTGTTGAATTTTCGTGGTGCACTGCGGCACTTGTTGGACGTGGTGTCTGTGTCACGGAATGGGCCCGGCAAGTGGTTTGTTATTAGTCGTCAGCACTCCGCTCCCCGAGCGTTGCTGTTGGGCTTTGGTACCGGTAGATCAAATTTGGAGCTCAGCTGTCCCAACAAGGACGGCTGAACCGCACCCGAGGAAGTCCTCATTAAAAGCCGCAGTTCTGGACAGGATGCGTGACTGTCGCCGTGACCCTCGGTCCCCTGGCCGGTGTCTGAGATTGGATAGGATAGATAGGATACTGCAAGGCGGACACGCAGGCATTGTGGGACTCAACTGGACGAAGCCGAAACAGCAGATAGTGTTGCGAGGGCATGGAACGGACCGACGGGACAGAGCCTGGCCTGTCCTTCTGCTGACCTGGTCTGGACGAGGCAAGGTGTCGCACTGCCAGACTGCACAGACAGGCGTGGGAGTGTGGGAGTGTGGCTGCCTTTCTGGCGTCCGGGCCCGACTGTGTAGCACGAAATGAGATGGTCAACGCCAGGGCCCGTGTGTTGTGCTCTCCGAGTCTCCGAGGACGATCGAGACCGAGTGAGGATGATGACTGTTGAGGCTGGGCGTTCCCCGGCACGCCATGTGCGACCAGGCTGGACTGGTCGATCCGCCATCACCAAAGCGCCGGGTTCATCCACAAGCCAGGTGCTGCGCGGCTATACCGCATGTGTGCCCGTGGGGCGGCATGGCATAGCGCTGCGACTTGGCTTATAGCACCGCACCGCACCGCACCGCACCGCACCAAGCCGAGTGCGCCGTTGGAGTGTAGTAGGCTGGGCCTTGATCTTGATTCTGATCTTTGATCCTGATCTTTAGTCTGGAATTCGGTCGGCATCTTCCAAGCACCAGCAGACTCCGACTCTGATCAGCAAGATCGTCGACGCCACACCATGCAGCTTGGGGGCGATGATCTCGCGGGAACTGCAAAGACTGGCGGAGAGGAGGGTAGAGGGCAGGGCAGAGGCCCTGTTGCCAGGACATGGGTGCCTGCGGGTTTCTACCGTGGGTTGCTTGGTAAAGTACAATGGCTGGTCTGACCATGTCTGTCTGCCCTGGGAGGGGTGCCGACGTTGTAGTCTAGATTGTGATGTACGGTAGACTAACAACCGGACACTTGAAGACACCGCGCGCGCACACACACACACACACACACACACACACACACACAACTGCTTCGCTTGCTGGGCTCTTCTCCGTGTGGCAGGTTGGAGCGAGGCAGGCACAGGCGGACGGAAGTGGTTCCCCACACGGGATGCGAGCGTCAGGTACCGGGTACCCAGTACGTAGCATCGCTGGGTAGAATAGCGCCAGACGCGGACACCGGTACCTCCTCCCCCCAAGAACCACTCCGAACCTTCCCAATCGGCCGCCAGCGAGACATGTTGACGCGAGCAGCCAACATTGACCTCGGTCAACCGCGAGCGCGCCCGCGCCTGCACCGGTAACTGCGCCCTCGACTGCGACCTCAATCGGGACCTCAATCGGGACCTCAACTCATCACTCCTCAACGGGCCTGTGTATCCGTACCTCACAGTCCAGCCTCATGGCATTGACACTGCAACCTCGACGGTCTGGATATACGTTCCCCAGGCGAATCATGCACGACATCGAAGGCAGGACAGGCAATGAGGCAATGCTACGCTGCTGCCATGTGCTTCCAATGCTACGGGCCACTTTCCTGCCTGCTGCTCGTCATGTCATCGCAGGAGGCGCCACTGGTCTCGTCTCATCTCATCTCATCTCGTCAGTTTTGACAGCCTGCTCTTTCAACAGCGCAGATATACACACAGTGTTTGGGCGCGCTGTCCCTACCTGCCTCTTCCCACAGCCAAGGCCGTCGAGGTGATCCGACCCCTCCTACATAGTACCGTGCCCTGGTTGATATGAGCACCGCACCTTGTCGCAGCGACCCCCATGCCTGCTCGCCTTGTTGGGTGTCGGCTCGTTTGTCCGCCACGGTTGCCACGGGTGCTACATACTCGCAACGACAGGTGGCAACCGTGGCGGACAAACCCAAAATTTGGCCATATAGGATGCTTTCGGCGCAGCAGCAGCAGCAGCAGCAGCAGCAGCAGCAGCAGCAGCGGTGAACTCATCTCTGCTGCTGCTTTAAAAGATATAGCATCGGGCAACATGCGATGTAGAAGGCATACCACACGCTTAACAGCCGCCTGCCAGCCAGAATGCATCTCCGCATGTGCCATGCTGTCGTCGACGAGGGACCACAGCCAACATCTCACGCTTCACCGAAAACGGAAGTCGATCGCGCGTCGTAGGATTTGTCTGGGGCACATCAATCTCAAGACCCACGGTCCAGAACATTGCTGATTACAGTACCAGCACACCACCTCCAGAGTGGACTAGGCGCCACGTTTTCCCTGCCCTCTCTGGCCGTCACTCCCAGCCTTGATGGCTCCTCTTGGCAAAGCGCTCAGCAGACGAGCCAACAACCCACGGGTTTCATCCCACTCTCCGCCTCTGTTTGCTACAGCAATCATGTCGGGGGGTTATCTCATGCCTGTTTGCATCCAACAAAGCCCTCCGAGGCCACGAATGAGACCTTCACGATCAATCCAGGGGGTGCCCTGTCACCACCTTCGTCACAAACACAATGCTGTGAGCGCTAGCGGCAGGAATTTGCAGGATGGGTGCCATGTCGGCTGGCTTCAGCGCCGATCGAACAATCGCTTCTTCGCCCGAGGGCTTGCGCATGCATATTGCCAGACAGCCTCTGCCTCCTTGATGTCACTCTTCATTGACAGGACCGGGCATTCCGCTGCACTGCGCGCCAGTGCCCACAACATGAAACCTTGTTGGGCTGTACTGCATAGTACTGTACAGTAGCTGCCTCCTCTGCAAGGTTGTCATTGTCGACTCTGACCCCGTAAGACCCTTGCGTCCCCGTCGAACCCCCCAGCAGGGAGTGACGGCCGGTTGGCCGGGTGCCGATAAAGGCGGTGCGGCGGGGCCTGTGGCCGTTGATGTGCGCCCTGGCTAGCCTGGTCGTCCCCCGGCCTGCTCGCCCGCCAGCCAGCACCCCGAGATCACGACATCGGGCATGACTGGGCTAGAGACCTGGATTTCCTTATTCAGAAACGCAGGAAGTACTTGCTGTTTGCCGGAAGCCAAGCCCGTCCCATGTCCATCCGTGTCAACCCGGGCCGTCGCCTTTGTTCAAGAGCGATGCATCCACCAAGGAGACAGACACAGAAGCCGTGCCAAAAAGCGCCATTTCCAACGCACCATTCAAGATGGAGCGGAGTCTGATCACGCTTACGAGACCGGCTGTCGTCCAACCTGGATATCAGTGCTTGGCAAGCCACGTACAATGGCGAAGGAATCGGGTCGGACGTTTTACTCATTCCAGATCGCTCACGAATGATCTCGGGCGTGGACACGGGGTCGGGGGCTCAGCTGATGGGTACTTGGGTACGAATACTACTCCGCACACAGTGATACTGGATAAGGCTTCCTCCGCTACAGCTCCGCTTCGGAACGGCAAACGGACGAGTCGTCTCGACTCCGCTACCAGCTCCGCTTTGTATGAACCGACTCGCCTCGCTCTGAGCGGGACGACCAGGTGCAAACCAATCATTGGAAATTTCCGGGAAGCTATCGTCCTTGCCACCTTTTGACACTGACCACTGACCACTGCCCGTGCGGAAACCCACATCCCGCAGCTTGGTACTCAGGTTCGCTTCGCGGCACCCTCAAGCCAAGACACGCGGGTAGGAGGCCTACCCTGTCCGCCAAACACCCGGGTCAACGACACGGCCATATCGCAACGACCACGGCTTGACGACCGTCAAGGGACCGAATCGTGCCTTTCCTTGCGAAGCGGCAATACCAGACGATTGGGGCCCAGGAGGCCTGGCGGTCAATCAAGATCAGCGGCCTTCCGTTGTCCCAAGGAACTGCAAAGCAAAGCGTTGCTGAGTCAACTCAACTTACCTGTGCTGCAGGCCAGCCCTTCAAGACGAGCACTGATATTCGCCGCTGGGCAAAGTTACCCTTCACTTAAACGCCTCGTGGCGCTTAAGGCGCAAATCCAGAAACATGCCAGAACGCCAGACGCCATTGGTGCAACAACCGGTGACACAAAGTTCCAGACCCTGGCTCCCGCTCTGGCCTACCGCTTGCCGCGCATAAGCTCTTGGGCAAACTGGATGAGCCAGACTACACGGTTCTGACCCGATCTCCAAGGCAGTTATCCTGTTGACAAAAATATACCGATATGTGCACAATTTATCCCAAATTGCCAGACACAATGATCGAACCAGTCAACCTACACTCGTCTCTTGAGCAGGAGCTGTCCACCTAGTCTCAGAGGCTGCCACCGTCATTTGGACGTCATATGCGACCTCGCCTCGGCATCGATAACGGCTGTAATATAGCCCCACGTTCTAGAGACGGCGGCTACCGACAGGGGTTCTCAGGGTGTGACTCGTACGTTTGAGGATCTTGAGGAGTACAGTATGCTGCCAACAAGGCACTGCGACCCTTTGACGTGCTCCTTCGGCGCAATCCAAAACACATAGACAGTGTGACGGGTGAGCTGCCTGATCGAGCCTTCTGGCCCGGAAACTAGTTGGAAGGTAGCCGATTGCCGAAAAATCCAGCGCGTGGTATGGGAACAGATCGACAATCACTTTGTTACCACCCGAAAATAGCTCAACCAGATTGACGCCCCGATGCTAGCAGCACGTTGGTAATGGTAGTGGTAGCACTGCAGAGCACGTCGTCCATGCTCACTCCAGCCGAGTGATTTCATGAATCCATCGACTTTGTGCGAGGAGCGACAATTTCTTGGAGGCGAGGTCCAAGATCCGTCATCTCAACGGGCGCGAACCCAGCGCAGATGACCGAGTATTGAAACAGAAGGGGCCGTTGCCGATCACCAAATTCACGCAAGCATTAACCCAGTTTGAGACACTGATCGCCGGCGGCTCTCGACGGAATCGTGATTACTGCGCGCCTGGGTCAAGGCTTGCCGACATGGGCAGTGATCCGCGTGGTCAGAGTGGGCCAAGGTTCGGCGAAGACATCCACTTTGCAACAGGCATGAGTCGTGACCGACTTCTTCTTGCTCACGGCAGATAGATGCAGTGTGCAACGACTGCTGCCAACTGCTGACTGGGTCTGGTCGTTGGTGCCGGTGACCGCGCACCACAACGTCGGGCCGCCGGTGTGGGCTTTTGAGCACGTTAGCCACTCAAGTGCTTCGTACACAGTACGGACTAGTCTTGGTTACGCTGGGGCAAGGAATCATCCACAAAAATTCAGAGGTAGCGATGCTGGGCTTTGTTGGGGGCGCATCCGAGATCCAGCAGACTACCGTATTATGTAGCGGTTGGCCGCGTCGTCAATGCGCCTGGTCCAGGGACCACTTGTCCCAATCTGGCCCTTGCCGTCACAGAAGGCATCTCTAGCCTTCCTGGCAGCCTGGCGGTCCGCCACAGTCCCCTAGACTTTGGCTCCTCGTCTAGGCGACGCGGCCGTTGGACCTACGAAGAAATCGTCTGAGGCCCTTGCTTGGCTTCCGGCGCCGAACTGAACGCGGCTTGCTGGATTCCACCAATTGACGTGGTACACGAGAAGGCACTATGCTCTGATACAATGGCAGTTGCAATTTGCAGGCCTCGTGCCAAAGTCCTGGCATTTCGATCCAGGAATGCCTCGCTAATCCTATTGTCAGGTCATCTCCACGTCCGGCATTGCCCTCTAGGCCCCTGGTCGACACCTGGACGTAAGCAGCTGCTTGTTGAGATACCCCTGTGTTTTTTATACCCCAGGTTTCATCTACACAATGCTGCACCACAGTCAGTCATCCCTCAACCGCCCCGTCAAAGGACGAACAAGCGCTGCGACGCTGACCGGGCCATCCAGCACTTTTCTGGCAACTCTAACCTACAGATTTAACCGAGATGTAGCCTGGTCAAGATCTAGTGTGAAGACATCCGTCCTTCATGTCGGACCTGCTCGCGACATATCATCTTCAAGACTCGGCAGTGTGCTCTCGAAACAATATAACGTGCCGTCAGATCTTGCGCGCCTACTGCTGCAGGCCCATGGATGTTTCGAGTATTGGAACCACTGTACTCAGACCCGTGTGCGTGACTACTAAGGTCCAGGCAGGTCGAGAGGGGCTCAAGTGATCCCAGATGTCGACCTAAAACGACCAAGCAAACTCCATTCAATGTTTGCACGCGGCTATGAACTAGCGAAAATACCTAGGTATCACGGGCCGCTGTCTTGAAATATTTTGACGTAGACGGGGCCGCTACACCGGAGGGCATGTCAGTGGCATAGCCCAGAAACACGCTGACAGACCTGGAGACAAGCTTACGTCCCCCGACCAAAAGCGTTGATTGCAGCACATCAATGGCCCGGAGAGTCGGTCGCTTATGCAGACCTGCGGTTTGTTCGGGGCTTCACCGTCACCGCCATGGTGTAAGTGTCTAGTCCAATTGAGGTCCTGCAGATGGGTGTCCTCTTCCCTTTGATCTGTAACAAGACATCGTTACAGATAGGATGCCGGCAAACGAGGCAATCTCAGCGGCCATGATGGCTTCATTGGAGTGTCGTCTGTTTTTCAAGCCCCTGAGCTGCTCTTATCTCTCCTCCGTGCCTCGAAACCTACCACGTCACGACACTGACAGGTTCCGAAAGCCTATGGCATGTGTCATGAAGAGGTTGAAACTCGAATCGACAGGGACTGCCAAGCAGAAGCCATTGACCGTTGAGCCGATGTTTCTCTTACCGCGGAGGTTTGGCCTGATGTTTCTGGCTTGGCTTGCCGCACGCTCGGGCCTGACGACCACTGGCAGTGCCTCTGCCTGTCCGCTGCAGTCTGCGAGATACCCCAATGAGGAGAAATCGTACTGGCCATGGCTTGAGAGCACCCACGGAGAATTTCAGCTTCTCCTCGGCCTTGCTAGGGTATGGCTCTCGTGGCCGTTCATGAGCACGTCCTCGGCTGGCCTCTTTACCTACCCGGCCAAGCAGGCCAGCCCCGTATTTCGGCACACTCATGTCTTGTTGGCTCAGTCCTCACTCTTTCTTTTGTGTGCCGCATATTGCGCACATGTCTGCTCGAACCATATCACACAGCGATACCACTGTGACGCGCCCGGGTCGGGCGCTCGCCAATGCTCCTAGCCCACGTGAAGCTCTGCGTGACACTTCTTTGACAGGCCGGCCTAGCCGATAGAAGCTTTGGCACCCGGGCAATGATGGGATGGCAGGTACTCCGTACAGTACATGGACACAGGTCGATGCTGCCGCGCCAGTCGTGCCACTACCGCCACTAAGCTGGACTGATGTCGCCGTTGCAGTCGCGCTCGCACGTCCTGAGAGAACTCTGCCCGAGCTTAAAAGGTTCCAATCGCAGGCGGGCCAGCGGGTAAGACGCAGACAACCAGACCTGTTGGCAGAACCAGCCGCAACCTTATCGTGCATGCGACGTTGAAACGGATCACACGCGGACCTGTGCGCGCACGCAATTAACCTTTGTGTTTATTACAGCACGCCACGAATGGGTGGTCTGTCTTGCATGGCCGGGTTGGGCTCGCATTGAGCAGCCTGCCAGTCTGCCTTGGTCCATGGCTGCCGCCGGCATCTTCCCTGCCAGCCATCGGGTCGCCACGCGACCGCCGGCATGGAAATCCATTGCCGTGGGACGCGTCCAGGTAAGAAAAGGGGGATAGTGCTGTCACGCCTGCTCCCTCGACCACTGGTCACCTTGCAGAGTGCCGAAAGGGGAGTGCTCCAAACCGGCCATCGTGAGTCGTGCCCGCAGTTTCGATGGAGGCTTGCCACCCTGGGGGAATCCTGCTTCGTCCCACTTCCCTTCCGCCGAGACTTGCCCCTATCAGCTGTTTCTGCTGACGACGACGGCGCCAGTAGTATTGGCGATGTTCCTTGCACAGAGGAGACTCTATGTGACCGGCTTTGCGAGTCTCCTCTCGGGCGGGCAATGCGCACCACACCTACACACCTACTAGTCTGCTTTGTAGACCGTACAATGTGCGTTCCTAGCCCGTGCTCAACCCGTCGGAAGCCCTGCGACAGGGAGCTTGCCTCCTGGGCTTGCTGACAGGTGTCATTAGCTGACCTCTGACTGGCAGCGTTGTCCTTGACAGCGCAACCGTGGGGTGTGGTTGGGCGGTGGCGGTATTTCCGAAAGCGAAGAGGTGCGCTCCCGGAGATTGAAAGATGACGGGCTGACATGCCCATGCTCCATGATGCCATGCCATGCACGGCATCGACGTTGGGCTCTCTCTCAATCTTATCATTGCTGCTATTGCTTTTTGTTGTGTGGCTGCTTCGCGTAGTGCCCGTCCGCAAACTTCAGCTACACGTGTGTTACCCGGTCGGGCTGGGGGCGGGAATGGAACGTGCCGAAAAAGAAGTTGGGGATTTAACAGGACAGAAGGGAGGGGGGTGTATCCAGCTAACTGACCTGTCACTATTGCTGTGATGGACTGTCGACATCCATCGGCACGCTCGGATCCTGCCCCTGTGCCCCTGAACGTGGCTTGGCATAGAAGCACGCAGGGCTGTGACTGTGCCTGCGTCCTGTGTGTTGTGGACTGCGTCGGCGACAACAGACATCGCGAGGTCCCCGTGGTCCGAGATATCTTGACGATGCCTCAGCAAGCGCTGTCCCCCTCCTGCCGAGCTCATCCAATGCGTCCAGGTCGGATTTTCCGGGCCGACTCAGCACACCTGCAGGAGAGTCCGATCATTTTGTTAGCACCGCGGGCCGGCAGCTCCAGGCCTCGGCCTCTCAGGCTCGAGGGCCGGCGGTCGCCGGGTCCCTGCGGTCGCCGGGTCCCTGCAGAGTGGATTAGGGACGACAGCGAGCTAGAGGGCGACGACAGGCGAAGACCACCACCAAATGGAGAAGAATAAGAAAATTCTGCAGCCGTTTTCCAGATAGTGCATCCTGTCTTCTGCATCACTGATCCTGTCTCTCCAACACAGCAGGAGTCTGTTGAGTGAAATAACTGCTGCGGGTTTCCCTCAAAGCCTTCCTCTTCGTCGGGCCAATTTGAGTCAGTCAATCTGTTACCGATTCAGTGAAAAAGGGGTGGACAGCAGAATCTCAATCGAGGCGTCAACGGTACACAAAGTGACCAAGCTGCGGTTCCCTCGTTTACACAACGTCGCTTAGAAGTCTTAGGTTAGTTAGGAGGAATCGGTCGTGATAAACACCAAGTTGCTCTCGCGTACCGGAAGTGACAGTCCATCGACCGGTTCACAACACCAGCACATCGTCACAAATCACCTCAAGGCGGCCTCGCAGACCGAGGCGGCAGATCGTGTTCTCACAGACAAGGCGTTACACAGACTGTCTCTGAAGTGATCCAAAGAGATACCCGGTGTAGCAGAAACCACCAGCCATCTGATCTACACACACCTAAGATCCAAAATGACAGAGAACAACGTGCACGAGTTCCTCGCAGCGCTGCCCAAATGCGAGCACCACATGCACCTGGAGGGCTCGCTCAGCCCGGAGCTGCTCTTCCAGCTCTCGGAGCGCAACAAGATCGCCCTCCCCGCTGTCTCTGAGGACCCGGCGTTCGCGTCCCCGGCGGCCCTGTACGAGCGCTACGCCAGGTTCTCGTCCCTGGACGACTTCCTGCACTACTACTACATCGGGTTCACGGTGCTGATCAAGGAGTCCGACTTCGAGGACCTCGCCTACGCCTACTTCGAGAAGGCGGCGGCCCAGGGGGTGCGGCACGCCGAGGTCTTCTTCGACCCGCAGGTGCACGTCAACCGGGGCGTGGCGTACGAGACGGTGGTGGGCGGCTTCACCAAGGCGCGGAGGCGCGCCGGAGGAGCTCGGCGTCTCGAGCCTGCTGATCCCGTGCCTGCTGCGGCACCTGCCCGTGCCGGAGTCGGTGGCCTGCTTCCAGACCATGCGCGACGCGGGACACTTCCGCGACGGCACCCTGGCGGGCATGGGCCTGTGCTCGACCGAGAAGGACAGCCCGCCCAAGATGTGGAAGGAGGCGTTCGACCTGGCGAAAAAGGAGGGCGTCCGGCTAACTGCGCATGCGGGCGAGGAGGGTCCCGCAGCGTATGTTACTGAGGCGCTGGACGAGCTGAGCGTGTCGCGGATCGACCACGGCGTGAACGCGAGGCACGACGAGGCCGTGATGGAGAGGCTGGCGAGGGAGAGGGTACTGCTGAGCGTGTGCCCGATGTCCAACGTGGTGCTCAGGGGCGTCACCAAGATCAGCGAGGTGCCGATCCGGACGTTCCTGGACAAGGGCGTGCGATTCAGCATCTCGAGCGACGACCCGGCGTACTTTGGAGGGTATATCCTGGACAACTACTACGCCGTGCAGGAGGCTTTCAACCTCAGCGTGGACGAGTGGAACACGATTGCGGTGAACGCGGTCGAGGGGAGCTGGTGCGGCCAGACGCGGAAGTCCGAGATCCTGTGGGAAATCGAGAAGCTTGTTGCAGAGACTAAGGGCAAGGAGGCCGCGTAGATTTACAGATCTATTTATGAAACATATGGGATGAGCAGCCGCTGATGTATATATATCTAGACCGGAGGTCTTTCTGGCTCGAATACATGAACAGTCACCAAATGCCTTCTATCCCCCGAACGCCCAACTGATGCATGTTCGACAAGAGGAGATGATTCTGAGGTGACCGTTAAGACAAAACTGTTGATAAGGAAATGCAACGAATGTAGAAGAGTTCTTAACCAATTTGAAATCAAATCACAATACCTCGCTGGGACCATCCATTCTTTCCCTTCCAGGCCCATAGCACTAGTAGGCAAGAAATCCAGACACTGATCGCCATCGCCCAGTAAGCGGTGGCATAACACTGAGTCCCGTAGCAGAAGAGGTCGCCATTCCCTGCCTCTGGTGGGTTGGGGCTCTTTTCTGCGCCAGCTTGGTAGACAGCCGAGTAGACCAGTCCCCAGAGCGTGTTCCCTAGTGCTGGGAATGTCGCCACGATGCCCCAGTTGGTACCAAAGTTCTCGACGCCCCAGATTATCGTCACGATAATCGGAGTAATGCTGAAGAGCGCTCCATACCCAGCACCGATGAGGCTGGAAACGATCCAAAATCGCTCGCCGTGATTTTGTATCGCGCCCGAGGCTAGCACGGCCAAGCCTATGGACATGAGAAGTGCAAAGAAGAGTAGGAATGTGACGCGAGAAATAGAGAACTTCATCCGGTGTAGGATCGTGCGAGGAGGCTGGGACGAAGGGATCTGCACATATTGTGATTCTGGCGTCGGCGCCACGAGATCCGTCAGCGCACCCACCAGGAGACGAACTACTGTGCTTGTTGCACAAATGATGGAAACATGTGTCGCGGCTGATGTCGACGAGCCGATGAGAATGGCAGTCGGCGGATAAAGAGTCTTGATGACGGTACCCATGTTGTTGATGAAAGCCTCACCGGGCCCGATCGTGCAGAAGAACCCAGCCGCGAGGAACCACATGGTGTGATCGTTCAGGAATCGTCGAGTCTCGGCATTGAGAACCCAGTTTTTCTTGAACCTTGCATCATCCTCAAAATCCTTGGCTGGATCCAACAGGCTGGCGTTTTCCTCATCATCCAGCGGGTTGGACCTCTCGATCGTGCCATAGCCACCAGCAGAAGTGCGCCCTGGCGTGAACAATGCGCTGCCATCGAGGAGGCCACTCCTCTCGAGCTCCTCCACGGCTTCGTCAATGAGATCCTGCTCATCAATGACCTTCATGGTGAAAGACCCGATCGTGCCCACCACAAAGAGCAAGATTGCAAGGAATATGAAGAAGGAGACGACATCCACATCTCCCTTGCTTCCGTCAGGATTGCGCTCATACAGCAAGCGGCTGCCAACTTGACTCTGCCACATGCCGCTCAGCCCAACAGCCGTGATAGGCATCGCCAGCGCTAGCCCACGATGCTTGCCCTTTCCAAAGTTCTTGGCACACGTGGTGACCGAACTGATATAGAGGGCGCAAGAGCCCATTCCAATGCAGACGAAAGCAACGGTCATCAGGGCGTAGGAGAGCTTCCCCGGTTTTGATCCATCTGCCTCGCCCTGCTTGTAGAGTCCGGCCGCCAGGCCGTAGCCAACACCGAACAGCACGGCAGACAAGCCGGCGAGCGGCGCAGGCCCAACGCGGTCGCATGTGTAGCCGAAGAATGGGACCAGGATGTAGAGCGCGAAGGATGCAACGATGGATATTCCATTGACTTGGTACTGGGTGTAGTGCAGGCGCTCCTGGAAGAGATGGCCGTACAGCGAGAAAGCTGTTATGGAGCCAGCGCAGAGGGCAGCCAACATGGCACCGATGAAGGAGACATTTCGTTTCGTGATGAGGGCAGCGCGGTGCCTACGTCTGAAGGAGGGACTTGGTGAGTCGGAGCGGTAGGAAGAGGCCGGGCTGCTGAGGACGGAGGAGGCGTCGTCCTCGGTGGAGGATGGGGATGGTTGGAGCAGGGGATTCGTGCTCTCGCTGGCCGTGCTCGGAGGGGGAAGCGGCTGTATACCACCGCTCTTTGTGGCGCCAGCCATGATGTGTGTTGATGGTTTGCTGTGTGGTAAGAGAAGAGGAGAGAATCCAGGGGATCCGACATGTCGCCTTATTGTGTCATGGCTCCAAAGGCCGGAGCTCGGAGTTGCGCTGATTAGATAAGGCCCCAGGGATACCGAGGCCCAGGTACGTACCCAGGCCTACTGCTGTGGTCCACTGACTGCCCTGTCTCACAGGCGAGGTCACCAGGGTCAAGCTCATCAAGTGCCAAGGTCAACCCATCAAGACGTGGCTTGAATACATCACGCCTGATGTGGGCATACACTACAAGTATCATCCATTGTTCCTTCTCATCGTCAAATAATTGCCTGCCAGCTGCTATTTGTGTTCAGCATAAACTCCAGTGGAACACGGCGACCTTCGATAGGATAACATCCTATGGGATAAACTGTTGAGGGATGGCTCGCGTGTAATTCCCTGCTCCAGATCAGGTACTGCGAGAGATTCTTCTCGCGCAATTCTCCCCTTGGATAAACGGGAGCGCAAGATCATGATGGCAGCCAAACTCCTTCGAGCTTTTGATGTCGCCAGCTCCGACGCCAGGGAGCAAATTATCCTTGGTATTGCTGAGCGCCTGAGTGATGACGAGCTTCAATGCTTCCAAACCGCTCTTCAACGGTTGGAGCGTAGATTTGACGTTCTCTGCGGCGTCTCCAAGTCCTCTGGGGCCAATTTGCCACACGAGATCCAGCTTCAGATCGTCGACCTGCTCGACATTACAGACATCTACTACTGCACCAATGTCTGCCGCAGATGGAGAGGTCTGCTCCTGCAGTGCGAGCAGTTGACCGATGACCTGCTAAAGAAGTGGTTTCCCGCTCTTTCCGAAAGGGATTGTCAATCCTCGGAGCTACTTCAAGTTATCAGGAGACGACACTTGAGAGACACCGGGAGATTTCGGACCAGGCAAGTGAACCTCCTCCCATCCCTGTGTGAACAGTATGCTGACGCTTCTGTCGCTTGCCAGGTTTACGTGCGGATTCCTCAAGGGGTCCGATGGAATTTTCCCCGTGGATCGCGTCGAGGGCCTTCAGCGAGGCCGCACATTCCAGGACCTCACCTGCTCTGCATCCCGACACATCCCGCCACCGGTTTCTGCAACGGCACGGATCGAGGCGCTCCGCCAAGCCGGACCAGCATCTAGATTAGGATTTCCGACCTCAGGCCCTACCGTGAGCAAGTATCTCTACGCTGATGGCCGCCTTGCTTGGCAATTGTCGCCGGCCCCTGGCGAATGGGTGAACTCGATACTCGTGCACGATTTTCATGCACATAGGCGGTGGGATCTTTCTCTGCCCTCTATGCGGACCCAAGGAATCAAGTTGGCACTCTGGGCACTTGGACGAGACCTTGTGGTGGCTAGAGTTGTTGGGGAACGAGTTTTGTGCGTCCAAAATACACGAATGGTTCCACACCCTGCTAATCATAGCACTAGATACGCGTGGGACTTGACGTCACATGCCTTTGATCGGGTTACTCTGCAGAACCCACCACACAGATGTTTCACACGGTATCGATCTGTAGTCGTCGTGACACAGAGTGGCGAGCTGCTGCTTTGGTCTTTTGGTCACGGTCTTGCCAATATCGATGTGGCCATGCCGCAGGACGAAGGCGAATATCGAGGGCCCGCAAAGCCCGAACGCACTCCTAGAGAGCCTTTATCAGCTTACGAGATACAGAATTCGAGAGTCATGTTCCATCCCAGGGACGAAGATGTGTTCTTCATGGCCACATTTAACGAAAGAGCTTTCGACCCTGACATTTTTCTCCTCCTCTGGGTGTGCGAGTTCAGGAACAAACGGTGTTGTCGAATATTCACCTACAGGGTTCCACCTGACAGACGCCACTGGATAGTTTTCGGCGCTCACAGGGTTGATGCACACGGCACATACCAGCTACTGGAGCAGGAAAACCATCTCGATGGTGGTGTCCAAGTCAGCGGCGTTACGTTCAACACTATTAGCAAATCATTCGGAGATCTAAGGTTCGAAGCACCGATGAACGCCAACCGAGACATCTCCTTAGTCTGGAACAATCACTTGGTACTCGGGCAGGCCAGCCCAGAGAAGTTAAGAGTGCGACCCTGCCCCCTTGTGGCATTAGGGCGACCTCCAAATCCTCGCGGGCGTGGAGCAGGCTCAGACATTGTATTCAAGAGCCAAACGCCCGAAAGGGCCCTAGAAAGTGTTATGACGTCTGTGTCGCCGGAATTGATCGACAAAAACGCGCCCCGAGCTGCGATCGAAGCATCGGAACAGGGAAACCCGAAGTATGATGTTATCCGCGCTCCTGATGTCTCTCCTTCGACGTCGTGCATTGGTGCCGGCATTGGTCTGCGCTACATGTTGTCCTTCTTTGGCGGCCACTGTAATTGGGAAGGATTCCACGCCAGGGACTGTCCAAGATCGTCGGGTCTACAGCCGTCTGATGGACACTTGTATCCTATTAATTACTTCGCTCAGGACGATTTGTCAGGTGACTGGGGCGGCCATTCATTGGCAATTTTTGGTGACGACGATTTTTTGGTTGTCGTCAACAGCAAAAAGTACTACACCGTCTTCGCTGTGGACGAATACGGTAAGATAGCAGGGACAATACGAGATGGTGTCTCGGACAACGCAGAAGGAATGTCTCAAGAGGCTCCCCAGGTCACGGGTTCGTAATGCCTCAAGGGAAAGCTCAGATATTTTTCACTGTTCAGACTCTTGGGCAATAATCAGATTTCAGTCTTTGGAACAATCCATGACGGAAGCCTCAAGTTTGAGGACTTTCCAATGCCCAGTAACCCCCTATCTCCTCAAATACCTGCTCAAACCCGGGGAGAATCTCATCCAGATTCCTCGATTCAACGTCAAACATATATGTGCACATGGCAGCATGGAAGTCAGGGCCATGGTCAGGCTTGTACAGAGCCCCGTCAAATTTAATGCCCACATCCACACTCACCGCCGGGTTCTTATCTGACAGTGCGCGCTTGTAATCCCGAACGTAGCCCCCCTTTTCCCGGTTCCATCTCATCACCTCCGGGTGGACGGTCTTGACCAGTCCGCCGTGGACGAACGCGATGCGGTCGTCGCCGTCATCCGGGTGGTACTGCGCGAGCGAGTGGCCGCAGTAGAAGCCATCATTCACCGTCCCGATGCTCGTGAGCCACCTCCTGGGCTTCCCGTACTTTGTCTTGAGCGCATGCCAGGCGAACCTGAATGTGTCTTTATCCCCGAGGAGGAGCTCGCCGTAGTAGGCACGTGCTCGTTGTTTAGGAAAGAAGCCAGCTGTAGGTGATACCAGAAGCGTGTCTTGTCAACTAGGAGCTGTCCACTTTCTTGCTCGTATTCGTCCATGCGGCACTGGAGTGTGTTAGGTTAGCCTTTTGATGTACAGCGGAAAATTGGCTGGGAGAGTATCTCTTAAGCCTGAGTATGTGGCTACAGCATTTCAAGACAACTTAAGCGCTTTCAAAGGCAGGATTGGGTCATTGCTTACGGGGGTGTTGAACATGGCCCAAGCTGGGTTCTGAGGCCTTGTTCGGGCTATATCCGGCCAGAAAACAGTCCCGAACTCACGATACGTCTGCGACGCGTATGAAAGAGATGGATCGATGACTGGGATGTTGTCCGAGTCGAGAAGGACAGGCTCGGCAAAACGTGATACCCTTAAAAGCATTAAAAACACGGAAATAATTCCTTAAATCCTATTTTATATGAAAGGAGTTGCATATGCGAGTGACTAACCCTTGCGTATAAGAAAAGAAGGCGGGATTCTCATAAAGCTGCAAGAGCAGAGACTGCTGTGCAAGGAGACTACACGGGCACTTCACAACAGTCTCTCCGATTCTGACTAATATGAGAAATTTGCCTAATGAGTGGATATGGGGCCTGCCCCTCAGACTATCTAACCAGCAACCTTGACAGTAATACTCAGCCAGCTAAGTATACAACCCTATGGTCTGTTTTTCGTTTCTTACTTATTGCTCGATGAAGCTTCTGCAGTCTTTGCTGCAGCCTTCTTGTCAGCCTCTCTCTTTGCATTGTTTGCGGCCTGAGAGGCTTTATCCCTCGCCTCCTTGGCTCCAGGGGCGTTGCGAGACTTCCTCCTCTCCCTCCTCGATTTCTTCTCGTCCAACTTTGCTTGTCGGGCTGCGGTACTCATGGGCGCCGGTGCATAGAAACACTTAGCACTGCCTCCATTTGCCTTTAAACGCCAATGGAGGGTGGTAGAGAGCCCCTGAGTTCTGAGGCTAGCGTTGGTCAACAAGACGGTAGCATGAGGCTCAGGGTATGGGTCCCAAGAAGTCTGCATGCTCTAATGGAGATTGTTTCTAGCAACAAGATCAGTATTATAAATACCACAACTGTCACAGCACGCCTAAATTATCAAACATAACTCACATAACTGGCACCGTGGCGTAGCTGGTAGAGACGCCGGGTGGCCTTTGCGTAATGGTAAACGCGAAGGCAGTGGGTTTAACTCCCGTTAAAGCCTTCGGTTTTTTTCTAGGCCTTTCCTGCTTATAAAAGGGAGATTACGGCCCCTTTAAAGCCCATATAAGCTTAATTAATAATAGTTATATTTATTAATTTAATAAAGGTTTTCTTATAAATAATTAAGCCTTAAATAGCTAATTTTTAGCTCCTTTTTTAAGTTTTTTTTAGCATATTATTAAAGCTAGTTTTTCTTTAATAAGTAAATAGGTATAAATATTATTAACTATATAAAATTATAAGGTAACTTAAGGTATTAAGGCTTGCCCTCTTATATAGCAAAAGAAACACTTAGTTCCTTATAAATATGCTTTAAAGCATATTTTAAAAACTTAAACCTTAAGGCATTAATTATATTAATAATAAGACTTAATAAACTACTTACTAAAGGTATGGTAGTTTAAATAACTTACATGACTTTTGCCTGGTTAAATATATGGCCCTGCGAGGAGTTATTCCCCGCCGTGTTGATTCACGTCTTAAACTCTGCAATCTTTTATGCGCCTTCATAAGTAACTATAACAGGCATTGTGCAGTGAGTATATAAGAGCAAGTTTCAAGTGATAAATAGTTATGAAGCAGAGAAAGCTTTCAAAAATATAATACGTTTAATATGTAAATGGTTAAAAAGGGCTTGAAATTTTAAGGGGTTGAGAGTGAAGAGCACTTTTCTTGAATGAAGGTTGGAATGATTGTTGTGATTCTGCAGACAACTTTCGTTTGGCAGATAAAGACTTTGCTTCTTATACTTATTTAGGATACATGGGGCTTACAGGTAACAGCATCCTCTTCCGGAGTCTTGCAGAGTATTGATCCTATCTCTGTTCCAGCTGTTGGTCCAGTCGCGGCCTCGTGAGGGCTTCGTGAGGGCCTCAAACCGGCACCAACGACACTGCTGCGGCCTGGATACTAAACATAGATACAATGGCTACAAACTGACAGCGATCTAAGGATTTTCATGGCCAGCATGTGGATCTGGTGGGCTGGTGCAGCGAGGTATGATACAGTGGGCCTTCCTACTTGCTTCGGTGGTGACTGGTATTCCGCTGATTGAGGGGACACAAGTCTGCGACAGTGCCGTAGAAGATCTTATTTTAGAGACATGTGGATAAATGTTACAATAATGTGTCCTAATGTGTGACCGCGTCCCACTTTGATAGGTCTGCAGGTCATCAGCCGAGTCGTCCAATTCGCACGATGTTTTCCAGTTAGATTAAAATATACAGATCAATATACAGACCACGCCCTGGTCCTGCCTAAGAACAAGAGCAATTTACTGCTGTCTTCAAGAAAGTGACACAACAGAATATCGAATCTCTAATGCGCATTTTGACTTTGACAACTTTACCTGCATATCGCCCACTCAGGTGCATAGCTACCTACCTGATTAGGTAAGCAGGGAGATGTCCTCTCCTCAAGCCAGCCTTAGCATGTTATCTGGGAGATCTCGCGAGTATACTACTGAGTAAGGTAAAGCGCAGTACCTTAGTACGATCCCTCTGTACAATAATCCTGAGATTCGATTCTATTGATTGGTCAGGAGAATCACGTTTTGTGGCCGCGAGGTACCGCAATTCCCGGGCTAGACTTGACCTCAAAGGTATCCATTATTTCGGAGCTACTTGCACTGGTCTCATTGCGACCGATCTCCACTGAGAGAGCAGTCCGCAGCAGCCAACATGGCTCCACAATAGCTGAGGAAAGAGGCACAGTGGTTTTGGTGTGTAGTTCACTTTTTACTCTTAGATATGTGGATCGAATGTAGTGGGGTGCGGCACAGTCACTGAACGACCGCCCGGTCTTTCCTGGGGGCGGCCGAACCCACTGAGGCAGGCGACCTGATTACTTAATCCCCCTCCTTAAAACCGCCTGCTCATCCCCAGCTCTAACACACTTAACTTCTTCACGGATTAACACTCACCTCGTCGCAATCACAAATCGCTACCCGGCCTGCATCTGATCTGTCCCTACTCCCTGACTTTCCATCAACCTTTTTTCAGACAGGCTAGGTGGCGTCATGAATGCTGAATTTCTTGCCTGCCATTATCAGATCAAGGAGCTATGGGACGAGGAAAATCTGTCTCGCTATGAACCAGGAGGGTATCACCCCGTCCACCTTGGGGATCTCTTCAGAAAGGGACGTTACCGAATAGTCGACAAGTTAGGCTGGGGGGGGGCGGGTTCTCGACAGTGTGGCTAGCCAGAGATAACCAGTAGGTGGTTGGACACCCTCTGCTCTCACCCGGACACAACTGATAGTATGTAATCACAGGCAACATCAGTGGGTCTCCCTGAAGATCCTAACAGCCGACGCTACATCCCGGTCCCGAGAGCTGCAAACGCTGCGTGCGTTGCAAGAGGACAACTCTATAAAACATGTCGTCCGTCTGCTAGACTCGTTCGTACACGCAGGACTTAACGGCAATCATCAATGTCTCGTACTGGAACTGCTCGGTCCTAGTGTCGGCTATGTCGTCAGCAACGAGTACAATGAACCTGGGGAACGCCTCGAGGTGGATACTATTTTGAGAATCACCAAGCAACTGCTTCAAGCCCTTGCATCACTGCATAAGGCCGGGTATGCACAAGGAGGTAAGTACTCTACAAAAGCATTGATATGGGGAGCCAGTGCTAACCGGAAATGTGTTTAGATGTCAGTGCACGCAACATAGCTTTTACCAGCTCTTGTTTCAAAGACTGTTCCGAAGAACGCCTGGCTGAGATTCTTGGGCCTCCAAAGACTGAAGAATTGCGTCCAGTCGACGACGAGCCCTTAAAGGATAGCTTACCCAAGTACATCGTGGAAAGCACACGATGGGAAGACTGGTTAGAAGAGGACGAAGAGGACATTCGCCTTATCGACTGGGGTGAAGCGTTTTGTCGAGGGGCTGAGCCTGTTAAAATTGCACAGCCTTTTGGCCTGAACGCACCCGAGACCGTGTTTACCCCACGCATCGACTACAGAATGGACCTGTGGCGTGCTGGATGGATAGTAAGTATGAATACTTCGGTTTCGAAGTCGCAAAGGCTGATCAAATTCATTACAGATTTACTTTCTCATATATTTTCTCAAAAGCCATTCCTAGCGTACGGGATTGACGGATGGATCGGTAATATGATTGACTTCAATGAAGACTTGCCAGCGGAATGGCGACCAAAATGGGAGGAAATGAAGCGCACCACCTCAAATGGTTTGGACGAAATATTAGGTAAGTCTACGTTCGACAATTCCATTCGAAACAAAGAGAATATTTTTAACAGGTGATATAGAGGATGAAAAGCCGGAAGTACCACGACTGGAGCAGAAGTTTCGTGATAGCGTTCATGAGCCAAAGCTTCAGGTTCTGCTACCTATCATGCAAGGACTCATGAGGTTCCTGCCTGAAAACCGAATTTCGGCTGCGGATGCATTAACAATGCTCAGAAAATCACTTGACCAAGATGAAAACTCATGAATAGAGGCTCTTGCACCAAAGTACTCCGGAGATTCGCTACGGGCCAGTAACTGACCATTTTACTGAGTATTGGGATGCAGTAGGAAGGTGTATCCCATGGGCATAGCTAAACAAATCATATCAGGATGGATGTTGCCCGTAATAGAAATTACCTTGCGAGTCAGAGTCCGGTTGTAACTACAATGCCATTTTCCTAAAGTGCGGAGTTTTGCAGGAAGCCTTTGCGACATTCACTCAACAAGATTATGTCTGTTGCGAGAAGTTCTCGCTACACAATGAAGCAAGAAACCAAGCGAGGCCAGGAGATGGTGAAGAAAATAAATTCATGAAGACACTATGTTGCGAGCCGCTTGGTATACTTACGACTTTGAAGTCCGATACACACACCATGGCGAACTTACTACTGGTCATCTTGTGACCAGAATCTAGGACTTAGAGTACCTCCGTCCGCCTGGGAGCCTTGAGCCTGGTCAAGGGACAGGTCTAGTCCGGGCTGCCGGCACATCCCGAACAAGTATAACCGAACCGATCCATACTCAGTAAAGCTCACTTTAGACTCACCCCACCTCACCATAGCACGGTCGTATTCTGACCTTAGGACTATTCCAGATTCAGGGGCAGCTCAGCGCGAGAGGTGAATATACGAGGTAGAATTTCAGACCGTTACCTACATTACGGAGACAGCTCAATTGAGTTTGCAACCCAGTTTCGACAAATGAGGGTGTGAGCGCCAAGAGGCGTAGGTTCGGTCGAAATGATCCAAGACCAATCGTCAAATGATTAGGTCCTTAACTTCTTGAGCCGTGTTTCACAATCATTATAAGCAACAGAGACCTGAGTCTTCACATGTCGGGGCCGAGCGTTAGGTTAGCCATTCAAGTATGGTTTCCTCTCACATTGACTATTCGGACGAGGGGTAACAAAGTGTTCAAATGCCACAGCCACACCTGAATGATTGGTGAGCATTCATCTGCTGAACTTTGCTCTAAACACACATCTGTGTGAGATTAATCTACGGTGAAGAAAGGTCAACGCAATCGGCAATGCTGGAAGCATTCTGGGTTGTAACACACCTACCCGGGAACATGACTGCAAATACACCTATCTAGGTACCTGGCAACATTGGGGAAACCTTGATGATTAAATCATGCCTGTTCGTTACGGGTTAACCTATGATAGGATAACCACTATAGGATAGTCTCAGATACGGCAACCTACTATAGGACAACCTACTATGGGGTAGCCTATTATACTAGTAGGGTATAGGGTATCTTATCGTATGATAACCTACCATGGGACAACCTACCATAGGACAACCTGCCATGGGATAATCTACCATGGGATAACCTATCATAAGATAACCTACCGTAGGATAACCTACCATAGAATAACTTACCATAGGATAACTTATCTTAGGATAACTTATCATAGGATAATCTATTATAGGACAACCTACCATTAGATAACCTGCCATAGGACAACCTTCTATAGGACAACCTGTTATGGGATAACCTGTTATGGGATAATGCCCTGTAATAAATCTAGTTCCTCCTGTGGGAGAAATCCCCACATGATACTTCTATCATTTTACTACATACCCGTGCAGCAATGGCCTCACGTGGGATACCTTGGATGCAGGTTTTTCCAAGACATTTTCCATTATGATGTGACTTTCGGTGAGGAAAGACAGATGCTAATTAAGAAAGCACTACCTCGTCGGCTCATACAGCCATTAGCCTCTTGACATCACCCGAAACTTCTAGACGCCCTTTTTCTTTTATGACGCCCTCAACTACCCAGATCAGCATGCCGCGAGGATCCAAACTATACCCTCCGAAAACTCGGAGAGCACTCTTGTACACTCGAACGTCCACCATTAGCCATCCTCAGAGCGGCTCCTGCTTTGTACCTGGCTTTGTGTCTGACTCAGAAACGTCCTCCAGCTGCCGAGCAATAAGGTCTTCGTCCTCCTGCTCCGAGCCCACTGGAGCCGCGGGGATTCCGCCACCCGCCGGGAAGCAGATCTGCGCGAACCGAGAATCGGCATCCTCGAGGATGGGCCAAACCTGGCCGTGCAGCATTTGCTCGGCCCAGGGGACCGCAGCAGTGACTTCGGCGTGTTCACCGACGAGGGTGGTGAGGTAGTCTCGCTGCAGCTTGGTCAACAGGTCGTTTATGAAGACCGTCATCCATTGCTCGACGTCCGCGCACATCCCGTCCAGCTGTCCCCTGACGACGTCGCACGCCGCTCGGAACATGTTGTTGCGGGTGGCGTTCACGTGAGACTCCATGGTGGACTTCATACGACCGAAGGTGCCGGGGCCTGTTGTTAACACTTCCGTTAGTGAGGCATCGCGCCGGAGGATTTGCATAAATACTCACCTCGCTCTCTCGCGCAGGCATCGTAGGCAGGCTCCATAGCCTCTTGAATGACCGGGATAAATCCCCGGTTCGCCTCTCGCTGAGTTTCTGTGATCTTCGCACCAATGGAGTTGGGGGTGGTGTCCAGCATCATCTGATAGGTCCGCTTCTGCTGGCCCAGCATGTTGAGCCCAGCAGGGTTCGCAGCCGCGCCCGGTACGTTGGTAGCCACGTCGTCGTGGAATGCCTCGAGGACCATCTTGCATCCTCCGATGAACTTTGCCAAGGCCGAAGGGATGTGGTGTTGGAATGCCCTCTCCCACCTTCCGGCCAATCGCCTATCAATCGGCTCGAACAGCTCTTCGTTGAAGTCTCTCGAACCATAGATCCCAGTCCAAGAACCGTTGCGTCGGCACGTGGCTTTGTACGATCCCCAGTACATGCCACCATCAGATCTAGGCTTACCCCATCCACTGGTACAAATTTTATCAGTATTTAGTAGACCGCACTTGGTGCTGAAGGCAGGTGGTACAGTGGAAAAGGTAATCAGGGTGGTTCAAAGGCAGCATATGGTGTAGCAAAAATCGGGTTCAAGTCTTTCGTGGAGGACTAATGTATCTCGCGCAATGATGTCAATTGCCTGCAAAAATCTCCAAATTCCACTTACAACGCAGTCTCAACGGCGCTGCTAGAAGCGACCGGAATGAGGTGATCAAAAGCCTTGTAGAGCAGCGCTTGAAGGCCGTATTTCATAGAAGAGTGGCAGTCCACAACGGCTTGACGAAAGGCCTGAAAACAAAGATCAGTGTACGGAAGAGAAGGTAAAAGAACGTATAAGTACTCACATTCTCAAGTTTCATGAAGCAAGCACGCAAAACCTTCTCGTCAACCATCTGATCCTTCTCGCTCATAGCCGTGCGGGTACTTGTCGCAGCCCAGAGCCTCATGGAGTTCAAGAGCTGGTTCAACTCGCTGAGAAAGAGGAGGGAAGTGCTTATGCGGCCATGCTCTGTCAACTTCTTTGCGTGCTCTTGCAACTGGGGAATCTCGGTGTCGTCCAGCGTGGCGAAACCATAGATTTGGACTGCATCCTTCTCAAGTCTTCCAGCCAGTTTCTGGTAAGCGTGTGCTGAGACGCAGAAAACGGGAAGGTTTCGTGCGACTTCATCGTAGTTTCGGATCTCGTTCTCCGGGTCGAAATTGGCCTCATCTTTCTCGATGGCAAGCTCTTGGTCGAGTCTAAATGTTTTGAAACCAGTCAGCAGATCCAAACAATGGCGAGAGACGACAAAATGCCAAACCAAAGGTGAAGAACAAGGAAAGCGGATAGTCGAATTTGATGGCCAAGCAGTTGAATGCCTCGTGATTGGGAAGGCAACACTCACTCTTTGATTCCCATTACAAAGTGTCCCTTGATGCAGTCCTTCACGTACTTGCTCCTGCCCTGGATGCAGAGCGACGTCATTTCAGTGCATTAAGGCATCGTCGGCATTGATTTGGGCCAACTCCATCTTAGCCTGTGCAAGTCCCTTGCTGAGACTCTTCTTGAAACGGCGGGTCTCCTTCTTCTGCGCCTTGAGGCTCTCCAGCTCAGTCTTGATATCGTCCTTCGTCAGTGGCACCCTCTGGTCCTGGGGAGCCTGAGTATCCTCTCCGTCCGTAGAATCTTCGGAATTGTCCACGTCGTCAGATTCGTCGGAGTCGTCGGAGTCGGGAAGGTCGTTGACAGAGCCTCGCATCTTGCGTCGTCGGCCCGCGCTAATGTTGCGCTTTCGCTTCTTGCTGTTCTGAGAAGGCCGATATACGGGCCCATGGGGCAGCTTTTCTCGGAGGTCATCCCATTCTTCGAAGCTCTTGTCCAGATTATGCATCTTTGCCTCACAGTCGCCCTTCTCTTTCTTTAGGTCTTCGATCTGCACATTCAGCTTGTCGCGCTTCTGGTCCAGAAGCTCAATCTGCTCCCAGTAATCTCCAACTTCGTCCTTGATTTTCAGGCTGTCCTTGACTTCTGATGACAGGATATCATCTGCCTTCGTGCAGATGAAAGTAATGGCAGAGAAGGCTCCGTCGGATTGCAACTGCCTCTTGAAGCTATTTCCGAAGAGTTTCTGCGCGGTCTTGTCGCTGACAGCTCGATCAATACGCGCTGTGATCCATAGACCATTGCACACCTTGATGTAGCTGTCGGAGACAGCAGATCTTGCAGCGTTGCTGTCTTCCACACCTGCAGAATTTATCGTCAGCTATTCAAGCACCGACCAAGAGCTCGAATACAAGTCTGGGGAGGGGTATGCCGTCATGCGTCTGTAGCACCTTTTCCAAAATGCAACTTGACGAAAAGCTCTCAGGCACGGACCACAGGCGGCAGACACACCTCCCCGTTTCTTTAAGTGTTTTTACCCTTCTTTTCCTTCGCTTTCTTTCTCCTTTCTTTATAACAAGTAGAATTAAATTGGGAAGGTGCTTACCTGGAAGATCGACAAGGACAAGGCCCGTAGAAAGAGCAGCAGCCTTGCAATAGATTCGTACTACCTTGATGAGAGGCCAGTACTCCATCTGGGAGCTTGTCTTCTCCTTGCTGTCAATGTATTGCTGCAACTCGTCGTAGAGGTCTGCGGAAGAAGTGGCACCCAGCAGTCTGACACTGCCCAAAACTGTGCAGATCGAGGGCTCTTGAGCCATTGCAGCTGGGTCGCTCGCGCGTCTGACGATTTGCTCCTTTGTCATGTGTGGGAAGACAGCCTTGATCTTGCTGTATGCCACTCCGGCCTCGGTGTCAGGGTTGTTGCAGTCCCGAGAGATGTTTCCGTTGCCGTCGATGAGATCCTCCAGATGGGTGTTGAGCTGTCGATACCATTGCTCCGCGCTGATGAACTCGACTTCGGCGCGATACAGCTCGTTCGGGTCGTCTGAGTGGTTGTACGAGATCTCGGTGGCTGAAGCAGTGCACGCTCGGAGTCCGCTGGTGGGGACCAGTCTCTCCTCATCGAGGACCGCGTTGATGACACTGCTCTTTCCCGCACCGGTGGCGCCACTGTGTTGTTGGTATAAGTACTGTTCACTGTAATAAATGGATGATGGTTCACTTACACGACACCGATCACGGTGCGAGCTGGTTTGGCCGTCTCCTCCACCTGTTGAATGTACTGGAGCCACTGGGCTGCTTGAGGATTTCCAGCTCCGTAGGCGTTCAGGGCCGTCTTGAGGCCCTCAAGCAGGCGAATACCGACCTGGACACCGGCCTCGAGCTCTACAACAGACGAGCTGCGGATGAGCTGGTCGATGTGGTTCGAGCCATCAGAAGACAGGTTCTGGTACGTGTACTCCATGGCATTAGCGTCATCAAAACCCTGCTCGTCAGAGCCGGGGTCGGCCTTGACTGGGGGCTCGGCCATGGTGTTTTGTGGTTGTGGGATAGCTTCCTGTAGGATAGCCTCTTATGGGACAACCTCCTGTGGGATGATGTGCTGTGGGCTACCCTCCTGTGGGACACGGTGTAGTACGATGATTTCCCTTGGGATGAGTCCTATGGGACACCGTGTATTGGGATTACCTCCTGTGGGACACCGTTTAGTGGGAATAGCTTGACGCAGCCAAGTTCACAGTGTAGTCAGGGACAAGCTGAGGATCAACAGTAGGCAGGTAGCATCGGTCAACTGACACGATGTCAAGGGGAAGACGGTCGACATGTGAGACGCGTTCAGAGGCGGGCAGTCGCGTCTCCCAAGTAAACTTTGGAAGGAGCTGCGACTCCAACGCGACAAGGCGTGGACGTGCAGCTACTCGCAGAAGACACCTGCACAGAGCGTAAACTGAATGGTGATGGGCATATCTATCCCTCTAGGGGATCTGGAGATCTGGAAGGGAACGTGCTTTAGAATAAAGGGTGGTGGGTTTTGGAGGGGGCGGAGTGGGAAGTGCGAATCCTGAAGCCCAAGGAGGCGGACAGGCGGGCAGGTAGAAGAACCAACAGAGGCACAAAACAGGCAAAAGTTTTTGACCTGTTCAGGCAGCCGGCAGCCGGCAAGACCACCTGACCTCCACTGGCCACCTTCGCAGTCAATTTATACAACACATGATATATTGAAGGCCACAGGTAACAAGGCACACAGTACTTGCTTGTAAAGACTGACTGTAGAATGAGCCAGCCCACATAGCATCCCATCACCCATCATGAGTACGTCGGCTTCGTCTCACTCGTCGGTACCGCCCAACGGGAGCAGAAAGCTCGGATCCGACCACTCAAGAAGTATATCACAATACCCATGGCTCCCAGCACGCCAGTCAAGATACCGTATATCAGATACGCCCCATCGTATCCCCTCTGCTTGATAAAGGGCGTGACGCCGTACGACGTACCAAAGCTCAAGATGCCACGCATCGCACAGATGACGACCAAGGCAGGGCCCGACCTCGTCGGGTACGAGTCGAGCGAGTACACGATACCGCACTGGTTCGCCCCCACAAAGGCGAAGTAGTACGCATTGACGGCGAACACGATCGCGAACCAGTGCAGTCGATCTGGGTGCGCCGCCGCCTGCCCGTACAGGATAGCAGACAGGACGCCCACGATGACAGGGAACACGAGAGGCACGAGGCGGTACTCAGGCCGGTGGATGCCACCGTTCCGCTTGGAGAGGTAGCGGACGAGGTGATCGGAGCCGGCGCCCAGCAGCGGCAGCGCGACAAATGACACGACGATCTGGCCTGCCATCGCGAAGGAGATGTACTTTGAGGCCCACGAGTAGGGAGGGGCCGCGAGAATGGAACCATATGTTGTCCCCAGCGATATGTTTACGCCGATGGTGAGGCCATTCAGAAGCTGCATGATGGTCAGTCAGGGCTCCCCCAATCGCACAGCTGTCAAGCCGCCATAACACTTACAAAGGCCCAGAGAATGTCCGGGAACAGCATGACCGTGAACATCCGACGCCACGTCCTGAGACCTTCCTCCCAGTCTGGCTTGTTCACGAACAGGCGCATGTCCGACGCAAGCGTCCGTGGCTTGTAGTTGACCGTGTCCAGCTCCCGCGGGTCGGTGGTCGAGATGCGCCGCACCAGGTAGCTCGTCGCGACGGGACTTGCGTCATCACTCTCAGACCGCCCACCGCCCGTCTGGCCGGCGAACTGGCTTACACTGGAGCCTTTGCCCTGGTATGCCGCGATCGGCCGGTCGTATTTGGTCTCCGGGACGAAGAAGATGCTGCAGATGAACACAAACCCAGCAAGCCCGGTGCCCAGGCCGTACCAGCCGCTGACGCCAATGGACGCCGCGATGTACGACGTGAGCAGCGTCAACACGCTGGTCAGGATGTTGCTGATGGCCGTGAAGTACATCTGGGTCCGACCTCTCTCGTGAAGAAAGAATGTTTCTTGCACCATCAGGGGGCACAGGGCTTCGGATTGCCCTGCTGCCAGACCCATGATGCAGCGCGCCGCGAGATGCCATGTGTAGGATTGTTGGCCAGCACAAAGGCCTCCGGAAAGGACGAGGATGAGAGTGGAGATCAAGAAGACGGGGCGGCGACCGATGGCTAGAGCGAGCGGCATTCCAATCAGGTTTCCAATCCCCATGAAGAGGGTTGGAAAGGTCATAAGCCCTGTTGGTCGCCACAAAAGTCAGCAATTGAAAACATGAACATTTCAGACAGACACTTACAGGTTATCTCAGCCTCTGTACGCCCTTCTGCTACGTATATTGGTATGAAAGTACCAAGGACTCCTCCCTATGACAACTTGTCAGCATTTTGGCTCACACATAGTAGAATGAGAATACTTGTGGACGGGACGTCGAACTTACCAGACCGCTGACCATTGTCAACCCGACGGTTGCATATATCGCCACGAAGGTCAGGAGAAACTACAAGCCTCCGCATTAACCACCGAGACTTGTATAATAGGCTTGGGAAAGGACTGACCCATTTTCGGAGCACAGGTAGGTTGAGAGGGTCTGTTGTTTTCAGATTGTCAGTAATCCTTACGATCACCAAGATTTCGTTTGAGGACTGCAGGTCAACCAATATCTATCTTACCTCGAGGATCTGGACTAGGTGTGGGGATCAAGTAGACTGTGTCTCCTGGACCAGCCAAGCCGACATCGCCATGAAACTCCTCGGGCTGGTCTGCTAAAGTCGCGGCTTTAGCAATGTCGATCTCATCCCGCGACTCGACATGCTTGTACGCGAATAGTCAGCAAAGTTTGAATCATGGCACGTGTGTGCGTGTTATCCAAGTGAACACCAGGAACCCAGCACAACTCGACGCGCTGGAGAGGAATAAAGAGCAGTGAAGAGTTGCATACAAGTATAGTTGACTTGTCTTCACCCATTGTGGCACTCCACCACGGCTGACTTTTCGGGATATGTTGAGGGAGGTGAAAGGATCGCTGCTGTGAGCTGATGACAGCTTCATGGGCACGGTCAAAGTGTCAATACGACGTGGACGTCGCTGTTCTTATGCAATCATCTCGTTTCGGTTCGTCTGCGTCCTCATCCCGGAGAGGGGGCCAAGGAGGGCAAGGGGACTTTCATTGCAACGACCAACCGAACGCCTGCCAATTGATGTTACAGCGACGAGCCGGAAAGGTGTCGTCGGCTCGACGCTGGGGCCGGCTTCATCCCTGATGGCTTGAGCCATTACCGGGTCTCTGATTACTGTGGTGGTCTCGTTCGGAACGGGTCCCATATCTACCCTCCCCTCCCCCCTGGTTTCAGCTGTCCGCGTGCCCCTTTGTTGGACTTAGTTCTTGGGGCTAAATCCCGCCAGTCTGGGGTGCTACTTGGCAGTTGTGGGGTTGGAATCTGGGGTCGGCAGGTGGCGTTTGCGGGGGAGATCCGGGGCAGAAGACCGAACCGAAGCCACCCACTGCTCTTTCCGAGACTACTGAACTCCCTCAAAATAGTCGCAACGAGCCGAAGGACCACCAAAACGACGACTCAGCTTCCAAGCCACACGGATGGGGGATGCGATCCCACCGGAGCACTTTACAGTCATTAAATGAAGTCATTCTGAGCTTTAGAACTCACCAAGTATCAATGTTAGTCATTGACATTGATCAGCTCAGGCAAATCCATCTAGGTAGATTTGAATGACAGTTCGCTTCTCAAAGGTGAAGCTTGTGGGACTCTGGACCTCGGGGCAATTGCGGATACAGTCCGAATAGTGAGTGACATTCTCGTCGAAACTAATATAGAAATACATGGCGATAACGATCCCGGGTCCTCAAGCCTTGATATACGGTATTCCAGTAAGCTTGAAAGCCCTCTCGCTCAATACGGGCTCATGAAGTGGCCTCTCCCGTTGCACACTCTCTGGCTTTCCATTGCGTATGGCCGTGTTCGTTCCCAAGACTTGCGCATTCGGCCAGTGCGTCGTGCCGACCTTCCTGTCCCAGGCGTCCTTCTTCCTGATCAGATCATCCTGGCTGGCATCTGCAACTGGCATGTAGCAGGTGTATATGGCCAGCCTGTCCTGATTTCCCGTAGCTGGGACGTTGTAGTGAGGAGCACGAGAGTCCCCTAAGGAAAATTTCCGTTAGTGGTGAGTAGATTAAGAGGAAATGGGCTGCCTAGTCAGGAGAGAAAGCACTTACAGAGGAGCAGGTCGCCAGGCTCTGCCTCCAGCTTGACCCATTCGCAGCCACGGTCCTTCAACCACTGCATGCCCTCGTCCTTGAAGCCGTACCACTCGTTTGTCCACTGAGGGATGCGGTCCTCCTTCCCACGGAAGTGGTCGTGGTACTCCTCACTAAGCAAGTGTGCACCCTTGCACACAATCAGACCTCCGTCATTTGGGCCGTTAGGCAGCAAGTTGACCAGACCCTGGAGACATCTAAACCCAGGAATCTCCGGGTCTTGGTCCTGGTGAGGCCAGGGACTGTTGGAAGGAAGGTTCTTGCGATTGTGAAAGCCGTAGTTGATCGTGTCAAAAGACACGAGCAAGTCCTCGGTCCCGTAGACCTTCTCGAACGTGCTGAGCACACCCTCCTCACTCCTGATGTCCCAGACAAAGGCCTCATGGCAAGCGCCATAAGGGAGGAGCATGCCCTTCTCGTTGATGACGGGCAGCTTGTCCGGGTGGACGGTGGAGGGGTCGTTGCGGTCATACCCGAGCCCGAACGACTCGACGAGCGAGTACATCTTATCGGCGTACTCGAGCGCCCGCGAAGGCGGCACGGCCCCCTTGACGACCGCGTAGCCGTCCCGCACAAGGTCGTCGCGCCAATCGCCGAAAACGGGATCGGTGCCGTCGACCTTCATGCGGTAGCCGCTGTGCTCTGTGTTGCCGTTCTTGAGGCCATTCTCGCCAGTGGGCTGGCCCCGAGTGGTGGGTTCAGTGACTGTGGTGGAGTTGATGACCATTGTGCTGTGTGAATAACGCTCTTGGTCAAAAATTGGACTTGGATTTTGCAATAGTGTGTCCTCAAAGATGCTAGGTGGGTTGAATCTTGCTTATGCCAATTATGCCGAGCAACTGGGCATTACACGGAGTAGTGGGCCACAATTTTAACAACATCTTAGATGGCAAAATATCAGACTAGCCCGAGGTCTACTTTTGGTGCTCCTGGTAGTGAGACTGCACTGGATCATCCCATCAAAGCCGTACGGACCTGGTTGAAGGGGTTCGGCTCGGTTCGGTTCGGAGCGCTTGAGGGTCCTCGGAGCACTCAGGGGTAAGGTTTGGGGATCCGGCTCAGCTCCGGGCCCGCCATCCCGGGGGCGGGACTGGGACCACGAATCGGGCCCAGCATGGAACGGGGGAAACCAATGGGCGAGACGTGGATAATAATCAATGCGTTCAGAACATGTTTGTAATACCCAAGGCCCAAGGTCTTGGGAGCACACTGTCGGTCACATGCACGTCTCGTGATACCTGTCCAGACTATCCCAACTCCTTTACCAAATTTCAATACTGCCATGGCTGCCACGGAATCCGGCGATGATTTTCGCATTATCATTGTTGGGGGCGGTATAGCAGGACTTGCTACTGTTAGTAGATTCAGAGTGACAACTTTGTACAGTGCAAGACTCTAACAAAGCCGATTAGGCAATCGCATTACGTGCTCCCAGGCGCCAGATCACGGTGCTAGAGCGTTCTCGCATGCTCAGAGAGACAGGTGCTCTGATCTCCCTTCAGCCGAATGCTTCCAAGATCGTGACGGAATGGGGCCTTGATCCCATCCTGCAACGGGTCGCAGAGCCCCAAGCCGACAAGGCATTCCGCATGTTCAACACGGAGGGCATTCTGGTCCGGGGGATCCCTCTGAACACCAGCACGTTTGGCGCGGACCGGATGCTGTACCATCGGCAAGATCTGCACGCGGCCTTGAGAGAGGCGGCGAGTACGACTGAGGGTGACTGGGAGGGGAAGCCAGGCGTTGTGATCAAGACTTCGGCCGAGGTAGTGGATTGTGACGCGGCTGGAGGGACTGTGTCTCTGAAAAGTGGTGAAACTCTGAAAGCGGACCTCATCATTGGCGCAGATGGCATCAAATCAGTCATCAGGAATGTCGTGGTGGGTGAGGAGAGGACCGCCCAGCCTACCGGGCTCTCCGCGTACCGGATGCTCATACCCGCCGCAAAGCTCCCAACTGAACAGATACCAGAAGGGATTCTTAAGATGGAAGACCCAGCAGCAACGACAATGCTCGTCGGAAAGGACAAGCGTGTCATCATGGGCCCCGGCAGAGGCGGAACACTGCTCGGCATCGTCGCCTTGGTGCCAGACGAGACTGCAGAGGACCCCGCCGACGAGTCGTGGACGCGGCCAGGCTCCAAGCCAGAGCTTCTGGCCGCGTTTGCCGATTTCCCTTCCTGGCTTCGTGACATCTTTGAACAAGCAGAGGACGATGAGATCGGGCTGTGGCAGCTCCGTGACATTGACCCTTTGCCGAATTGGACCAAGGGTCGGGTTGTACTCATCGGTGATGCAGCACATGCGATGCTGCCCACTCAGGGACAGGGTGCCAGTCAGGCGATCGAAGATGCTGAGGCTATTCAGGCCTTCTTGTCTGACCTCGACGACCGGCCGGTGTCGAAGGATCAGGTGGAAAAGGCTTTGGAGAAGGTGTTCAAGGCGAGGTACGAGAGAGCCAGCCTGATCCAGGCATATAGCAGGGAGCAAGCACGGCCAGGCACGGCGGGCAGAGAAGTAACGCTGGATCCTGCTGAGTTTATGAGGTTTAACTGTGAATATCAAGGGGCGGTTGATTGGTTGGAAAGGCAGGCCAGGAAAAGCCACAGGCCATCAGATCCAGAAGGGCCGAGCTTGGTGGACGAAATGGACAAGCTCAAGCTTGTTGATCCTTGCTAGTTCATGGAGTTAAAGGGGCGGACAGAGGTGTACTGCAGACGCAATCTAGGAAATTCATTTGATGTGTTTGGTGTCAATGAACTGTTGATTCGCACTAGTTATTCTACTGGGTGATTAAACTCGAGTGGCTGGCCCATCAGAAAATCAGTACTCATCGACGTCCACAGCTGCTCCAACGTAATCTCTTCGTAAGCTTCAAAGAACGGGGGACCTTCTCTTGAGACCATCAGTGGCTCAATACCAGACATGTGGGCGTCAAATCCTCCAGAACCGCGAGCTTCCTCGTTCGAACGTTTGTTCGTAGTAGGCAACAGTTGCGTACCCTGATCGGCAGCTTGACTGTCTCTTCTTCCCTGAATGGGACTCTGTCCCTCTGTGGCGACCGCTTCCAAGATGCTGTCACGCAGTCTTTCGCAACCCTTTATGAATTCTGCAGACTGTCCTGTCTTTCGATAGAACATTTCGATGTAGTCAGTCGTGCCAACCAATAATTCCACATCACTCCTAATCATCCGCTTGCCGGGGTTCTTCAAAATATTCAACCCCAAAACAACCGCAGCAAGAAATGGTTTGAGTTGGTGCAAAGAGATGTTTCGAGGACACGACATGATCTGCTATCTCGAGCACCTGACGCGCCATGGACCTCGCGGCCGCGATGCTAAGATTCTGACTCTGCAGCAGCCGAAGATACGAAGGAAGTCGCCTGGTTGCGTTCCTCGTCCTGATCTCCTCGAGGTACTTCTGTGTTGGGAAAGCCAAAGATGCCCTGAACAAAGTGATTTGTGCCTGATAATACTGCAACGAAAGGAATGCCGCGATGTGTTGATGCTGGTGACCGGACTCGGAGTCCTCTGTGTCGGGCCCAAGATGGACCAGCTCGTGGCCTGGCTTGATACCTTCCGGCACTGTTTTGACCCACTCCAGAAGAAGCTGGTCAAGCCGCCCGGTCTCATAGAGGAGTTGCCATGAATCTGAAATGCGTCTGTGATACAGATGCTCGCTTATCTGGCCCATGACGCGTGCGAGAGAGACCCACAGGACGAAGAGATGAAGAGGCCCCGTCACAGAGTCTCCTTCCGAGCTCTGGGGGTGTGGGAAATGGATTTGGTCAATCTCCTGTTCGGTCAAAGCCGAGGGTCGACCTGTTTCTAGCTCCATCAACCTCTCAATTGCGTAGCATGACCACCAGACTCGAGCTTCCAAGGAGAGCGTTGCCGCGCTTAATTGGTCGGACGTAAAAGTTTCTGGGAAACCTCTATTTGCTTGTCTCGAACGTGATGATATGTGCCGGTGAAGTCCTATAGAGTGTGCTATTCGGACCGCTTGCCCAGTGAGCTGCCAGCACTGGCCGTCCTTGGATTTGCCACGGAGGGCAAATCCGAGTAGTATCAAAGCTTGGACACTTGGCAAGTACGGACTGGCAACCAAGTGTCCGTAAAGACTGTATGCAGCTTCAAGATAAGAGTTCCCAAAATCCGTGGCAGAGCCAGCGGTTTCATCTGCGCCAATTGCTAGTATTGAAAAGATAATGACGATTGAGGGAACATCCTGTCACATTGAAATTAGTCTCTTGTGAAAGAAAATAATGGAGATCAACAGCAAGGCTGCCGACGAACCTGTTTACTCATGGCTTGGCTGAGGCCCCCGGGATGCACAAGCTGCTTCCGATGTAGTCGGTCGAATTCTGCAGAAATGAATTCGCGGTCGACGACGGGTATTAATGGCCAGACTTTCACGAAGAAAGTTTCGATGTGGTCTTGGGCGGAGTCGGGTAGGTTGGGCATCATGACTCTCAAAGGAAGGTCAAATTCCTCAACAAATCGCATTCCTTCTCTGAAACATGGTGTTATGGTCTGGAGTCGTCTCCTTCGCAGATGCATGTCCAAGAACGCAGTCAGACACTGCAAGCTGCTTCCACCAAGATACTATTAAAGTATTAATGAGTATTGTGTCGTAGTTGCAGCCTTTAAATTATAGAACGATTTCCCAGGGAGAATAAGTACTAACCTTCACTTTTTCGGAGTTATCATCAGTGTTGATGACGATATCAGGATGTTGATGTTGACCATTCGCCGCATGATCCGGGTCGTCTCCCTGGCCCTGAGCAGCAGCGTCATATGCTTTGGAGACCCACGATTGTGTCCTCAGATCGGAAGGTTGGGATGTGTTCCTGTCTCCCGAAAGGTTCATTCCAGTTCCGCCGTTGCCGTTAGACGGCGTACTGTTCGTGCCAAAGTTTGGTGTGGAGTTCCAGTCATGCGGCGATCTGCTAGTTGCCTCATGCCTCGTGCCGAGCGTCGTGGAATTAATATGTTGAGGCGAGTTTTGGAGGTTCTGAGTATCTGAAGGAAAATAATTAGCTTTCTACCTGTATTTTAGACTGATAAAGAGGCTTCGATCCAATCTCAAGGAGCTGCAATGTTGTCCACGTAGCTCAAAGAAGCCTTTGCAAAGAGTGGCACGTAGATGAGGACTTTCCTTCAACCCGTTCTGGTCTAGACTTGCACTGCAATTTCCACAACTTGAATGAATAACTTACTTGGACGGTCTTGAGGCGATGCACTGATGTGCTTGGGCACATAGGCCTGATTACGGTGGGTCGCAGCTGGGTTTTGCCCCGGAAGAAGACCATCTTTGGTGGCCCATTTACGCACAACAACGGGTCCTGCCTCGGGATGTCGTGGGTCTGTAGTCTCACAATCTTCATCCCGAAGCCAGCAATTTCGACACTAAAGAACTTGGTATTAGTTACTTTCGGTCTTCCTGTTGTAAAGGGCAAAACCAATGTGCTGTTCGATCCGTCCTCCAGCGCTCTTGACATTTAGGTCCGGCCCAAGACACATGAGGCAAGCGTCCCGACGACTTGAGAGAACACGTAAAAAGACGAATGCCATTTAATAGAGACTTTGCTCACCTTGGGGGTCTCCGCATCGCATCGAACTTTCCGTTTGCGACACTGGTTGCAGGCGAGATTTAGACGTATTCGCTTGGGCGCGTTCTCCGCCTTGTCGCCGCTGCTATCCACGGCCGTGACGGACTCTTGACCAGGAGAATCATTGGACACGTCCATGTCGGCTCCGGGTCCGGCTCCTGCCCCGGCTCCGAAAGCAAGATGGGTCGAATCCCGCCTGACGCCCGCCGGTGGTGCCATGTCTTTGCTGGACCTGGGCTGATGTCGACTGATGCCCTCGGTTCACTGCAGTGTATTCGGACGGCTTGCACCGACCCGGGGGCTCGGCTCGATTTCTATAGCTCGGCCTGCACCCAAAGTTTGTGCGGGGGAGCTCCCCCAGATTCCGGAATCTGGGGAGGTGGAGCCGCTGTCTGGGCACTAAGCAGGGAGTAAGGGTAGGGAGATCCGAAGTTGGTCCTCGGAAGCAGGCATCAACTGTGAGTGGGTATCCCTGACACTCTCGAAGTCGAATAGAAACCTCGGGATTTGACATTGATCGCAGGCTACACATGCGTGTGAAGCAATCATGCATCTCCAGACCTGCACAATATCCCGGCCGGGAATTGCAAGGTTTGCGGCCCAGGCATTCTCGATTTGAAACACCGACCAGCCCAGTGGACGATTTTAGCGTTAGGCAGTATGTAACTCCATCCAAATGCCCTATCTGTGGGGTTATACGATCAAGTTGGGATGATGGCGTTGGATCGCTGGGTACACAAGCCTACATCTACGGAACTCAAACGGTTTTCATCCCTTGGTCAGTTAGGGCAAACTTAAAAACTCACACGCGACGCATTCTTCAGGCCAGGTATGGAGCAAGAGGTTGAGGAAACTACATAACTATCTAGATGGTTTCACAGTATGCTGCACTTGGAATTCCAAGCTAATGCCACAGACAAGGGACCAAAACGTGTATATAGCGGTATATTTCATGCTAGTGCTACTCTCTGGAACCGGATCAAACTTCAATAAGCCTTGACGCCCGCCAACCGAAGCACCGTATCCGTAACCTCAGGCTTCTCAAACGGCTCGGTCCTGTACTTAGGACAAACCTCCCCATTTCTCATTGGCTTGTTATCAGCCGGCCTGATGTTGCAATGTGGCCAGTGGGTCGTGCCGGTGTAAGTCTCGAAGCACTTCTTCTTGGCCTCCAGAGCCTCCTCGGTCGCAAACCTGCGCGGAGTCATGCAGATGTATTGCACATTCCGGATCTGCTCGCCCTCAGGCAGGCGCGCATAGTGCATTGTCCTGCTGTCCCAGAGGACAAAGTCACCCGGCTCCATGTTCACCTTGATGAGCTCGCAGCCGCGCTCCTCGAACCACTTGACGTCCTTCTCCGAGAAGAGATACAGGTCCATGAACTTGATCTCTGGTGGAGGGGCATCCTCGTGGTCGTTGGACTCGCGCTTGTGAGCAAAGAACTCGTTGAAGAGGTGGGCCGAGCCTTTCATCAGCATGAGACCTCCGTCCTTGGGACCATTAGGGGAGTAGTTCAGAAGCCCCTGAACGGCTTGCATGCTGTGTTCGACAGAGTTAGCAGTGGCGGCAGCACCAGGGCGGGAAAGATGTCAACTCACCCCTTGCGCTCGGGGTTCTGGTCGCAGTGAGGCCATGGCGACCATTTCACGTCCTTGCGGTTTGGCATTGAAATGTTCATGCCATCAAATGAAGAAATCAACTCCTTTGTATCCCCTACGATATGTTAGTGGTCTGTGGTGGAGTAGTGTGACAGGCACTGGAAGCTGACTGCATGCGAGGGGCAGGGCACTGTGGCAGATTAAAGGAACCGTGTTTACATACAGAGCTTCTCGAAGATTTCGATGACGCCTGGTTCGGTGCGTGCCTCCCAAGCCATTTTCTCGTGCGGACCGCCATATGCGAGATACATGCCGCCCTTGAAGCTGATGGGCAGATGGTCTTCTGTCCACGTTTCAGGGTCGTTCTCATCAAAGCCGAGCTCAAAGTTCTTGAGCCACCGGATCTGCTTGTCGGCATAATGTTTGGCCCGCTCAGGCGAGATGACACCCTTGATGAGCACGCAGCCGTGTTTGTGGAATTCATCGCGCCAGTCCCCGTATACCTTGCTGGTATCAAAGCCCACGAGATCCTTGGTCTCGAACTGAGCGGCGAAGGTGCGGTGGGCCTCAGCCTCCTGGGTCTGAGTGGTTGTTTCTGTGCTAGACATTTTCAGATGAGTTGAGCTTGACTGTGTATTCCGTGGTAATTGTGTCACTGTGAGGTTGATTTCGTCTGGAGGAAGGGCTTCCAGGAAAGCTTTTCAAGTCACAAGAGACGTATTTATCCTCGAGTGGATTTGTGCAACACCCGATCGGTAGTGACCATGTGCCCTGAGAGGTTTCGCTACTCCGAGGGAGATGGGTAGCGCTCCGAGGAGGACATAGCGTTGGCCCCTCCCCCCACCGTCGCCGTTGCGGGGAAAGGGGCCACTCCAGAGTTGGGGAAGACCCTGAAAGACGCGACGCTGTCACAACTGAGATGGGGCCTTGGGTGACTGTAGCTGTTCTATGCGGAAAACTCCCACCTTACCGTCGTTATAAAGTCTCGTCACGAGCCTCGGTGCATCTAGAGCCCGAGGTCGAGCCTCGGAAGTCAACGAAGGAGACCGCGTTGGCCAGTGTTAAAACTAGAGTGTGACCCAGATACTTCGTCGTATTCTGCACGAGTTTCACCACATAATTATTGTTCTCTGGAGTAGCAGGCGTACGACATCGTGGTTGCAAGTACCATAAGTGCTGGTTCAGACTTTCCTCACCAATTCCGATAACCGTACCCGGAAGACCAAGGACCATGGCTCCAATTCCTCTTCAGGTGTCCATCAAACGACTATCTCAGCCCAAAGAAGGGGAGAACGGCTATGAGGGCTTCAAGCCTGGCACACACACAGTGCACCCCGCTGGCAGTCGCCCTTTCAGCCAGACGGATACCAAGCCCCTTCCAATTGATATTCGCGTTGACCATGATGTGTCAGTGACCGCGCGAGACGGAGTGCGCATCTACATGGATATCTATCGGCCCGCCTCTCAGGCGAGTCTCGACGTCTCAAAGCCAGAGAACAAGATCCCCGCCATTCTCTCCTGGTCCCCTTACGGCAAGAAATATTCGGCGCTCGACATGTTGCCAATGACTGTGTGGCATACATGTGTCAAGCGTGGCGAGCTCTCCGGCCTTGAGAAATTCGAGGGCCTCGATCCAGCCGTCTGGTGTCCGCACGGCTACGCCCTGATCAGCGTGGATACGCGCGGCGCGGGCAATAGTGACGGGTCCATGGTCATTATGGGGACTCAAGAAGGGGAGGATGGCTACGATGTGATCGAGGCTGTGGCCAAGATGCCTTGGTGCAACGGGAACGTCGGCATGGCTGGAAACAGCTACCTCGCTATCTCTCAATGGTACATCGCAAGCACCAGGCCACCAAGTCTGAAGGCCATCGCACCGTGGGAGGGTGCAAGCGACCTGTACCGTGAGCAATTCTGTCGTGGTGGGTGGTTCTCCATGTCAAACTTTGATCTCATCACCAAAGAGATTCTCAGGGGTCCGCCGAACTCCGGGGTCGAGGACTTCGCGGAAATGTATCGGAGGTCGCCCACTATCAATGCGTTCTGGAAAGATAAGCGAGTCGATCTGTCCAGGATTGAGTGTCCGGCTTACATCCGTGGAAGCGACGTGTCGAACCTGCACAACATGGGCAGCATACGCGCGTGGATGGAGATCCCACATTCCAAGAAGTGGATTCGGTGGGGCTCTTACCAAGAGTGGTTCGAACTTTATTCCTGTCCAGAGGCCCATGAGGAGCTTTTCAAGTTCATGGACCGTTACCTCAAGGGCGAGGATAACGGCTGGGAACAAGACACACCCAAGGTGCGGTGGGCTGCCCTGCAGTTTGGCGACCGAGAGGCTGTACATGACATTGTGCTGGAGGACTTCCCCGTTCCCAAGACAGAGTATCTCAACTTTTTCGCCGCACCAGGAGGGAAATTACTCGAAAAGTCACCGAGCGAGGTCTCAACGGCAGCCTACAACTCGGAGGACAGACATTCTTGGGTCGAGTTCACTCACACTTTCGCGTCGGCTTCGCGCCTCATCGGACTCCCAAAGACGGTTCTGTACGTGTCAGCAGAGGACACAGATGACTTCACCGTTTTCGTAATCCTGCGAAAGAAGGACAAGGATGGGAAAGACTTGATGCACCTGAACTTCCCTGTCCACGCGACGCCCGTGGGCAGCATAAAGGAGATCCCAGAAAAGCAACAGCAAAGCGTGAACTGTAAGTCCAAACCTGAATTCCCGTGGTTGCAGATCGTCTGACACCTGTTTCAGTGCACCTAGGGCAGATGGGCATCCTCCGCGCATCGCAGAGGCACATCGATCCTAGCAAGAGCATCCACCCGAACTTCCCTTTCCACCCACACGACCGCCAAGAGCCTGTTCCGAAGGGTACCGTTGTCAAGCTTGAGATCGGTATCTGGGCCCTCGGCGTGGACTTCGGCGCAGGCGAGAGCATTTCCCTGCGCGTGGGTGGCCAGTATCACAGTATTGCGGAGTATGCAAACTGGTCTGCGCCTAGGCCGGAGCATGAACTCAACCGCGGTCAACATACTGTCTACTTTGGCGGCCAGTACCCTTCTCAGTTGATTCTGCCTTGTATCGGCAAGCCTGAGGAGTCGGCATGAAAGAGGGGCTTGAATAGTCTTGCATCCAAATTTGGACTATATAACCACGGGTCGAGACTGGGCTTCGAGCTATACTCGAAGTGTGCCTAGGTAGCGATTGTGGAATGTGAAAACGTGCTGTCTGGGTTCAGCTGGCCCATCGAAGATTGTGTTGGTTGGTGTCTGAGTGTACATAGTGCAAGTGGTAAGCTCTGACCAATCATGATCCAATTCACAAGCGAACCATATCAACCAGGTTTACTGGGTACAAGCGGGTGTAATACACATATCAAAGCGAGGCGAGCTGAGAGGGAGGACGAGATTGGCGATGAAAGGGGTCGCAATCGTGGCTCCACAGATTCGCGAGCTGCACGCCGGCCGGCCTGGACGGCACGCAGAGTAGATGGATGACGCAAGAACGCAAATTGCCAGAGCATGGTCAGAGTGACTTCGAGCCAGATTTTCGGGAAGAGGCGCTCGAGGCGTTCGCGCTAACGCCTCATAATGTCACACTGGCCGCCGGCGGGAGGCACGGTCCACGGGCCAGTTCGTCATGTCAGTAGTATGGCGTTGCAACTGGTCGAACTGGGTAGCAGTGGCAAGACGTCGCTGACATCTGGGATCCGACGTTTTCTTTTTTGTCTTGGTGCGATTCCCAACCAACAAGTCCTTCAGGGGGATCATGACAATGACATGACAATAAAACTGCCGACTGGGGTCTGATCGCGGTGCCTCTTCTGCTCGGCAATGCAGAGTCTCCGCACAGGCGGACACGTGCAGCACTTTCTGCAGTGCTGCTGTCGTTTCCCTGTCGATCTCGAGGACCTGCTTGTCTGCTTGTTAGACCAGGATCACTCAGTCCAGACCAAACATGCAAATCGAGGCCTCTAGCGCCTGCAGGGTTAGCTCGCCGTCCACTGCCGGGTGTCTGACAGCCGGTCCTTGCACAAGAGAGTTCACCAAGTTGTATCGTGGAAGTGAACCAACCACTTGCTATCGTCGGAACTTGAAGCGAAGAGTTATCTACCGCATTTAAGATTCACCATCTAGATAAAATCGCCACCCAGTCCACGCGCTGGCAGTGGCCTCGGCACACCAAGACTAGCAAGGAGCGGCGCGGCCCTCAGCTAGATTTGATCGGTAATTCCAAGTCTCGGACTGGCCTCCCCGGCGGCTCCCAGATCCTTGGGGGGGCAGCATTGCAAGTGGCTCAAAGGAGCCCCGAGTATAACCAGACAGTCGATTCGAGGCCAAGGCTTCGGCGAGCATACTGGAAGTAGACAAAGAAAGGCACGGGGAACTCGAGTGCAAGCATCCGTCCCGGTCAGTGCGCAGGCCTTCAGATTGCAGTAAACCTGCAGTGTCTGAAGATCCTCGCGCTCGGACGCCCGCGAACCGTCCCACTGACAAGCGCGGGCCAGTGGTTCGTCCCAAGGCCGATGTCACCCACGCCCCCCTTTCAATCAATTTCGCACATCTGACAAAACCATGTCTCGAACTTCTAGCTTACTTTTGTCTTGTACAGATTCTCGAGGACTGGCAGTTGGTGGCTACCGGCGAAGAGGACCGAGCGGATGGGTGGCATCCTGTATGGAGCGGCGATCGACACTACCGCGCTCGGCGCTGCATTTCAATCTGCTCGAGCTGGTGCCCATATTGCTTATAGGTCGCGGGATGCCATGTGGAAATCTCATCACAGTTGCTTTGACCTGAAGAAGTGCTGAATGCCTGTCGTTGTGATCACACCTTGCCCTTTCCATTCACGCCTGTCACAGTTGGCGCGATGCTGAACTTGACGGCTGTGCCAGCATGTGGTGTAAGTCTATCTCGTGCCGCTTAACTCTAGATGTTTTGGAACGAAACATCTGACTTTCCCAGGTCTCCTGCCTAGTCTCCGAAATCTCGCAATCATCTTGTCCACTCACGAACCAGACATGTCTATGCGAAGACAAAGTATACAATGACCTTGTTCAAACTTGTGTTATCGGGAGCTGTACTGTCAAAAACCAGCTTTGTGAGACGTCATACTCAATCTTGTATCATCTCCACGTTCAACTGACTGGGAACGACATATAGTGACATTACGAGCCGCTTCTCTGGGATGTGGCGTCCCGGTCACAGACAGCTCAGGGAGCCTGAAGCTGCTCCATGCTTTGCTATTCGTCGCGCACTCCATATTCTTCTTTCTGAGGATGACCACTAGAGCTCTACGTCTCGTACCATGGGGCTTGGATGACACGACAATCGTCATTGCTTGGGTATGTATGTCCTTTTGTCGTTCACGATTAGCTGGGAAACCAAGTGAAAGCTAGATTGTTTCACGCTTCGAACAAGTGATCGGTCGTGCCCATGATGCTTGTTACTGTGGATTCTTTGCAAGCGCGTTTACTGAATTTAATTTGGGCAGGTTCTCGCTATCTTGTTCTTCGCTTCTGGTATCGTTGAAGCTGATCTAGGGGTTGGCAAACCATACTGGGCCCTAGAGTTCTGGCAGATCGATGGAAGCTTCATTGTGTTCTTCGCCTTCGAAGCGGTTTACAACCTATGCCTCGGGATGATCAAGATTTCGATATGCTTCTTCTACATGCTGATATTCCAGAGCCCCGGTTTTCAACGGGTGATGTGGGGCACGCAGATATTCAACGTGCTTACCATAGCTTGTTTCTTTTTCGTCGGCTGGGCCCAATGTCGTCCACTTTGGTACTTTTGGAAGGGCTGGAGCGGAGAATACGAGGGTACTTGCTTCGATATCAATGCCTTTGCATATGGCCATGCGGCTGTTAACATCGCCATCGACGTTTGGATGCTCATCTTGCCAGGGACTCAAGTTTGGAGACTGAACATGACCTTCAAGAGGAAGTTGGCAGTAACTCTGATGTTTGCCTGCGGTTTCCTGTGAGAAAACCCCTGAACATGAATCTATTCTCCACACTAACGCAGATTTCAGCTTGACAGCAATCAGTATCACCCGCCTTACATACATCATCGGCTTCTTCGGGAACTGGGCGAAGTCAACTGATGCCCAAGGACTCTACAACGCGGCTGTGTGGACAACAGTCGAGCTGACGACGGGGTTGATAGTCGCTTGTCTACCGGCCTCGCGAATCATCGTCACCAAATACGTCGTCAAGGTGTTGGACTCAACGGGGTTGTCAAGGTCATCGAGGAAGAGCCAATTGCCCTCCTCGCCGGAAAATAGCAACCGGCCCAGCAACAGAGGCTCGGGCAGAGCAAATGGTATGCTGACATCGAAATTCTGGCTCCCCGTCACCTCGATAGTGGGAAGCACTGCAACCACCGCAAACGACACTCGGTTGGAAAGTACAAGGCACGTTCATGATGCCGACGGTGAATCCAACATGGAATTGGTCAGCGTCAGGTCGCATGCAGTTCACGACACCGACGCCGCAGCAGACTTGTCCAGGCGACCAAGTCAGCTTGGCGAGAAGCGTCAGACGACTGAGAATGTTTAGATTGATATAGTACAGAGTCACCTCTATCGACGCTTAATTAAAGCCCATAACAGTACTACAATTTTCTTCTAATCGGTGACTGTGTTTCCATGGACGGTAACTGTCCTCGTTTGGAGTGAAACGCATCTGTTGCCTGTGTTGCAAGGAAGACCAGTCAGGGATCATTGTGATTCACTTTACTGGGAGGTGGAATGTGTTTCTTTGATGATTGTGAGCAGCCTCTTCAGTGATGATACTTGAGAGCTGTGGCGGTCGATTGGGTGTGGCGATAGTGCGATTGGTTGTGTTCGAAGTGGGCTTGTGGCTAAGTTTTGAGTGCAGAAGGGACCCCAGGGCACCCTTTTCAAAGGCTTACATACGTGGTACTTACCCTCCATTCTCTGTAACCCCCCCCCCCCTCCTCTTCCCGTTTAACCGTCATAGCTGCTCCTGCTACGATGGGCAAGCTCAGGAGCAATGTTCGCGCAAGTGCCATGGGGACAACACCATTTGAAACATCCAATATGCAAAAGAAAGTCTCACTTTGGCAGAGTTTGCAAGTGCCTTCAAGAATAATATCTTGAAACTTTATTGTGCTAGTACTGCGACTGCTTCGCCGAAAAATATCCACCACCCCCAATTACAAACACTGCTATCCAATACCATAAAATGTGCTCAATACCGGACATAGACGCGCGCCCGAAGCGATCACATCTCCCTGCCTTGAACTGTCACATGCACCTATTTTTAGTTGAGGGGGTCATGATTGGACAAACCCCGCGAAACATCGATGAATGCAGTGCGGAATGTTCACACGTGCTTTGCGACCGAGACAAGAGGACCAATACCTCGACCCTCTGCGCCATCTGGAGGCTCGCTCTCTGAATTTTGTTGGGTTTCCTTGAGCAAGTCCAATCGGCCCTTACATGTCTCGCCGGTAGGCGCTCATGAACTTGGAGTACCACTTGTCCGACTTCTGCGGGGCATTGTCCATCACCTGGGCGCCGTCCTCGCGCCCGGGGACGTCGACGCGCTCGCCGTCGAGGCCGGTGTTGGTGATGGCGTTCTGCTGCTTGCCGAGGTAGAAGTCGGGCATGAACAGGGTGGCGACGGTGGGGATGCAGGCCAGCACGAGGGCGGCGATGGCGATGTGGCCGTTGATGGCGGCGTAGGCGCGGATGGCGGCCTGGCGGATGGGGTCGTCGAAGGCGTAGCCGGAGCGCAGCTTCTTGATGGACCCGTACAGCTTGTCGATGGTCTTCTTGTCCGCCCCGGCCGGGATCATCTCGTCGTACATGCGCGACAGCATCTCGTTGGTCCAGATGGCGGACGAGATGGCGCTGCCGACCGAGGAGCCCAGCGTCGACCACAGCGCCAGCAGGGCGATGACGGTGGCCATGTCCTCGTGCGGCACCGCGGCCTGGGTTCCCACGCGAGCGCCGACGACGTTGAAGGAGCCCAGGCAGAAGATGAGCTGCGCGGCGACGAGGCGGCCCGTGTCCTGGGTCATGGACCCGCTGCCGCCGTTGACCAGGATGCCGTAGGCGATCATCCTCGCGACGGCGCCGAAGAGCATCATGGACTTGTAGCGATGGGTGTGGCGCTGGATGAGGCCGACGATGGGGCCCAGGAGACTGAGGCCCATGGTCGTGATGCCCAGGAAGATGGTCCACTGGTAGGTGGTCCACTCCTTGATGACATAGATGTACGAGGAGAAGTAGGTGTTGCGGACAGACGAGGCGGTCTGGTTGAAGGTGAAGACGATGACACCGGCGATGAAGGCGCGGTTGTTGAGCACGCGCTGGCTCATGAGCGGCACGGGCGCCAGGTAAACCTCGAAGAGGATAAATGCGATGAGCAGCACGAAGCCCACGACGAGCATGGCGATGATGCTCCCGTTCTGCCACCCGCCGTCGGCGTCCTCGGCCAAGGTCAGCGGCAGCAGCAGCAGGGCGAAGGACACGCCGAGGATGATGAGCCCCAGGATGTCGATGTCGATCAGGCCCTGGTACGCAAGCTTGGTCCAGTGGGCAGCACCCTTCTTGGAGGCGCCGTCAGCAGCGGCACCGGTCCTCTCCTGCTTGGAGCCGGCAATGGTGACCATGCCCATCTTCTCTCCGCGGCGCTGCATGGCGTACAGCGTGAAGATGGCCGGGGTCAGCAGCACGGGGACCATGATGGCGAACATGCCCAGGCCCCATCGCCAGTTGTCGACGAAACCCTCGGCAATGAAGCCGTTGACGGGCACGGTGATGACGAAGGGGATGGCCAGGAGGGCGCCGAAGAAGCCACGCCACTCGAGCGGGGTCAGATCACCGACGATGATGTCGCTCAGCAGGTCAAGGCCGGACTTGCCGACCGACGTGAAGCAGATACCGATGGTGTAGGCAGCAAAGGTGCTGGAGCTGGCGGCGACGACGAAGCCGATGACATAGAAGACCAGGATCACGACGTAGGTGGTGGGCCGCGAGGTGATGTCGGCCAGCTTTCCGATGAAAGGCTTGGCGATGGCACGCACGATCTGGCTGGCTGTGCTGACGGCGGCGAGTGAGCTGTGCTGCCCAAAGGTGGAGCTGGCCATGGTGGTGAAGATGGTGGACGTGATGCCCTGGTCGAGGGCATATGCGAACATGGTCAGGCCGATGGACACGCCCAGCAGCCATAGCAGGATCTTGCCCGTCGGGCCCGACTGGTACAGCACCTTGTTGAAGGCCTCGACCTTGGTGACACCCTGCTGGGCAGTAGTTGCAACTCTTTCGACGGGCTCGCCCAGGTTCGAGGTGATGGTCTGGCGGTCGTTCGTCTTCAGCGGGGAAAGATCATTGTCCTCGTGGGCGCCGTTGGCGTTGTTGGTGGGCTCGCCAGTCGAGCGAGAGCCCGGCCTGTTGCCAGCCGGGCCATCATCAGCCCTGGGCGTCGACATTGTGAGAGTAGCTGTGTCTGTAGCTGTTGTGGCTTCGTGGAAGAATCACAGGGTTACAATGCCCTGCAGGATAAAAGAAGGGATCAGCGAGAAGTGAGGGTGGGAATTAGCCAAGGCTAGGCTGAAGACTCTTGCAGCGAGGCGAGGTGGTCCCAAGACCCAGATGGGACGGGGTGGTTCGATGTGTGCAGCTCGGGTAGGATTGGACAGGTCAAAGGTACACGTGAAGGCCCGGACGACGGTCAGGGCACATGCTGGCAAGGGCGCGTGGGGGAAGACCAAGAGCAGAGATCGAGACGGGCAGCTGGACAGGGACACAGGGTGTTGATCTCGCTGGGTGCTATATAGACCCGAGTTCCCGGAGGTTTACTCGATTGGGAGGAGGTGAGCCGGCCAGAAGGTGCAATGTTTTGGCGGTGGAGCGTGGCAATGAGACCTGTAGACCAAGGTGGCCAAGGAGGGTAGGCGCACCCGCATGTGCAACGGAAGTGAAGGGGGCGGCGGGTGGTGGGCGGCGTTGCAATAGGACACGGAAACACCCCACGCCCATCACACGAGCTGAAGAGGTGTGGCCTCGAAACCTGTTGGTTGCTCCATCGGGAAGCAGAACCTTCCTAGGCGCCCCATCGTAATCTTATCAGATCAAATCAGTGCGTGGCCGATATAGGAGTTACATTGTGTAGATCAATGACTAACAGGGATTGGGGGCCTTGGGGGGTCTTGGAGGGATTCTCGCCAGGGCTAAGTATTATGTGACATTCTGACATCGGGTGCTTGGCATTGCTACATGTCAAAGTTTTTGCCTCTCCGTGGGCTCCAACACTCCACGATCGAGCCGAGGACAAGGGAATAACCGGAGTGACAGGAACGGCACAAAAGTCCAAAAAGGGAGAACAATGGATCTCATCCACAATTCACAGCATGCTTTTTATTTCTCTTTTCTTGTTTCCTTCCCTTGTCAAGCCACGCGACTCCTCGTGGTGGATGGATCCCGTGCCACCAGGGGCCGTCTCATTTGATATTCTTAAGCGACCGAGGGAAAAAGAAAATCCTGTTCGCAAAACGGACATCAGTGTGGTTCTATTGGCAGATTCTATTGATAGTCTGTGTATTCTATTGATAGTTTGTAACTGAGCGCCTGATGCGGTTGTCCAAATATTCATTGTTACGACTCGAATCACCGCTGCATGTTGCTTCAGCCTCGTTCTCGCATTAAAGAATTAAGTGATTGTTGTAGTCTAACCGAGTCTATGTGATATTGATGTCCATGTGCAATTGTGTCCATGTCCGAACACCTTTCCAGGAGTCTATTCCCCAGTCGTTAAGTCGTCAACATTCAGCGCCTCTCTCCAACGGTAATCTTGGACGCATCACAAAGCGACCTGAAGATGCTATCCCTCTTTGCAAAGAGCTCCGGGATGCCATCAAACTCGGCCACATGGCCAGCCTCCATGACAACGACGCGGTCGCACGTAGCAATGATGGTGTCCAGGCGGTGAGCCACAGTCAGCACCGTCGCGTCCCCAAGGACCTCGTTCAGCATCTCCTGCAGCTGTGCGTCCGCCCGCCCGTCAATGGACGCCGTCGCCTCGTCCATGATGACGATCTTGGACCGCCGCACCAAGGCGCGAGCGATCGAGATGAGCGACCGCTGGCCCTGTGAGATGTTGGCCCCGTTCTCTTTGACCTCGAAGTCTAGGCTGAGGCCTCCCGTCCCGCGTACCGACTGGACCGTCTGTTGCTTCTCGAGCTCGGTGGTGTCTTCAGTAGAGGCGGGACTAGGGATTCCGTTGGCGATGTCCTGCGTGCCGGTTTGTTCGTCCGACTGTGCGAGCTTGACCCTGCCCAGACACCTCTGCAGCCAGGCGTCGTCGTATTGCTGGAACGGATCCAGGTTGTACCTGATCGTGCCGGCCAGAAGGACAGCATCCTGGCTGATGACTGACATGCTTGACCGGAGCAGACTCAACCCAATTGTGTGTATGTCGACGCCATCGATGACGATCTTGCCACTCGTGGGCTCCGTGTTCCTCAGCAAGGCCGATATCACTGGACAAGAAAGCAGTAGTCAGTCAGCCGCTCGCGACGATGGTGAACAGGGATGTAATTGGAATGCGAGTAAGGGATTGGGACCAATAGGAAAAGTGAAGAATCAGTCAAACTCACAAGTAGTCTTTCCTGCACCAGTACGCCCCACAATGCCAACCTTCTCGCCAGGCTTGATGTCCAAGGTGACATCCCTCAGCGCCGGCGGCAGGCCAGGTCGATGACAGAGGGTGAGCGCCTTGAACTCGACGTGGCCGGCGTCTGGCCACGCCTTAGCCTTCAGGTCCTTATCGACGCCTTCAGCCTCGTAGGCGGGCTCCTGCTCGATGTTGTACGCGTAGTGCAGCATCCGCTCGACCGAGTTCATGTTGTTCTCGATCTCAGCGCTCTGACGGATCATGTTGCCAAAGACGGACTGGGCCTGGACCACGTAAGACAGCACCACGCCGCCGGCGGAGGCGCTAATAGTGCCACGCAGGCCGACGACAAGAATGCCCGAGACGAGGACAAGAACAGCACCGCACAGGTCCAGGCGCAGGTTGAGCCAGCGCTGGCAGGCCACGGACATCCAGTAGGCCGTGTTCTCGGTGTCGATGCGGCGGGCGTTGTCCTCGACGAAGCGAGAGACGGCGCCGAAGGCCTTGAGCGTGGCCAGCCCAGAGAGCGACTCGCCAAAGTGCTCGTAGATCCGGCTGCGCAGCAGGTTGTTGAGGCGGCGCAGCTCGCGGGCCGAGGGGCGGTAGTACATTCCCGTCCAGGTGTAGGCCAGCAGAAGCACGGCGGCGATGGCCAGGAAGGGCGGCAGGATGATGGTGACGAGGATGATTGTGCCGATGGCCTGGACGGTGGTCGAGATGAAGAGGCGCAGCGTCTCGCCGACGACATTGTCGACGGCGTCGACGTCCTTGCTGAAGCGGTGCGTGATCCGGCCCTGCGGCGTCGTGTCGAAGAAGGCCAAGGGGGCGTGCAGCACGCGGGCGATGGAGGCGTGGTGCAGCCGGTTGGAGCAGTAGAAGCAGAAGAGGGCGAAGCTGGCGCTCATGCAGAACAGGCCGACCGACTGGCCGATTCCAAAGGCCGCGTAGCCGCCCATGTACTGGGACTCGGTGATGGACCCGTACGTGTTCCCTTGCCACCACGTCAGCCACAGCGGCGAGACGATGCTCGTGCCCTGGTAGATGATGATGGACGTCACGAAGAGCGGCACCGTTATGAATGCGTTGCCCATCGCCACGTAGCGGAGGTATGTCTTGCCGCTGACGGAGCCGACCAGGCGCTCCTCCTTCTGCATGATCTCTTTTCCACGGCCTGCTGCTTCTGGCCCCTGCTTTTTGTTGCTGTCATCTTCCGGCGCCTTTGCTTCTGGGGAAGACCCGGGCAACAGCGGCTCTTGCTTCGCCTCTACTTCTTGGTGCTCCTCGTCGTGTTCCTCCTCGTCCTGTGCAGATGACCATGAGTCCATGGACGTGCCTACAAAACGAGCGAATGGCCCACCACGTCTAGACAGAACCGCGTACTCGCCCTGCTCCGCTATACGACCCTTGTCCATGTACACCACGTGGTCGGCTTGGGACGCAAGAACCATCGAGTGTGTGACAAGGACCACAGTCGCCTCCTTGTTGCGGCGCGCCTGGTTGACGACCATCTCAAACACCTGCTTGCCGACGTCTGCGTCCAGGGCTGAGAAGCAGTCGTCCAGGAACAGCAGCGGGCTCCGGCCGTAGATGGCTCTGGCGAGACTGATGCGCTGCTTCTGGCCGCCAGAGAGGGACACGCCCATCTCGCCCACCACTGTCATGTCGCCCTCGGGCAGCAACTCCAGGTCCCGGTGCAGACAACACCGGGAAAGCACCTGATGGTACCAGGCCTGGTCGAAAGGCCGGCCGAAGACGATGTTCTCCCTGACCGTCTCACTGAGCAGCCAGGCGGATTGGGAGGCGTAGGCGAGCGAGGGCGTGTTGACTTGGCAGTTCCGTACTTGGAGGGGCTGCATGTCGCCCATGAGGGCCTTGAATATCGATGACTTGCCCGATGCAACGGGCCCAACAATGCAGACGAGCTGGCCTCTCTCAACGATGAGCGAGTCGATGTGCAGTCTTCGGGCCTTGTGCGGTTGGCTTTCAAGGGGCGTTGCCAGAATCTGGCCTTGGTTCGCTTCCTGGTTCTTCCCGTCCTGGGCTGTCTCCGTGGCTGTTTCTGTAGTGTTCTGAGTCGATGTCTCGCTTCTTTCGTCCAGGAGATCCTCGTCATCATGATAAGCGAAAGTAGCCTCCTCGACTGCAACCACGGTCTGGGGTGGCTTGTCTCCGTCAAGCTCTGGATTCGTGCTGCTTCCCACGAATTTCGGAGGAATGGGACCACCTGCATCTGATGCGGTCATGAAGATAGCCAAGCGCTCGAGAGCCGCCCGGGCGTCCGCAATGGCCGACAGCGAAGTAGGCAGGGCCTGAAGTGGCGTTCTCAGCAGCATGAAGAAGGTGAGGCCGGAGAAGATGATATCCGCCTTCAGTCCGCCCTGCGTAGCCCCGTAGGTGACTATAGACAGCACAGCAGCAATCATGGGCGCCGTGTATGAGACGGCCGTGTTGAGAGCCCTGAGAAGCATTCGCTTGCGGATGTACACGACCTCATCAGCCCTGAGGTGCCCGATCTTGGCGAGGAGACTCTTCTCATAGGCGTTGGTCTTGACGAGCCGGATCGCTGAGACGGCTTCCACGACAGCCTTGACTCTCGCGTCGGTAAAGGGCATGCTGCCCCTGCGGAGCTTAAGCAGCTTGCTCACCATGAAGGTCTGAAGGGGATACAAGAGAGCCAGCAGGCCAAAGCCGGGGAGGGCGCTATAGCCCATAGTCCAGATGGTCAGAGCGAGACAGAGCACCATCTGGAGGATACTGGTCCAGGCAGAGTGGAAGTAGCCGCACACAAAGTCTACACGCGTCACGTCGGCACTCATCAGACTCATGAGCTTGCCCACGCCTGTGTACCCGTTGCGGAGCTTAGCCCTCTCCGTGAGCTGGTCCGACGTCGCCCGCCGGTAGATGGTGTGCATGAGCGCACCTCTGAGAAGCACGCCCGTCGTGTAGGACCGGTAGAAGCCGTGGACGTTGGCCGTGACGGAGAAGACCAGCACGAGGAAGAGGCCCACGACAAGGCCATAGCCCGCGCGGGTGGCGTGCTCCGACGGGTCGGACAAGTAGGAGATGGCGAAGCGGATGAGCAGCGGCGTCACCATCTGGGACAGGTCTCCGCACAACTTGAACAGGCCGCCGAGCCAGAACCAGCGGAAGCAGACGTCGTTGAGGGCCATGGTCAGGACCGTTGTGTCGCTCCTGCGTCGCATCCAGAATGGCTTCCATGACTTAGACTCAGCTGGCCGGTTCCTGTTCTTCTCCAACCTCGCCGCCCAAAAACGTTCGAGTCTGTCGGCATGATCCTCGGCCCGCCTGTGATCGGGCATATCATACAGGTCGTCGGTCTGCAGAGGCCTGGTGTAGCCTATCCTGAGGGTTGGGCTCAGCCATCCGAACAACAGGATCGAAAACCAGTTTGCTGTCGATTCTGGCAGCTTGGCCCTTGGGCTGCTCCCGGCCTCCGTTCCGGCCCCGTCTCCAGCTCCATCTTCCACGTCTCTTGGGGTTGCCTTTTTGGACTTTTTTGAGGCAGGCTCGGTCAGTCGTCTCTCAATGGGCTTTGTCGACAAAAACGGCACCTTCCTGTACCATTTCCGAGGAGGAAAGGTAGAGGTTCCCGTGACGTTACTAGCCATTCTGGGTCCAGGGACTAGAATGTGCCTGTTACGACATGTGTTTCAGTGTCCTGAAGCGAGCCTGAGTAGAGGAGCGAGGTCTGGTGGCTGTCGGGTAGTTGCTGTTGGTGGCGCCTAGGTCGGCTACTAGGGGGCATTCTCGTCCTCGCCCCTTACCCAAAAACCCCTGCTCAGGAGTGCTGTACAAGTGTACGAATTAGGCAATGAGGCTGGCCTCCGAGGACGGAACTACAGTCCCCCTTGGCCGAAAAGTCAGAATCGGACCCCACGGGTGCTTGTGGAAGGTGGAGTGTCGACATCTTCTGCGCTGGCCTCTTGTCGAGGGCGTGGCCGTATTTGGATCGGCTCGATGACACATGAGAAGAGACACAAGTTCACCGTATTCTTGGCAACCGTTCTGCAAAGAAAAAAGACGCTTGTTTAGCGGATACCACAGCAGGCGGCTGCACTGGTGCTTGTGTCACTGCTACCGTTCTCCCGCACTGTATATGTGGGAAAAAATGTTCAGAAGCTGGAAGGATGGACCCACATTACCGTCATCACAACCAAGCGATTTGCCGGCAAGATAACTTTTTCTTAAGCATTTTAAAGACGAAATACTTAAGATATGCTGTTGAACATGAAACAAGATTTTAATAGTAGTTTTCCACGTAACATTATTAAATTTAAAAGTGAATTTATAATTTATTAAATTTTAATTTTCTTTTTCAAAAAAGAGATTTATAAATAATTTCCGAGTAATAAATAATTATAAACTGTTTATAATCTTTAAGTTCCTTTACTAAGCTGGAACGATAATGATTGTCCTAGTGTAATGATTACTTATAATAATAAAATTTTCAAATATTGAATAAATTTTAAAGCCTGTACCCATATTATCAGTAACATCACTAATCTATCATTCATCTTGTATTGTATTATGTGGGGATTTTACGATACTTGCTAGTCCACTTGGTAATGTCGCAGTACACAGCCTTGGCATCATTTGGCATTGTTAATAGATTCACCCAATGAGCTAGGCCAAGCTGAGACACAACCATCCAATGCTCATCAAGTTATAAGCAATCCGCCCACACGCTACTTCCGCTGGGAATGCAACAAACGAGTGCCGTCATCTCTATCAGTCTTAGCTCAAGTTTTAAAGTTGCGTGTTGCCACACCTAGTCCATTAGTCTGATTATCTGCCGCAGAAGTTTGAAGTCTTGAACTTGCATAGAAACAGAACTGGATCAAATGTAAGTTTCCCAATCTGAGTGGCCGCACTGGTATGGCTAGAACACTACTCTAATTAGATCACAGTCAGAGCAAGTGACAAAAATGGCAACACAAGTGCAGAGTCAAGTCAAAGTCAACGGCACCGAGGGAGCGGGCCACCGACTCGACGCATTAGCAAGCACAGGAACAGTTGGAGGTGTAGATGTCGACGCTGAGAGGACTTCATTCAGACTTCCTGATGGCACCACGCAAGTATGGATAGCCACTAAAGGCACCGGCTTCGTGGTGGGCTCCGGTGACAGTCTGCTGGCCGAGTGGAAGAATGACGAGAGAGAGGCCAGAATCTCACCAGCCATGGTCAACGAAGACAGGGCCGAGTCGGCTCAAGTCCTGCGGCTCACAATCGACAGCTCACCTCCAGAGCCTGACTCCAATGACCTCGCTCTCCAGCTGGTGTGGGCCTCCATCTACGCACTCTGGTTGCACCCAAGCCACAGGGACGACGATATCATCGCCATCTCTGTAGACGGCGAGAGAGTGGGCGAGTATCTGCGCTGTACCGGCCTCGCTGTCATCTCACCATTGTCTGAGAGCACCTCTGGCCCAGATGCCATCTACTGGCTGCAACGTGAGGCTTTCTGGCAGGGTGCCGGCGCGCCAGACAACCAGCACTGGCTCCGTGCCCGTCCCGAGGCGAGCTTCCCAGGCTTCAACGGCAGGTTGGGTGCCTTTGCCAACCAGCTGGGCTTCACGAGGAAGGGCAACGTCTGCACGGTGCACCCGGTAAGGCCGCCCAAGCCCAAGCCCGGCTCGGTGATTTACTCGCGGTTCATCGTGGAGCTGGGCCAGCAGCTCGAGATCCACCACATCGACGCGTCGAACCCGTTGCACTTCGAGACGTACGCGCGCTGGCAGAACTCGGACCGAGTCAACGCAGGCTGGAAGGAGCGCGGGCCGGACGAGAAGCACCGGGCGTACCTGGCGGCGCAGCTGGCCGACCCGCACACCATGTCGTGCGTGTTCCTGTGGGACGGCGAGCTGGCGGGCTACACCGAGATTGGCTATGTCAAGGAGGACAACGCGGCGTGCTTCTTCGGCGGGCAGTGCAACATCACCGTCGGCGAGCACGACCAGAACTCGCACATCCTTGTCGGCGAGGAGCACTTCCGCGGCGGCAAGCGCTACGAGGCCGTCGCCACCTCCATCAAGCACACGTGCTTCCTGCGCGACCCCAGGACCAAGCAGGTCGTGGCCGAGCCGCGCTACGACCTGGCCCATGTGCACATCCAGAACAAGTACCTGCCGCAGGAGAAGAAGAAGAGGTTCGAGCTGCCGCACAAGACGGCTATGCTTTTCGCACTTCAGCGCGAGCGCTTCTTCCAGGAGGGTCACTTTGTATAGCGATATTGGCTAGCTACTAGTAGTGATCAAGTGTGCCTACAGATGAAGACCAAAAAGCAGATTGAATCAATTGACCGCTTTCGATCCCATTCCTGCAGCTTCTTGATCATTTCCTAGTTGCTTACTGACCACAGGAGCATTTCATGTGCCGCAAGGCTTCGAGCATTACTTGTCTCATTGCTACTTTGAGTCACACCTTAAGTCTCACCAGATTCGTTGCACCACATTCGCCACGCAGTGATGCTGTGCATGATTGCCGTCCAGTGGACGCCACACACGTAGGTAGCACTCGCCGCGAACATAGACGCGAGGATCGGCTGCCGATCAAGGTAAAGTTTGACGTGATCCGCATTGTCGGGTCTGCTTGGGAAAAATACATAGCCCCGTTGTCAGTGCTTCGGTCCCAAGAGTCGTGGCGTCCAAACCCGCATGCATCATAATGCATCTCATTGCGTGCTACAGGCATGACATACCAGATCTAATATTATGTTCTACATAGCTTTCAGTGTGTTGGATCTAAAGAATACTAAAGAATTGTATAATAATTTAGTATTAGTGCCTTTTTTTTTTTTTCCTATCTTAGTAGCATTTGGAATTCAGTAATTCTAATAACAAGATCTTACTGAATTAATGTTAGTATAACAGGAAGAAGAATCTGTTCACACGCTTAGATCCACACCACTAATGCATGCAGTTCCATTAAGCAGTGGCACGGGGCGTTGGCAGTGACACAGTGCACGGCACGTAAACCAGGGTCCCTGAGACGAATAGTCTTGGCTCACTGCCGGCCGTCTTGGCAATCTAATCAGATGAATCAGATAAACGCCCACGGCGGCGATGCCAAGGCCGCTTTTAGTAATACGAAGCCGAATCCCACCCGGGATCGTCACAAAACAGGACGCTTTGAGGACAATCAAGGTTGCTAACGGAGCAGAGAGATTTCTCCGTGATCCTGGCCGATCCCTACCCACTGCAGCCAATTGCCAGCTGAGTACGAACCCCGCTCGAAGAGGCAGACACCAATATCTTACACATGCATTACCGTCGCGGTGAACATTAGCATCCCTGCAGCTTGAAATCGCGGCGCCGGAGGCTAAACCAGGACCTTCCTCCTTGACTCAAGCCACCCCGTCATCTTGATGACGGGCCCTGACTGATGATCAGATAAAAAAAATCTGATAATAATGAGATCTGATAAAGCACGCCAAGTACCGAAAAGCTCGCCGAGGACTGGCCCCCATCGCGTGGGGGCTCCGCATTGCGTTGCAAACTGGGCCGAAAATGTCACCTCAAACGTGCCACTGGCCGATTCTCTCGACAAATTATGTGGTGTGCTACGTAGTGCGCGACCCTAATACAGGGCCCGCCCAAGGAAAGACCGATTCTGTTACTCAAATTGGAAGCTACAACTTCTACACGGGTGATGGGCACCACTTGCAGGACCACATTATTAGTGAATGAATGACAAAACTCGTGGGCCGAGTTCCAGCTGGGGTCATGCCGTACCCACACTGCCGAGGCGTGAGATTCCCAGCTGCCCAAGGACAGGAAGATGGGCTGAATGAGAGCCACCATGCTCCTAGACCGGAGCACTGAGGGCGCTCAGAAGACTGGCCTGGGCATCTGATGGCGAGATCCCAGAGTGACCTGTAGGGGTACTATAGTAGCTAGAACTGAGGCTGTCGCTGTCTTCCCTGACGCGCTGCTCACAGTCCTGAACAGCTGGATATAGCTTCAGGTCCACCTGGCACTTTGCATCCAGTCAATGAACAACTCATACTCTCCGACGTGACACTCGTTTGACTCTCTCCCTCTCGTAGCCACACGACCTACATAACCGGAAACCAGAGACATCCGGGAACATCAAGATGACATCAACAACATCCTCACCACCAATCACGGAGCTCAGGCCACTGCACTGTCTCCAACCTGAAGCTTCTCGGCAAGGAGCATCACCATCGACGCCAGAACTGGCTCAATGGCAAAGTGCACTCTCACCTAGACCTGACGAGGAGACCTGCATCAAGGCTTTTGTTAGGCTCGTCTCCCGCATCGTGGTGTTGCAGGATGGAGAGGCATACTGCATCCAAAAACGGACCAGCACTCACGGGAGTGGCTTCATCCTTGCGCATGCAGGCCAAGACGAGTTCAGCTTCGTCGAATACCACCATGCCTCGGGTGAGGTTCCGACCGACTTCTCCATTGGAGACGGCAGTCTTATCGAAGCTCCAAAAGTAAGTTCTCGGTACCCAAAGCATATCGGAGATCTGCGCAGATCATCTTGCAACGCACGTACTTACACTTTGCCAGCTGCATTTTGACGTACCGAACGTACGTCTAAGCGCACCACCCGGTCTCGTACCTGCAGCAGCGCTTGAAGCCCTTGGTTGCATGCTGGACGATCTCATCCGGAGTCTGCAGCAAGGTGGAGGCCAGACCGAGGGCACGCAATGGACAAGGCCTTCTGTGCTCAACTTCCCACCAAAATCCAGGCCCGTTCCTCTTCTTCCGTCTTCTCAGGAGCCAGCGGAGAAGCAGAATGAGCAGGCATTTCTTCACAGGTGGTTTGAACAGCGCGTGGATGAACAGCCTGATAGAACAGCCGTCGACTTCCTCTTAGATCTTGGGAGCGGCGAGAGGAGGCAACTGACCTACCAGCAGCTGGAAAATGCTGCGAATGCGCTGGCGAGAGAGCTCGTGCGTGCACAAGGTGCACACGCTGCAAGCGATGCGTCCAACATCAAGACCGTTGCGGTCATGATGGGACCCAGCCCAGAGCTCTACACGAGCTACCTGGCAACTCTCAAAGCCGGCATGGCCTTTTGTCCTATCCCCGTGGACGCCCCAGAGGAGAGAGTGCATGCACTGATGGCAGACCTCAAGCCCACGGCTCTCCTCGAGGCCGCATCATCACCCGCGGCTGTGACGGGCAACACACCATTGATTAATGTGAGCTCCTATCTTGCCACATGTGACGAGAAAGTGGAAAGGCTGGGAGAGGAGGGCCGTTCGTCCGCGACAGAGAATGATGTCGCCTACATCCTGTACACCTCAGGAACCACCGGTACGCCCAAGGGCGTGGCCGTTTCCCACCTCTCGGTAGCCTGCACCATCTCTGCCCTGAGCGCCCATTACGGCTTCATTCCCTCTCAAGCTCAGTCAACCCCAGGGAGCAAACCTACGAGATGGTTCCAAGGTGCCGCGCCAACCTTTGACATCTCCCTCTTCGAAATTTTCTGGACGCTCAGCATCGGCTCTACGCTCTGCTGCGCTCCTCGGCATCTTACGCTGCAGGACATCAATAAGGTTGTCACTACGCTAAACGCCGACATTACCAACATCACGCCCAGTTTCGCCACCCTGCTTGATTCATCGTCCATCCGCGGGCTGATGCTCGGCGGAGAGACGCTTAATGCGCGCGTGGTGCACGACTTTGCTCAGCACAACCCCGCTTCTCACGACGAAGGTGTGTCGGGCATCAGTGGTCTATACAACGGCTACGGCCCCACAGAGACAGCCATCTACTGTATCGCACAGGCGCATGTACCCGATGGTCAAAGAGGGTCTGTGATCGGCTCGCCTCTCGAGACTTGCGGTGTCCTCATCGTGGACGAGGAGTCCACCAAGCCCGTGCCCATGGGCGCCACCGGAGAGCTTCTCATCACCGGTCCACAGGTGAGCAGGATCGGCTACCTGAACAGGCCAGAAGAGACCTCGAAAGCCTTCATCAACGATGATGACGCAGCCGGTTGGGGCAGGGCATACAGGACCGGTGACCGGGCCCGCATAGTCTGGGATGCTTCGGGCAGGCCCATCGTCGAGTTCCTGGGCAGAATTTCCGATGACCAAGTCAAGCTCAGCGGTAGGCGCGTGGAGCTCGGTGAAATCGAGAGCGTGCTGATGTCGAAGGTCGAGACCGTCCGGGAGACAATCTCTTGTGTCTGGAAGCCCGAGAACTCTGCACCCGGCTCAGAGAGGGTCGTTAACCTCGTCATCACCACACCGGGATCGAACTTCGAGGACGATGTCCTCAGAAGGTGCAATGAGGCAGCGGAGAGGCATCTTCCCGATTACATGAGACCTTTCAAGATCATCCATGCCGAGTCTCTCCCGCGTACCGCGTCCGGTAAAGTCGACCGCAAAGCGGCTTCGGCACACGTGCGAGAAGTCCTGAAGGATTTGCAGCCGAAGCTTTCGACTCACGACGCTTCAGAAACACTTGAGCCCCTGTCAGACGATGACGCCCAACTGGAAGAACAGTTGCTGTCCATCGTGGCAGACATCCTGGGCGGGAGCCAAATATCGGCTGCTACGCCTCTCGCAGACGCTGGAGTGGACAGTCTGCGCGCCATGAGACTGTTGCGGGAGATCAGGAAGCGGTGGCCTGAATCATCCAGGAGGAATCTGCAACCATCATTAGCACTCCTTCTGGACAGCAAAGCCACCATCCGTTCTGTTTTCTTCCCCTCGCCTTCAACGCAGACATCGTCAGGCGGTACAGGTGGTGCTGCGGAGGAGAGGACACGTGCCAGGCTCGCTCAGTTCTCTGCTGACCATCTCCCCGAGGTCCTCGACAAACTCGATGTCGCCAGTGAGGCTGATATCGAGACGGTCCTACCAGCAACCACTCAACAGAGCCAGCTGGCAGTAAGCTTCGCAATGGACAGGACCAGGTACATCAGCCACACGGTCCTGAGACTCAAGCCAGACGTCTCAGCTCCAGCGCTTAAGAAAGCCGTCGAGGTGGTCTTGTTGGAGCAGGCCATCTACCGGTCCGCTCTGCTGCCATGTGACGATTCCCTATCACCATTTGCTCAGGCCATCCTGACACCAGAGGCGTGGCGTAGGCCAAAGAGCACTGACGGCGACGCTCCACAAGTGATTCACCGAAAAGCGAGTGGGCCGCTCTCTGTAGATAATGCCCAGGCATGGGTCGCTCTGGCCGAAGAGAACATCAGCCTGGAGTCTCAGAGGTTGTACCACATCCAGGTGGTCGAAGATGAGACCACCCCTGACAGCGATGGCCTCCTTCTCATCAGCGTTGCCCACTGCATCTGTGATGGAGCCTCGGTCGAAGTGCTCATATGCGACATAGCCAGACGGTACGCGGGCTTGGAACCTCTGCAGAGGCAAAGCATCTTCGACGCAGTCCTTGAGTGTTACTCCAACGTGGACCCCAACACAGACGACCAGTGGCGAGAATCGTTGAAGGGCTGGGAGATCGAGCCCTTTGGTACACTGAGCGGCAATAATGTGCACGGCAACAAGTCCAAATCTGCTTCGGACTGCGCAGTGGTACAGTACCAGAGTAATCTTCCATGGCAAGTCCTCGAGGATAAGAGCAGAGCCCTGGGTGCCGGTGCGTCCCCACTGGCTATTCTCCAAGCCTCCTGGTCCCTACTTCTACATATGTTCTCCGAGGCAGACACGGAGGACATCACCTTCGGCAGCGTTGTCTCAGGTCACCTTTCTACCACGACACATGCGCCGAATTTCTCTGTCGTGCCCTGCCGCGTTGCCTTGCCCGAGACTCAGACCATCAGCCAGCTGGTCGACGGGCTCACTAAGCACGGGAAGTTTGCTCTGGGACACCGGCACCTGTCATGGGGCGTCTTTGAGACGCTGCCGTACAATACTGCCCTGGCTCTGCAGGCATACCCGGTCGAAGACGGTGGCCTCGAGGATGATGACTCTCAAATCCCGTGGACTGAAGTCCGACACCCAGTCATTCGCTACGACTTCCCCATTTTCGTTGAAGTGTTTCCAAATGATCCCTCGTCACCCAACCGCAGCCAATTCACCAACTTGACCTTCAAGCTCACGTACCGTGAGGAAACGCTTTCAGAGCTCTCGGCGAGCTGCATCGTGAAGCAACTGGCTGCTCTCACGCAGACCATTCTCTGCTCATCTCCTGATGATGCGATCTCTGGACTGCCGGCGCGTCTGCCAAGAAGCCTCTTATCTGCTGAGGGAACAATTCCCGAGGCAAATGCCAAAACCAACGAAGACGAAAAGCATCTGGAAATACTCCATGGGCAATTCGAGGCTCAGGCGAAAGCCACCCCTTCGCGTCTCGCCTTGACCTTTTATAGCTCCCTGGACTCGCCTCCCACGTCGCTCTCCTACGCAGAGCTTGACTCTCTTGCCAATGGCCTGGCGTACCTTCTTCGCGAGGAGAACGTCGACGTCATCCCACTGTGTATTGAGCGCAGTGTCGACCTTTACGTCGCCGTACTGGCGGTTCTGAAGGCTGGATCTGCCTGGTGCCCCGTCGACCTGACTTCTCCCGTGGCGAGACGGACGTCTCTCATCGCTAGAACCGAGAGCAAGGTGTTGCTGACGAACACCGAGTCTTGGAGCTTGGTAGAGCCTTGTCTTTCTAGCGAGAGCTTGAAGGGCATGCGCGTTATCCTCGTGGACCAACACACCAAGTCAGAACCAGTCAAGCCGAAGCCGCGAGAGGGAATCCAGTCAGGTGCCCTGAGTGGGCAGGATCTGGCATATCTCCTGTGGACATCTGGCACGACGGGTGAGCCCAAGGGCGTCATGATCCAGCACAGTGCTGCGGCGCAGGCTATGCAAGACCTCCAGGTTCAAGTCGAGCACGACCCCAAGGTCGAACAAGTGCGCACACTGCAGCTCTCGGCTTACTCCTTCGACGTCTTCGTGCAGGACCTCTTCTACACATGGGGCCTTAGCGGTAGCGTCATCAGTGGCACGCGGGAGCTCGTCCTGGGCTCCTTTACCGAGTTCATCTGGAAGGCCAGCCCCACGCACGCCCACCTCACCCCCAGCTTCGGCGCTAGTATCGCCGTCGAGGAGATCCGGGGCAGCTCGCTGCAGTACGTGACCTTCATCGGCGAGAAGCTGACTGAGGATGTCGCCGAGGCCTGGGCCGCCCCTGGCATCACCACACGTGCGTACAACACCTATGGCCCTGCTGAAAACGCCGTCGTGTCCACCATGCGACAGTTCTTCGGAAAGAGCAGGGACCAGGCCAAGGCTGCCAACGTGGGATTCCCTCTCACTCCATGCACGGCATATGTCGTACACCAAGTGCCGGTACCTGGGTCAGATGATAAGCGCTGGGAGCTCGTACCACGGTACGGAGTCGGCGAGCTGGCCCTGGGTGGAGCGCAGGTGGCAAAGGGCTACCTCAACAACCCGGCCAAGACGGGCTCCCAGTTCATCCAAGGCGGGCCCGGGATCGACGAGCGCATTTACCTCACCGGTGATATGGTTCGTCTCAATGATCACGGGTTTGAGTTCCTTGGCAGAAACGATGACCTTGTCAAGATCACGGGTATCCGCATCGAGTTGAGCGAGATCAGCGCCGCCTGCGCGAGCATCAAGGACGAGGATGATGCCATCGAGCACGTCGAGACTCTTTATCTCCCGCGCCCGGACAGAGAAAGTGCCGACCACAAGGTCGTTGTCACCTTTGTCTCCGTGAAGAAGGAGGGCGTCGACACGAACGCCATCCAGGCGCAGGTCTTCAAGAGGGCCAGAGACATGCTCCCCTCGTACATGGTGCCTGGACACGTCGTCGTTCTGAGCACGACCATGCCGAGAACCGCATCGAACAAGGTCGACCGAAAGGAGCTGCAGGCCATCTACAAGAGCTCGGATCTCCAGGCTCTGGCGGGAGGTGCCGCAGCTGGAGACACCGACGGCCAGTCGGCCGAGAAGCAGCAATGGACAGATGCACAACGTGACGTGCTCCAGGTTCTCGCCGACAACTTAAAGGTGGATATCGGGCCTCTCTCCCCTGGCGACAGTCTGGCCGGCTTGGGTGTCAGTTCCCTCCAGATCACCAAGCTGGCCTGGTCTCTGAGACGTCAGCTCTCTGTCCAAGTTGGCGTGCTCGACTTGATGAGGTGCGAGTTCCTTGGCGAACTGGTTGACATCGTCCTCAGCAAACAAAAGGGAAGCTCGAACAAGGCGGGCAAAGAGGCCAACTCGAATGGAGCTTCAACTGTGAAAGCACCTGAAAAGTCGTGGGTGGCTGCCACAGGCGATCTTCTGACAAAGAATCTGCGTGGTGACACGCTCCCACCAAACAGCTTCCTTTTGCCCGCGACTCCAATGCAGGAGTCCCTCATCTTCGAGACAATGCGCGAGCCAAGAGCCTACTGGGCCCACCGAGTGTTTGCTCTTAGCCATCTGGATACGCTAGACGGCGAGCGCCTGAAGGCGGCTTGGACTGCAGCCGCCAGCACGTTCGACATTCTTCGCACCAGTTTCATTCCTCTCGCCCAGCTGGACGCTGTCGTGGAAGGAGAAGGCCAGTCTTCCAACGGCGTCTCATGGGCCCGTCAACGGGGGCTGCAGGCCACCATCCTTCAAGTCGTGCGAAAAGAGGTAGCAATTCGCTGGAAGTGGCTGTCAAGTGGCGAGGACCAGAATCTGGCGAGGTGGGCCAAGGAACCAGAGCTGACCGAGTTGACGCCCACGTCCTCCCCTTGGGCTGTCACAGTCGCGGAGAAGGATCGCAAGATGATGCTGAGTGTGCATCACTCTCTCTATGACCACGATTCGTCTGAAACCGTCCTCAACGCAGTCGCCAAGTTCTACCAACAGAACACTGCCGTTCATGACGACGTGGTGCAGTTCTCTAGAGGAATGGAACTCGGTCTGCTGCCCACCACCGCCCAGAGAGACGAGGCCGCCTCTTTCTGGACCGAGCGTCTGGCTGGTCTTAGGGAGACGGCAGGAGCCCTGAATGCACCCTTCCCAGACCTTACGCAGTCCAGGCAAAAACAGGAACAGAGGATCATCGGAGTGAAGAGGGCGGTTCCTGACGTCCTCGCCTCTAGCCCCCCAACCGCTCTTCCAATTCTGTTCCAGTCAGCCTTCGGTTGCGTCCTTGCATCTTACCTCGAGCTCAAGGCCGTCGTCTTCGGCCAGACAGTCTCTCAGAGACTGGTTCATCCGGACCTTGCCAGTGTAGTTGGACCCGCCATAGCTACCCTTCCCTTGGCTGTCCGGGCCGATGCCCACTCAGCTGAGGAACTGTGGGCCGAGATGGCTCGCGACTCTTCCAACCTTTTCCGTGTCACCCACCACCTGCACCCCGTGGACATCAAGAGACTCCTCAATGAGGGTACTGGAAGCGGCGATGCGCCTTTCGCTGGTGTCTTTGTCTATCACCCGTCGTCGAGTGATGATGAAGACAGTGGTGCCGTCGCTGAGCAGCAGCTGTTCCGAGAGGCAGGGCAGGCTCTGTCACTCAACGTGGAGCACCCTCTTGCCTTCAATGTCTTCGAGGGAGACGGTACAATGGAGCTCACTGGTGACGCGAGGCGTGTCTCTCGGGCGCAGCTGGAAGTCATGCTGGACCAGATCATTGACCAGGCCAGGGTCATGAAGCAATCCCCACGGCTCCCTCTCAGCCAGCTGCAAAATAAATTGGACCGCCGTCTTGTGTCTGTTAGTGGTGAAATCAATGAGATCACACCAAGCTCAGGCTTTGACCCAACCGAAAGCGTCGCCCAGCACGCAGTGCAGCATCCAGATTGGATAGCAGCAGAGGAGGTACACACCAGCGACGATCCTGACGAGGACGAGGACGCAATGTCTACCAAGACCGTCACATATGCCCAGCTGGACAAGCTCACCAATGCCATCGCCTCCCAGCTGGCATCGCACGAGGTCGGTCTTCAACAGGACGACATCATCGCTTTGTACTTGGGCAGGGACATCAAGTCGCTCGCGGCAACTCTGGCCATCTTCCGCACGGGCTACATCTACCTCCCCGTAGACGAAGACTTGCCCCTCGCACGAAAGCAACTGCTGATCCGGGATGCGGCCGCGAAGCTCGTCATCACCACCGAGGAGCTCGCAAAGGATTTGGACATGGATCACGATGATCCTCCCGCTTTGCTGCTTCCCGAGGGTGACGGAGACGTGGATCTCATACTCCAGCAGCAGCAATCGCCTCAGCCTCTGTCTGCAAGCGGCCATGGACACGGAGGTTACCTGCTCTACACCTCAGGCTCGACAGGTCGGCCCAAGGGCGTGCGCGTGTCCAACCGCAACCTGTGCCATTTCATCTCCTCCTTTTCTCTGCGCATGAACGAGCCCGCATCACCAACGGCCGAGCCTGAGCAACTCGGTGGCCGCGGCAAGTATCTCAACCTCACGTCCAGGGCCTTTGACCCGCACCTCACCCAACTCTTCGTGCCCTGGCACCTGGGGTACCGCGTCGTCATTGGCGACCGAACCGCGCTGCTGGGCAATCTCCAACACGCCATCAACGAGCTTGGCATCACGCACTTCGGCAGCGTGCCCTCTGTGCTGACGCAGCTGCGGCTCCGGCCCGAGGACGTGCCGTCCGTGAGGGTGGTTACGACGGGCGGTGAGAAGGCATCCAACGAGCTGTTGGACACATGGACAAGCCCAGCGTCTGGAAAGAACGAAGGAACCCCAAGTGCCAAGCTGATCAACTTCTACGGCCCAACCGAGGTCACGATCGGCTGCCTGGGCCATATCGTGAACCGTAACTCCAACGCCCGAAATCTCGGCCTGCCGCTCAAGGGCCTCCAAGCACTGTTGCTGGCCCCCAGCGGAGAGAACGGCGAGCAAGTCGTCGCCAGGAGGGGCCAGCCCGGCGAGCTCTGCATCGCCGGTCCCCAGGTGGCCCTGGGCTATCTGAACAGGCCAGACGAGAACGCCAAGAGCTTCCAGACAACCTCGCTGCTGGGTGATACCGAAACAAAAATCTACAGGACCGGCGACGTCATGAGGATGATGCACGACGGTAGCCTTGAGTTCCTGGGCAGGGCCGACCAGCAGGCCAAGATCCGCGGCCAGAGGCTCGAGCTGGACGAGGTTGTGTCGTTCCTGAAGGAACAGGCCGCCGACGAGGGCGAGCTAGACTTCGCCGCCGCGGTCGTCGCCGGTGAGGGTAACCAGCAACAGCTCTTCGGATTTATTGCGCGCAAGGCTCGCCTCAGGAGCGAGATGACCGCCGAGGTCGAGCTGCTTCAAAACCCGGGCCAGGCATTGACTTTGCTACTGGAGAGCCTGGGGCAGAAATGCGAGGCCAAGTTGCCAGCTTTCATGGTGCCCAAGCTTCTCTGGGTCTCGAGGATTCCATACCTGGCCGCCTCGGGCAAGGTCGACACCAAGCTCTTGGCCAAGCTTGCAAATGACTTCTTCGCGTCCCAAGATGCCAATAGTGAGGCTTCTGACGACTCAGGAGTCGACGTCGCTGCAAGCACTTTGAACGCCGAGGAGTCTCTTGTCGTCGCAGCTGTGGAGGAGGTTGTGGGCCACAAGATCAACGGCAAGGCAACCAGCAGCATTCGGCTGAGCATTGACAGCCTGTCTGCCGTTCATCTGGTCGCTCTTCTGAAGAAGCGTGGCTTCTCTAAAGTCAGCATTTCTGACATCCTCTCATCCTCAGCCACAGTGGCATCCATAGCCCTCTTGGCTGACCATCACCTCCCTCAAACCACCGGTACTCTAAAGCAAGCTACCTCAGCAAGCAATAGGCTTGAAGAAGTCAATGCACTCAACCTCAGCACGGCATTCCCCGGCCAGATCTCGGCAGGCCTGGCCCATGATAATGTCGAAGCAGTGTTGCCGTGCCTTCCCCTGCAAGCGGCCCTGGTCGCCCGGTCCATGGTTTGGATGAGCGCCCATGACGATGAATCGGCTCCATCTTCCGAGTCTACAGTCGTCCCGTATGTGGCACAGTTCAATTACCGACTTTATACTGGGACAGACTTGGTCAAGTGGCAGAAGGCTGCAGAGCAGGTCGTCGCGACCGAGGCCGTGCTGAGAGCTTGTTTCGTGCAACGGGAGGACGACGGTGCGGTTTTCCAGGTCGTGCTTCGTTCTCCTCTTTCTTCGCCATTTGACACGCAAGGGGAGGAGCCAGTTGACATAGTGGCCAAGATGGGCACAAGACCACCCATCAGATTCCATTTGAAGCAGCAAGGTGGCGAGGCCTTTGTCTCGTTGAGGATCCATCACGCATTGTTTGATGGCGTCGCCATTGCTGTGCTAATCAAGAGGGTTGAGCAGATCTATGACGGGGTTGCGGGCCAAGACAATGTGGTCACCGCCAATAAGAGTCTCGACGTTCTTACAAGAGTCTCTGCTCACTGCTACCTCTCACCCACACAGCTGGATGCCACGAAGGGCCTGTGGCAAAAGAAGTTGGGAGGCGTTCGGCCGTGCCATCTCGGGTCCATTGACGACACCAAGGGAACCGTTCGCTCTAGTCGAACTCTTCCCTGGACCTTGTCCCAGATCAGGGACAAGTTGAACTCACAGCCTGCCATCGTGTCCGCCTCTTCAGCGTTCCAGGTGGCGACAGCCCTTTGCCTGTCTCAGCTCACCAAGCAGACAACCTCGGTGGTGTATGGTTTTGTCATGTCACTTCGCCCCCTGCTTGACCACGTTGCCGATGGTGGCGTGGACGACTTCCTCGGTCCATGCCTCAACACCCTCGTGCAGGCTTTCAGCCTCAAGAAGGACGAGCCATTGCATGAGTTCGCCCAGAGGGTCCACCAGGCTCACGTCGACACCTGCCAGGGAACCATGCCCCTCGTGAGTGTGGAGAAAGTGCAGCGCTGGGCCGGGTCGGAGGACAAGCTGTTTGACAGCCTGCTCAGCATCAACGTCCTTCCCTCTGCAGATGCTTCAGAGCCTCTCCCTGGGCGCATGAGTGCTCTGCAGACCGAGAGCAGGAGTGACTTGGCCTTGGCCTTCGACGTTGACCTGCACCATAGTGGCAAGATTGTCTTGACGCTTTCTTCGGCCGGCGTCTTGGCCGAGTCAGACCTGGAGCAGGTCGGGCAGCTCTTTGAGAAGGCCGTGGGCACATGTGCCTCCTCTGAGAAGGAGGCCAGAGTGGGAGATCTGTTGTCTGCTGATGTTGACACGACCGTTACTGCGGAGATCGCATCCAGCATCGAAGACGACCACAGTGACTCGGATGCCGAATTCGGTGCAGCCTTGGCCAGCGTACGGAACATTCTTAGCCGCCTACTCCGCGTGAATCCGTCTGAGATCAGCAAGGATAAGACGACCTCTCTGTACCAGATTGGCTTGGACTCTATCACTGTCCTCCCGCTTGTCAGACTGATCAACAAGTCCGAGAAAGTCAAGTTGACCCCCGACGCTGTGCTGAAGGCTCGAACTATCCACGGCACCGCGAGGCTTCTGCAGCAGGCGAGGGCCAACACCAACACTAGCACTAGGAGACCAGAACAAAACTCGACAGACGCAAACGAAGACGACGAGACAAAGTACGACAAGACCTTGGGGCGGCTCGCTAAGGACCTCCTGTTCGTAGCAACACCGCTCCAGGAGGGCATGCTCAGCGCCTCACTGGCCACATCGGGCAAGGCCTACACCTACAACCACACCGTTCAGCTATCAGAGGAGGCCCTGCAGGCAGACACCAAGGACCTCGACCACTTCTTCGCCGCTGTCAAGGACACAGTTCAGGCATGCGAGATCCTGAGGACCAGGTTCATCTTCACCCAGGACGACGAGGCACCATGGGTTGGTCTCGTCTCCCCGACCGAGCAAAGCGACCTGGCCACCTGGACGGCGCTGGGCGGAGGCAGGATTCAGTTGAAGATCGGTCACGCCCTGTACGACGCGACTTCGATCCAGACCGTCTGGCGTATCTTGGGCGAGAACTACAAGAGGCGCCTGAGCGGCCAACAGGTCACGGATGCCGAGATCGAGGCTCGCCAACGACATGAGTTCCGGCCGTTCGCAAAGGCGGTTTCTACAATGCAGAGGACGTCTGTGGACTTCTGGGTCAACCTGCTGCGTGGCTACCGCTACACTCCCCTCGAATTCCCCGAAAGCCTGTCGGCATCATACGCTTTCCACTTCACCGTGACAGAACAGGAGCTGTCCCTGCTCCAGACAAGGTGCAAGGCTGCCGGCGTGACGACCAAGACGGTGCTCATGCTCGCCTGGGCGAAGATTCTCTCCGAGTTCGTGTACGGACAGCCCGACGTCGTCTACGGACAAGTCATCTCAAGCGGGCACGACGTTGAGACTGTCGTGGGTCCCACTATCAACACAGTGCCCATGAGGGTCACCCTTGACAAGGCACACAGCGTGGCCGACGGACTTGCCCAGGTCCAGAGGCTGAGCGACGAGGCCCTGGGATCAAATGCGATGGCGTCTCTGAGGAAGGTCCAGACGCTATGGCGATCATCGGCAGGTAGAGATGAGGATCTTCCTGCAAGCCTGTTCCAGAGCCTGTTCGTTTTCGACGGTGTCGTGGGCCACAACCCGGACAATGAAGAAGCTGGCAACTTGGCATCCCCATTCAAGCCAGTTCATGAACAAAACAGCACCGGCGACGATCAGCCAGCGTATGATGATTACGATCTGATTACCAGCTTCCGGATCGAGAACAACACACTCCGCGGCAAGCTGAGGGCGAGATTGACTAATGAGGAGGTGGATGTCCTGGGAAGTCACCTGGAGGCTGCAGTGAGATCGATAATTTCGGACGACCTGCAGAAGCCGGCGCTCGATGTTAGCCGCATGGAGAGCACAAAGAAGAGGATTGCCGCCCCCGAGACAAAAGTAGCGGCCAGCCAATCCGAGGTCCATACCTCGACGTCAAACGCCGATGCCGTGTTGGAAGTAGTTAAGAGCGTGCTCGGGAAGGGAAGCAAGGGAAAGGATATTGGCTACAACACGAGGCTCATCAACGTGGGCCTGGACTCTATCCTGGCCATCCGTCTTTCAAGCCTGTTGAGGAAGCGGTTGCGGATGACCGTGAGCGTCTTCCAGATCATGAAGGGCGCGAGCGTCCACGACATTGTCGTCGCGAACTCGACACAAGCTTCGGCCACGGATAGACAGCTGGAGGACGGCAGCAAGACCGTGCAGCCAGCAACTAGGCCGCGGGCGTTCACTTTGCGCCAGCAGGCCAAGCTGATGTCCGAGGCGGCCCAGAGGCTCGGGCTGGGAGAGGACCTTGTGCAGTCCGTCCTTCCCGCTCTGCCAGGCCAGCGTTCGCACCTGGAACAGTGGCTGTACAACGGAAAGAGGTTCTTCGAGGCCCCATGGGTTTACCGAGTCGGCGATTCCTTAGAGAAGCAGACGGTGGAGAGTTCCTGGGCACAGCTTTGCCGAACTCACGAGGTCCTCAGGACTACCTTCGTGCGAACGGATGTAGCGGATGCAGGGCTTGTCCAAGTTACCTTGGGCGAGAAATGGTCGCCATCGGGAGGCTTCACGGCGCTTCAGGACTCGACCAAGCCCATTGAGGCTCTTGTCGAGGACTACGTTCGCGAAGACAACAACAAGGCATCTGACCTGAGGCAGCCCCCTTCCCGCCTCACTCTGCTGGAAGGTTCCGACGGCAAGGCCGTCGTGCTCCGGCTCCACCACGCGCTGTACGACGCATGGAGCATCAAGATGATCATCAAGGATCTTGACCAGCTCCTGGCCGGTGGCGACGTGCAGCGTCGCACGCAGCTCAGCGACGTAGTCCGCCAGGTCATGGCAATCAGGGAGCCCGGCGCGGAGGACTCGTACTGGAAGAGCCACTTGATGCATGCTCAGGACACCCTGCTGGGTGTCCAGGCTGATCCAGCCTCCACGTCTCCATTGGGTCCTCACTTCCAGGTGAGAAGCCAAGATGTCATCCCACAAGCCACCGTCGACAAGCTCTTGCAGACCGCCGGCAAGGCGGACACCTCGGCGGCTATCATTCTCGCGTATGCCAGGACGCTCCAGCAGTTCACCGGGCGCTCGCGGCCAACCTTTGGCGTCAACCACGCCGCTCGCTCGCTGTCCTCAGCAGACGAGGCCCAGACCCTGGACCTGACCGACGCCAACGCCCCGACCATGACCACGACGCCCTTCAGCCTGGACCTCGGCGAGGCGTCAACACCCGCCACCGACAAGGACCTGGTCGACTTCGTGCAGGGCCACCTGGCACACCTGACCAAGTTCGCACAATCGGACGGCGCGCAGGGGTTCAGCCCCAGGTTCAACGCCCACATCAACATCCTCTACCCAGGAGACGCCGCCGACAGCGAGGGAGGGGACCAGGCCACCGGCGACGCCGGGCTGGCGGTCCTCCAGAGGCACAGGCTCGACGAGGGACTCGCCTCGGAGTATTTCACCGTCACGCGGCCGTCGGCGAAGGCCGCCTCGACGATCGAGTGGCTCGAGACGGGCCACCTGAGCCCGCACAGGTTCTTCTTCAACGTCACCGTGCGCGACGGCGGGGTCAGCGTGGCGGCAAGCGGGGACGAGGCTCTGTTTGGTGGGGACCGGGCGGCGGTCACGAGCGTGGTGGACGGTTTTGCGGCCGAGCTGACGAGGATCCTCGAGCGCGCTTAGGATGGAGGAAGGATGTTATGAAACTGGGCATGTAGTCAGACAATTGTTTCGACTCATGGAGAGGGGATGATTGTTGGAAGAAGGGGATTAGTTGTAAAGATAGGAAGTTGCCTGAGTGTGGTAATGTGGGTGGGCAGTCTGAGGACGCGGATTTATAGACTGGCTCCTCGTGTGTTGGTGTTTCTGGCGCCAATTCGGATTATTTTCGTACTGTACATATTGTCTTCACTTTAAATAGATAACTCACAATATAGACCGATAGACCTTGATTGCCGATCCTGGTGAAGAGGGTCAAGAATGGCCTCTCCTGATATTTCGTGGATTACAAACCCGTGCGTCATGTCGGCGTTTTCTTGGTCAAGAACTCAAAGATTAGAAAGTCTGTGCCCATTATCTCATGAAAATAATAAAAAGCATCCTGTGTGACATGCAGAAGTAGGAAAGGCCGGTAAGCGGCGTGGCTCTTCCCGTAGATATCAACCAACACATGAGTTCCACCAAGACATGACAACAATATCGTGGAAATGCAAGCCCAGCATCCAAAAATGCCAAACCACCTTGCCGCACATCTGGATGTTGGAAATGGTATTGGACCTCAGATTGTTATTCCATTGAAAACGCCGCCTTGGTCTCGAGTGCATATACTGTCCACCAGAAGCGAAGCCTAGCCAACCTGTCCTGCCTTGCAGGGTTCCGCCACAGTGCACTCGGATCATGCTCAGAGAAGGCACTATTATCAATCTTTTTCAATGACTGCCCGCTTGTGAGCAGTCGCAGCCTATATCGCCATGAGCCAACCCGCAAGGAGGACAGCGCCGAATGCGCTGGTCTTGTAGTCCGTTGCCCATGTGGCGAGGTTAGGCAGGGGACGGCCTGCCCCGGAGGTGACGTTATCGGTTGTCCCGTTGATCGCCCGGATACATTGCACCCCTACATTGGTCGACTCGCGCGTCCCGCTGGACGACAGATGACCAAAGATAGTCACAACGGTCCAGACATTCTGCCGAGCCTCGTCCTCGGCCGCGGTGGTGTTCCCAGAGTCCGTTGGCTGGCTTCCATACGCGTAGAACCGCTTGTCGTCGAGGACGGTCTGGTTGATAGCTGCGGGTAGTTCAACATTAGACATTTCGGCTGGAGATGGTTGGGGGCTGTGGACAAGTACAAGGAGAGACAACGTACCGATCGCTGTGGTCCTGATGCTGTCAGATGGGAAAGCGTCGGTGCACCTCGCAGGAAGCACGAAATTGGTACAGTTCCCATTCGAATCCATGCCATTTGAGTTCGCTCCGCCAGCCGCCACAGAAAGCGCCTGCACACACTCTGTCGAGAGCACATTGTTGCACGAGCCATCTACCGCGGTAGATGAGTCCACGCTGCTCGCTAGGCCGGGGTAGACGACGGCGCACATCTTCCAAGAATCATCCATCTTCATGTTGTCAGGCGCTTGGATGTACAAGGTGGTCGCTTCGAACACCTGGTCCTTATTGACAGACGAGTTCGTTGCGTCCGACAGGGACACGCCTCCCTTGACAGCTGCCTCGAGCTTCCACCCGTCTACGGACTGTGGCGTGCTGTCGGCGGAGACGTCATACCCAGTGATGTTGAACGTAGCCGCCTCGTCAGGATTGTTCGTGTCCGACTCGAACTTGCTCGCAGGAATGCCATACGGTGCTGCCACGCTGAGGTCACCGGAGGTGACAGAGCCGGAGCTTGGTTCGTAGGCGGACACATAGCAAGAGACGTCAAGCAAGGCGACTAACCAGGCTTGGGCGACGATACTGCTCAGCATTGTGGCGACTCCTGCACGCCAGGATCTGATGGTCAACGGAGAGACGGGACGGTGACGTCTGGTGAGACGTAGCAGGGCCTAAGGATGGGTTGGTGGCCGAGCAGTGGATCCAGGCCCGTTATGAAGACGAAGAAGGATACAAACTTGTAACATTACCCCCTGGGGAACAGGTAGGCGCATTGGGCAATGAAGAAATGCGTTGAAGAAATGCGTGGAAGAAATGGAAAAGGGGATACAGTAGGAAGTCTGTGTGAGTAGATGGAGAAGCCCGAGCCTACGAAAACAAGATGCATGACCCAGGGACAGGGGCGAAGATGTCGTTTCTAGTAGTCTATCAGCAAAGACCCGAGGTCTGTTCAACCTCAGATGAACCAATCCCCAAGTCGAGGGACCTCAACTTCCAATCGAGTTTGCCGTCGAGAAAGGGGTGGACCCTCGTGAGCGACTACCCCATGACATGGGGCGAATGCGGGATCCAAGACGGGAGTGGCTTCTATGGAGGCTTCTTTGGGGGACTTGGGAAAACCTTAGCATGAATGAAGCTTCATAGCTCAAACCTTGGAGAGTCATGGGGACTGTGGTTGCACCATGCGGCCACGAGGGGAGGGGAGGGACCAATTGGTGGGCGAGAAGTGGTTGGACGGCATTGTTTCATGTTTCGAGTTGGAAGGTGGAGGCGGGGTTAAGCATGGAACAGACGACAAGGAGGCATCAAGTCTGACTCTGTGGCTTCGATCCCCAACTGCCGTCCTCCAAGCACTTGCTTCCACCCTCCTGACCTGGCCGGGATGAATAATGTTGGCAGGGATGGCGACGACATGCTTCTGTCAATCATCGTGCCGACAGCCAGCTGGTGAGGCCGACAAAGGTCAGTCTGGAAGTGTACAAGTGCAGAGCTCGAGAAATATGTTCGGTATGCCCACCAAAACGGATGCTGTGAAGATGTAAGTAATTTTCCGTGATGGGAAGAGCAGATGACGACAGACGAGAACGACACAGGCGACGAGTTAGACTACAGGCCCCATCGGTTCGGTTCGGAGTCATAGCCAGGGGCAACAAGTCGACGACGGGGAGGTTGGCGATAGTAGATGAACCGGTGGGGAGCTCGAGGTGGCCTCCTGTGCGGTCAATCGACGGTCAGTCTCTGCCCACATCTCGTCTCTTTGTTTGCTGACAGGCGCGACATGGGCATGAAGTCTTAACATCTAGCCTGGATTACAAGGTAGAGGCAGGAAGGTGCAGGGCGAAGCAACGTTGCCATATTTAGCAACAACTGGCTGCCTGCATTTTTGGGGCTGACCCTAGCCACAATCCTCCCGCTCACTGCGGAGGAAGTAAGCACCTATCTCTCCCTGCCTCTTCTCCTGCTCTTGCTTTGGCGGTCTCCCACAGCACGCCTGCTTCAGACACAGATTTGCGCCACATTATCTACACGGCCTCTGCATGTCCTGCGTAACATGTTGTCTCTCGGCAAGCGGCTAGTCCGATGAATGGGATGCCGTGGCACGTCAATTGCCGCCGAAGTGACGGAGAATGCACGTCGCAAAACAGGCGCACGCTACGCTACTACCCAACGTTGGAGCACGCGAACCACGCCATCACATCACTACCATCGCCCTGATGCTGGCTGCTGGTCTTGGCTGGACCCGTCCTATTTCCTAGCAAGGTATGCGGTAGACCAAGCCAAGCTCAGGATCGGCATCCACGCCTGATGGCTCCTGCAGAAGCCTGCTAGAAATCCACAGCCATGTCAGCCACATCACAGGCTAGGCTAGCCACTTCGGACTGGGCAGGGGCCGACCCGACCCAACGGGCTAAAGAGCGGCGATGCCATGGCATAGCACTGGCCATGGCCATGGCTGTGACCATCAGAGGCACACGGTCGGACTGGCTTCCCTCGGAGATTGGATCCCGCGAGCCTCTCCTCCTGGGCCCGCGAGCTCAGCCGCAACACGACCTGTTGGTACTAAGAGAGGCAGTCGTTTAGCGCCTGCCCAAAGCATGCTTAATGTTGATGACGCCCGTTGGCCTCCTGTCCAGCGTCTAAATCCTTTCTGATCTGTGAACAAAACACTGAAAAGTTCCTCCAGGCCTCATTCCACTTGCTCCTGGTGACTCTCAGACGACAAGATCACTCAATTGACGAAGCACCGTCCCGTGGCGAGAGACTATCTTCGGCAATATCAATCTGCTTCTGCTGCCCTGCAGGGCCCACCAAATAAGCTCAACAGGCCCCCACGCCCGCCCACACGCGTTCCGTACCTTACCCACGATGCATTTCAAATCGCACCCAAGGCTGCTCTTCTTCTTACCACTTCTTCTCGCAACGCTATCGTCCGCAGCAGTTCACAGGAGAGCAGTGACAAATGATTTCTCGGATTATCCCTCGGGCACGCAACAATGCCTGGACGATGCCTCAGACGACTCGCGCTGCAGTGGCAATACGGTGCCACAAATGAATCAGTGTCTCTGCAGTAATGGCGGGAGTTTCGTCACCAACGCTGCAAAATGCATCGCCAAAGAAGACCCTGACGACATGGAGAGCACTTATGAGATCTTGAGTTTGCATTGCTCCGATTCCAATACACCACTCCAGATCTCCAAGAAGGAATGGATGGCACAGCAGTCAAGCGTCTCAACCTCAACAACAGCCACCAGGACCACGAGCAACACGGCTACGAAAAGCACCATGACCACGACCAGCGCGGGGCATACCACCACTGCGACAACAACAACCACGCCAACGGCGACGTCGACCCCGGCTCCAGAAGACGGTGACACTGGACGTTCGGGTGGCGCAAGGATCGCGGTCATCGCTGGGTCAGCTGTGGGGGGAGCCGCCGTCCTTGCCGCTGCAGTCTTTATCTTCTGTCGCTACCGAAAACGCAGGAGTGGCGCCGCTTATGAGGAGGTACACGCCATGGGCGCACAGTCACCGTACAATCGGATCAGCAAGGCATCTGCACCTTTTGGAAGCCCCGATTTAGGCGGACACCAGAGCTACCAGTCAACGATGGCGTCAGATCTGGGGAGTGCGTCTGACCCTCGCCGAAGCTGGCACCCCTCACCTGATGGCCAATCGGTTCCGTGGTCGCCAGGCGCATTCGAAGCCGTCAAACAGAACCCAGGGTTTGGAAATTTATACCAACCTCCACCGGATATCCATGAGATGTCGGCAGATGGCGAGAGGCCAGTCTCTATGTCGCCGTCCGCTCCGGTCGAGATGCCGGCGATAAGTGTGACCTCGCCTACAGTCTCACCAACGTCCAGATACTCTGGGGCGGATTGGGACTCCCAATTGCCTCAGATGCCCCAGGAGCCGAGACGTTACGAGCCGTATCGCCCAGCACGGTGAGCAGCTGGGCCTTAATCGAGTTCGACCTGTGACTGGTCGATCCATGTGACATTTGCAAATCGAGTTATTGCTTTCTGGGAGCGGCGGCGTTCGGGTTCGAATTTTGTTTCCTTGGGGGACGGGAGTTTGGAAAAGACGGAGCATTGTTTTGTGAGAGATCACAAACTGTACTTTTTGTACGTACTGTGCACAGACTCTGCGTCTGATAAACCATGCACAGCGGGGTGCGGTACCCGGTGGTCAGAGTTTACCCTATTGTGGTCTTGGTTGCAGTAGTGTTGGCAATGGGGATGATAAAATCCATGAGCAACAGTAGTACCAAGTTGTGCGACCCTCGAGTCTCGTTGCCTAACACCACAATCTCGCGACGTATTGCACGAACGGTACCTTCCGACTTTCTGATCCCGACATTCAGCTCCGGGCAAACACGACCTAAGCCAAGCAGTCTCCGACCCCGTAGACAGCCAGCCTCGATACGAACGTACCACGGCAGTATGGGCCATTTATGAAGCGGAGACCACGGCCGGCGATAAGCACCAGACGATGCTGTGGCCACCGGTATGGGCCCCGCTTGGGTGCGGACGCGGCGCCGAGGCTGCCGTTAGCAAACAGCCGCAACCAGGCGACTTCATCGATTGGGGCGTTGTCTAGGGCGTCCGGCACACGTTCCGAGAGGTTGTTGGACGCACAGGATGCGGCTTCAAACTCTCACCAGCAGCCGCACAACATGATATCTCACCCTCGAATTATCATGTGGGTGTACCATGCCTTGCATCTGGTGTGGTATTCGACAGGTGGCAACCTTGTTCTGGGATGATGCGTTTTAGCTGGGGCTCATGACATGGCCCTCAACAATTGCCTCCCGTCACAAGCGAAATCTGTCCGGCCTCATGGGTCAATTGCAGAGACGAAGGCCTATCCGGTCCGGCTTTGAGTCATTGACTTGACAGCAGCTGCCGAAACCCGACGTAACGTGTCTTTCGGCCCACGATCAAACACGGCCTGGGAAGAATCCAACTCTGAACGCGCCAGGAGGACAAGCGTTGTGGCGTCAATGGGACGCTAATGATGCCCACCACCCAACCGGTAAGCACTGAGAAGAGTGGGCCCAGTGCTGCCGTCTGGTCGGAATTCTCCACTGGCTTTGTGGCTTTGTCCATCACCGGCTGCCGAGAACTGCAAGCTCACTGGCAATGACTGGGGCCGGTTGACCACCCCCGCAGTTCCCGTCAACGGTGCGAGTTTCTCGTGGCACGCAGTCAGCAGTGACGGATGCCAGAAAGTGACAGACAACCAACCTGCCGGCTGCCCTGGCCCAGACCGCTACTCCTTAAAAGAGGCCGCGAGGCAAATCGCGATTGATCCCCTGCTGAGCGTTGTGTTCGACTGGTTGTTGTGTAATCCCACCTACTCAGCCGCTTCTGCAACGTCTTTTCCTGGACTGAAGATTTTCTGTTGATTCCTTCTCGATTTTTTACCGCGTGCGAACGATGCCTTTGCCGTGTGTGCTTACCCGTTCTGTTTGTTCAATATCACCTGTCTCATGATGTCCTCATCCCCATCGCCCCGGTCCTACCTCTCATGGGACATTCTGCGGCCCTGTTTCAAGTGCTGCAGTCGACTCTGGGTATGTATATCCGTTCCCGGCAAGCTCAGGCCTGGCCTGCCTGTTCCCCAGGGTCTCGACAACGCCACGACCCCATGCTGACGGATACCTGCAGATCAATGAACTCGCCATCTTTGGGGAATGCGTCGGCGCTGTTGCATGGATCCCCACAATACTCGCACTGCTTTTTCCAACATTGCGGTATGGCCTTCGACCTGCTTGGAACCGCAGGCCGATCTGGCTCCGCGACTTCGCAGCCGAGGAGCCCGGGGAGGCAGAAGTCATCTCGAGCGACCTCATCCCACCCAAGCGGCCAACATGGAGCCTTCCGACAGTCGTGCTCATCCTGAACTCAACAGTTGGTCTTGTGATCAGCGTTCTGGCTGCGCTGAATCCGGCTGCAGGGCCACTGTTCTCAACCCCCTTGGTACCACATGTGAGCACCCCTAGAATCTGTCCCATTAAGCCAGTGCTAACTTGTAGGGAGGCTGTTACGATTATTATACTGCTGATAGAAAGGCCACGGTCCACTCCGGGCCCCGCACTCACAATACAGGGCGCGCTGCTACTCGTGCAGCTCGTCATGTTCAGCACCATCATGCAGGTCTTCCCCAGGTCTGGCATCTGGGTTTGGGGGATTGAGGCGGTCACCCCCCTGGCATCGATAATTTTCATCGTCAACATGCCACTACGCGACCCGCTACTCCACAGCGAGGGTATATGCGCCCCTTATCAGACACCCACGGTCAAGCAGCGCAGCCCGGAGGATAATTTTACTCTGTGGCATTGGATGTCCGTGGCTTGGATGTCGCCGATCGTGAAACTGGGGTGTCAGAGACAGCTCCATGACGAGGATGTGTGGACTTTGCCGCTCGAATGGCAGCACAGCCGCCTGCATCGCCTTTTCCGAGAGGTCACGGGTTCGGTCCTCGCCCGCGTATTCAAGGTCAACGCACCGGACCTGATAATCACCACGCTTTTGGGCGTCCTCGAGTCAATATGCTCCCTCGTCCCGGTCGTCTTCCTGAAGCAGCTCCTTGCGGCACTCGAGGGCGAGCATCCTAATCGGAATGTAGCGGTCGTCTACGGGGCGTTCATACTATTGGCCCGTCTTATCGGCGCTCAGTCTGGTGTGTTCAACCTGTGGTTCTGCCGGCGAGCCTACGAGCGATCCAGGGGCGAGATGATCACCATGGTCTACGAAAAGACTTTGATGCGCAAAGCCTTCACCTTCCCCGGCGATGTGGACGAGGACAGTGGAGATATGAAGAACAAGGGCGAGACGACCAACTCGGGCCCTGCCTCCATGGGCAAAATTCTCAACCTGATGCGCAACGATGTCTACGAGATTGCTCAGCGTTTCTGGGAGTTTTCCAACCTTATTACGAAGCCAATGAACTTCATTCTAACCATCGTATTGATCTGGAAGATTCTTGGACCGGCGGCGTTGGGTGGCGTTCTGCTGATCGTGCTGGCCCAGTTCCTAAACAGCTTCCTCATCCGCTTCCTCGTCAGCTGGGAGCGTGCCCGCCGCGCTGTCACCGATGTCAAGCTGCAGATCACTTCACAGTTTGTCGAAGCTATTCGCCACCTACGATGGTACGACTGGCAGGACAAGTGGTTGGGAAACATCCTTGCTTCTCGACAGAAGGAGCTACGATATAGGGTCATCGTCAACCTGCTTAACAAGGCCGTCGCGGCGACGAATAAGATCTCGGCTTACTTCTTCCCCGTGGCTGCATTCTATGCCTACACTATCATCGGCGGGCAACCGTTACGGATTGATGTTGCTTTCCCGGCGCTGAATTTGTTCACGATGCTTAACCAGAGTCTGAACGAGCTGCCTGGCCTCATCACCGTACTGTTGAACGCGTCGGTAGCCATGGGACGAATCGAGAGCTTCATGGCTGAGCCGAATAAGGAAGAGGAGTACGGCTCCGGCGCGGGTTCTTACGGAGAGTCTCGTACGGAGAGGCTGGGGGAACTCAAGATTGTATTTCGAGACGCCTCGTTCGCATGGCCAGGCTCTCCGGCTCACAAACAAGTGCTCTCTAACGTCTTCTTCGAGGCCGGCCCTGGGGTCACGGCCGTGTGTGGAAAAGTCGGCTCGGGAAAGACGGCGCTGCTACATGCGATCCTTGGCGAACTGGATGACCGTGGGGGAAGAAGAACGGTGCCGAACGAGATGATTGGGTACTGTGCGCAGACGCCGTGGCTGCAGAGCATGAGCATTCGTGAGAACATACTGTTTTCTTCTGGATACGACGAGGTCAGGTACCGCCAGGTCCTCGCAGCCTGCTGCTTGATTCCCGATCTGGCTAATTGGAAAGCTGGAGACCTGTCCATGATCGGAGAGAACGGTGTTGGACTTTCGGGTGGACAAAAGGCAAGGGTCGCGTTGGCTAGAGCGATATACAGCAGGGCAAGGATATTGTTGCTGGATGACCCCATTGCTGCGCTGGACCACCAGACCGCCGAGACGATTCTACGGAATCTTCTGACCAACAAGACCTTTATGCAAGGGCGGCTGGTCGTGTTCGTCACCCACAGGATGGACCTATTGACGAAGTATGCGAACCAAGTACTCGAAATATTGCAATCCGGGACTGTCACCGTCATCTCGCGTGAAGAAATCCACAACCATCAGGAGTTGCTTCATTTTGCAGCCAAGGATGAACAGCGTCGGCAATCAGTGGATGAGGACGAGCAAGCCGACGGAGATGAAGATGTCATTCCTGACAAGTTCATTGAAGAGGAATATCGAGCCCACGGAGGCGTCATGGCTTCGGTGTACTGGAAGTACATCAAGGCAGGTAACCTGTGGTACTGGGGGCTCCTGATTGTCCTATTTATCATGTTCCGAGTGTCAAGGTTGACCCATTTCTACTTTCTCAAAGTATGGGGTGAATCCTACGAGCCAGGCGGATCATCTCAGGTCTATCTCGCCGCAAGCAATGAGCCAGAGTACAACTTTCGGGCGGCAAACACATCCCCGGTTGGTACCACTACCACTCCACAAGACTGGTGGAATATCGGCTTCGACCTCCCACCACCCGACGTCGACGTGCGCCCGTGGCTGTTTTGGTTCTTCATCATCGCACTGCTGCAGTTCATATCCTTTGTACTCTCTGATCTCACCATCGTGCTCCTCATCTACACCGCGGGCAAGCACTTATTTGAGCAGGTCATGCTGAAGGTTGCCAACGCGACGTTCCGCTTCTACGACGTCACCCCTGTTGGTAGGCTGATGAACCGGCTGACGAGCGACATCGGCACCATCGACGGGCAGATCGTCACCCAAATTCGCGACGTTGTGTGGTATTTCATGTTCTGGTCCTCGAGCCTTTTTGTCATCGCTTCGACGGCGCCCGTCTTCCTCGCCATCGCCCTTGTCATGACAGCCCTCTTCGTCGTGATCTTCTTGCGTTTCCTGCCTGCTTCGCAATCCCTCCGCCGCCTCGAGATGGTCTCCCTCTCGCCCCTGATGTCCAACTTCGGCACACTTCTCGAAGGACTGACCACGGTGCGCGCCTTCCGCGCACAACCGCACTTCCAGGACCGCATCATCGTCACCACCGACGCCTTCCAGAAGATGGATCACTTTTACTGGTCGCTCCAGGAGTGGCTCATGTTCCGATTCGACACTCTCTCCGCGCTGTCGACCTTCATCCTCACCATGTCGGCGCTGTTCACGGGCCTTGGTGCCGGCACGGTGGGCTTCGTTCTCGCGGCGGCGGCGAACTTCGTCGCCTGCACACACAACATGTGCCGCAAATACGGTGAGCTGCAGATGCAATTCGTGTCTGTGGAGCGTGTCATCGAGCTCATGGACCTGGAGGAGGAACCCCACGGCGACTTCGACCCGCCCGCCGCGTGGCCGGGCTACGACGACGACATTGTGTTTGACAATGTCACGGTCCGGTACGCCAAGGGCCTTGATCCGTCCCTACGTGGCCTTAGTTTCCGCATTCCTGCCGGCGCAACTGTCGCGGTCACGGGTAGGACCGGTAGCGGCAAGAGCACACTTGCGTTGACGCTGCTGGGGACGATGTTGCCCGAGTACGACGAGTCTACGAGTACGTTGGGAAGCATCAGGATAGGTAGCGTCGACGTGGCCAAGGTAGACAAGCATGCTTTGAGACGGCGCATCAGCTTCGTCGCACAGGACCCAGTCTTGTTTCCGGGGACCTTGAGGGACAATCTGGACCCCATCCGTGAGCATTCCGACGAGGAGTGTGAGCTAGTATTGAGAAGGGTGCTCGGCGCTGTGGACGAGCTCGAAGACGTCCTCGCAAGTGGCTCAGTAACACCGGGCGGCTCACAGCCCACATCGGAGCCCCACAGCGAGAGCGCGTCGTCCAGCTCCAGCAACAGCAGCAACGACGCCAGCGAGGTGGCCATTGAGACGGAGGGGCACAGCAACGGCGACTTCAAACCGGCCAACGGACAGGCCGATGGCATCGTGGCCAACGGCAATCACGTCGGTAACGACGACAACAATGACAACAACAAGAAGCAAAACGCGTCTGCCTTCACGCTGGCCACGCGCATCGACGGCGGCGGCAAGAACCTGTCGCAGGGCCAGCGGCAGCTCATCGGCCTGGGCCGCGCGGTGCTCCGCCGCAGCCCCGTGGTGATACTGGACGAGGCGACGGCGAGCATCGATAAGAAGACGGCCTTCTACATCCAGCAGGTCCTGAGGGAGGAGCTGCGGCAGAGCACGGTCATCACCATCGCGCACCGGGTGGAGGCGGTCCGGGACGCGGACTTCGAGATTGTGCTGGACAAGGGTGGGCTCGTCAGGGCCCGGAGCCTTGTGGGCGGCATTTCGTGAGGGGGCTTATAGATATATGCAGATCTTTTGGTTCGGTTTTTATTTTTGCCGGAATGGAGAGATTCTGCGGGTAGGCAAGGGTTGAGAGAGCAAGGTGTGAGTATTTTGGGACAGTATGGATTTATGCGGGGGTGAGTTTGAAGAGTGCATGAGGAGCAAGTGTGCTGATCTATAGATGAGGAGGATTGAATCTGGTTGAATTGGTCTAGACTTTTGACTCTATGGTTACTAGATATATTTGATGGGGCATTCTGCCCTTAAGCTAGGATACCCTCATAAAGGGTCAATGAGAGAACATTGGAAACGACTCTGAGCCACTCTAGTGCTATAACTGTAGTGTCTGTATGTGTTCTCGGTATCTGTTCCGTATTTCCTGCACGTTATATGCAACATTGAAGTGAGGCATGATCGGCTGGAGGTCAGGCGCAGTAATCCGGAGGCCCGTCCGTGTTCACTCTATGTAGTTGGACTGACGTATTATTTCTCTATCGACTTGACCGTAGCTTTCATAACATTACAAGGCGCTCTTTTTGCCCTGCTCCATTGTGCTCCATTGTGTCTGAAGACAGCTCCTGGCTGAAGCAGAGCAATTGTAGCGTGGTTGATATTTAACTATTACAAAAGCCCCCATATTTGGAAGCCAGTTCTGTGTCAACGTTTGATAATTACCTGGTTCTCTTGTCTCAGCCGTCTTGCTCTAGTTATTTTCATCTGCAAATTGCTGGGTAACGCTTTACTTGTTGACTGTGAAAGCACTGCTTCCCCAGGTACACATGTTGCCTTGATGAAAAGGGTGTAAGTCATACTGGATCCTCCTATTAGTTGATTGTTGTTTATGGAGGTCGGTCCCGGTTGGAATCCAATTTCCATTATGCGAACTTCATAATTCGCGTTGCCTTAGGAATGATGTTTTGTCTCATCAACCGATTACTGAGCTGCACGCTTTACAGTCGTCTCAAGCCAGCGAAAGTGGCATGAGCGGGTGCGTGAGTACCACGTGCTTGTTTTACATCTGATATTTCCCTTTCTGACATTCACATGTCTCGCCAAGGGTGCGGGCGGCCTCATTCGGTGCGTTAAGACACTCTTGAAAGTTATGGTTCAGGACCCTTTGGGGAGAGTACTTGGACAAGGGTAAGTGTTTCAAACACGCAGTAAACCCAACCCAAGGATCGACGGAAAAACAACTTGACGTCGTCATCCAAGCTGTCTACGATGTGTCACAAGTTTCCCTCGCTTCACTTTATGGTCTGTAACTTTGCCGATGGCCACTACTTGCCCAAGATCCCAGAAACGAGTTGCAGCATGAGATCGGAGTCTGAGAAGGCGCGTGCTTCAGCCATAGGGAGACAGCCGAGGTTTCCCTCATCATCCCTCTTCCTTGTCCCTTGCCTCCTCACCGGAGGCTTTCTAACAAGCGGACAAGTGTCCTGTTACGGTTAAATCAAATACGCATCGTCACTGGCTTCAAACGGAGCCATCTACTAGATGCACAGCTGACCGATCACACCCACAACTTATACTCGCCCTATCAATCATGGCACAACTGTAGAGAATGAGTTGGAACGTTGAGAAACTGAAATCTGTAAACATGTGAATGCCGGTAGCCTGACCACCGGTCACAAGGAAAATGAGCTGAAATCCATGGTTGATCCTTGACCTGGATTCTGCGGGGACGACCGCGATGTGCCGCCGCATGAACGGCAGCTATGTCGCGGATCCTTGGCTTTCCTCATTCGGCCTACCGTTGCGATCAAACACGCGCCTCAGCTCCCCCGCCGGACCACCATCTCCCTGGATGGCGCTCTCTGGGGGATACTACAGGACGCTGTGATCCTCATGTTCTCCAATGCCCACATTGGCGTAATGCCGACCTTATGCTTTATGCCTGAGATATACACAAGGAGCTGCATTGATCTTGGAGGCTGCTGCGGAAGTCTCGACCTCGGCATCGTGAGCCACATGTCGTGGGCACAAGCGGCGGCTCAGATGAAGAAGCCAGCTTCATATGATGAGTTGAACTGAAGAACATACTTAAGAGAAGTTTCTCCCACTAAGAAGCCTCTTGATCTCATCACCAAGCCGCAGTCAACACAAAACATCATTTCAATTATCACGAATCAAACCATTGCCCTTTTACAAACGTTAAGATGTCCGTCAAGAAAGTGCAAGGCCACATCGACGCTATCCAGCGCAAGCTGGAGAAGTCCATCAAGATCGCCGACAAGGGCCCCAACATGAAGCTCGGCGACGTGATCAAGCTCGGCCGCAAGACCAACTCGATTGTTTCTGAGATCAAGAAGAGCATCAGCGAGTACGATGTACGTCACAGCCATAGACACGCATGAAGTGTCCAATGAGCGAAAGACTTCAAGTGCTGACACAGTTTGACAGGGCGCCGATCCTACTCCTGAGGAGGCACAAGTGATCCTCACAAAGATGGAGAAGGTCGTCGAGTTGACGGAGAAGGAATTGGCAACCATAGTTCAGAACAAGCCTCGCATTGACGAGTTGCACGTTGGAGGTAGGTGGCTTTTGCGGAACACATGTTGCCTCCCATTTCCCATGCGTCAAACCTTAACACCATAGTTCTTTTGAAATGGGGAAATAGTGGCAAACCAAAGCTGCGACTGACCGTACCCGTCATAGGTCTGGTCAAGCGAAACTTGCTCAACAGCCAGGAGGCAGGGGCCAAATTCTCTGTGACCCTGAATGAGAAGGCCCCCGATAACCTGAAGCCTTCGGCTCAGGCTCTCGAGGAGAGACGCAACAAGGCCTTTGACAAGGCAGTTAGTGTCTTCGCCAATGCCCAGGGAGGAGAGGACCAGGCTGATGGAGAGGATGATTCGGATTAAGGGCTTAAACAGTCCTCCTCTTCGTTGAGAAGAAGGTTGTTTGAGACTTGATTGGGAATGATTGCATCTATGCATTGGCTAAATAGAGTAGCAAGTTGTCAAATTGAAGAACTTCGGCCAGAATTTGTGTTTACCACATGTCCAATTTTGTGTCGTGCCTCATTTACTCACCAATCTGCTCTTGTGGTGGGTGACAAATGGAATCTCCAGGAACACACCATTATATAGCAACAGTAGAATGGCTACGCAATTGCTCGAGAAGGACTTTCAATATATTTAAATTTCATGCTCCTGTGTTTGTCTTCCCAGAATTACTTCAGCCTGTACAATGTTAATTTGCGATGAATATTCTGACATAGTTCACTCTTCTTTCAGAACAGAAGGAGTAAACAGACCAATAGAGAATTACAACCTCGCGGAATATTCGATAGATCAAGTTCTGGCTACTCATCTTCTGTGGCTATTCGTGCCGAAGAAGCGTATAGACCCACGAGTTTTCAGAGTCCACCAGGTCGTACGGTTCGCTGCGGTCTAATGTGCAACATGCCTTGCGGACATCAAACAGTGACATGATGCTGCCAACGGATTTCTGTCAAACTTTAGAAGCTGTAGTTGCTATCTTGGTGATTACACACCACTATATATTTTAAAACTTCACGCCCTATTTGAATTGGCATTGTAGTGGAAGTCTCCGGTTTCCACAGTCCATCATGTAAAAGAGTGATTTGACTTATCCTAAATGCAGTTTGCATCGTTGAGCAGACATCTCTCTTCCTTAACATCTCTCGCATTTTTGTGCTCTTCGGCATTACGACACATGTTTACTGGCCGTGGTGAGATGAAGGAAGTGGCACCCCAGGACTGTAGCCCCTAACAGTACTAGTGCTTCTCAACGGACATGCTTGGACGGCCGAATTTATCCGCCCTTGGATGTGCCACACACGGTAATGAATGCATTTTATCGATTTCAAAGCGCTTATAAAACTCATCAGTACCACGGACGGAATTCGGTCAAATCAAAAGACATTTACTGTGCATAGGAACCACAACGCTAATGCACCAAGCGCTGCAACGGAGCTCAATCACGCCAATACTGCATAGCGCATCGCATTTAGGCAGCTCCTTTTCCTGCACCTATGGATTCGTAAGCAAGTGATGGAATCACGAATTTGATGATAAATACACTTGTGCGATATTCGGCCGAAGATGACGAGAGAGCCATTCCCAGGCTCAGAGAAAGCCGGTCATTTCCTAGAAGCACCGGAGGAGTAAGTATAACTAGGGTTGTATTACCATGTAATGGTTGTGTACCGTATTGCATTCCTATTCATTTGTCGTGAATAACCTGAAAATGGCTCCCGTTCGTGTTGGAATCATCGGCCTCTCCTCAAACTCAACCTCTGGCTGGGCTGCCAGAGCTCATCTGCCCTATCTCCTCTCGCCTCGCGGACAAGAGCGGTATCAGATTGTCGCCCTGCTAGGATCGACTGTAGAGCGTGCCCGCGAATCCGTTAAACATTTTGAACTCCCAAATCCCGACAAAATCCGCACATACGGCTCACCCGAAGAGCTTGCTGCGGACCCTGATGTCGACCTAGTCGTGTGCAGTGTGCGTGTGGACAAGCATTACGATACGGTTCGGCCGAGTGTTGCAGCTGGCAAGGATGTCCTTGTTGAGTGGCCTTTGACAGAAAATGCTGTCAGAGCAAAGGAGTTGGCAGATCTTTCCAAGAAAGCGGGTGGTAGGACGGCTGTCGCTATCCAGGCGAGACTAGCACCGTACATTGTCAAGTTGAAGGAACTATTGGCCGGCGATGCGATCGGGAAAGTTGTCAACAGCCACGTCAACATCAACGGGAAGCAGGAGGGCAGCGACGTTATATTCTCAGGTCTGGAGTACTTTGCCGACACAAAGTTTGGTGGAAACTATTACACGATCTGGTTTGGACATGGTGAGTCTCATGTCGCCCTGCCAGTGCATTATATGAATATGCTATGAAGACCATCGAGCTAGCCTATTGCCCTCCCCAGCTTGGGACCCCATCCAATACGTGCTCGGCGACGCCGAAGATCCCCATGCCCTGATACAGATTCAGAATCCCAAGATCAAGCTGCTGGACCGCCCGGGAGGCACCCAGGTGGGAGAAATACCTACAAATTCTCCGGACCTTGTCACCGTGACAGCATCACTGCCGGAGTCTTCATTCACTAGGAACGACGCCAAGCTTGTGGCCTCGTGGCGAACCGGACCAGCATTCCCGGACCCAAAGCAGCCATCGTGGGTCTGGACCATCACCGGCGAGAAGGGAAGCCTGCGCCTCACAAACGAGGGGCAGTACATCAACACCGGCGACGATGCTTCGATCGAATTATACGATCGGACGACAGGAGAGACCAACATCGTCGAGTGGCAGTGGCAGGATTGGCAAGCTGGGCTCCCAGGCCCGGTCAAGAACATCGCAGCTCTGTACGAGGCATTTGCTGAGGGCGACGAGAGCAAGTACGCGACGTTCGAGGACGCTCTCACACGTCACGAGCAGCTCGACTCGATGCTCGAGAAGTTCTTCAAATGAAAGTCGAACTGATGTGGACTGGCAAAAATGCCGCGGTTGGTTGAACACGGGGGTCTGTGTAAAATGCATTCACTGCATCTTTTGAAATTCTCAAAGAATGTACGAGCAGGAGACAGTTGACTGCGGCTTATGGGCTTGCTTTCTTCTTTCCGTCAAAGCTGTGGACGGAGGGCATTTTACTCAACTTCTAACAAGAGCAACAAATAATTCGCCAGGTCCAAGACGGTGCTCAAAGTAGGAGAGAATATCATGCTTTATAATCGTTAATGTAACTGAACGATTCAATGCCCGGGGACGTTCTTCAATGATGACAGCGGGCATGAGCCTGCACTGTTTGTGGAACTTCCCCAGAGAAGATCATCGCGCTCTATGTGTTTCTAGCCAGGGCTCTGAGACTATTTTGAGCTCTTTTAGTTCTTAAATAGCGCCACATCAAGGCTTAAATGTTGATGCAGGCAGTGTGCTTCCACATTTCAAACCCAAGGTAAGAAAACTGTCTCAATATTGTTCTGTCTGTTTGTATTCCTATTCTTAGTTTAAATCTCGGCGCGCGGGTCACCAGCTATCCTCGGGATGCTACCCGCAAAACTGCACCTGGGACCAAAAGTCCTCAGCTCGAATTCACTCAGTGTTTCTTAGCCGCTGGGAAGACAAGGTTCGCCCAGGTTGAGTGAAGCCAGTTGTGCCCAGTGACATTCGGGTCCTCCCCGATGAACCCGAGCGGAAAGCCTAGATCAAACTTCTTGACACTCTCCAGGGAAGCAATCTGTTCGTCTGTCAGGTGAATGCTGAGAGCCTGGATGTTGTCCTTCAGCTGTCCCACCTTCCTGCAGCCAATGATAGGATACACGTTCGGCGCCTTGTGCATGACATAGGCCAGCGCGATAGCCGTGACGGACTCGATGCCATGCTCCTTAGCGACCTTGAGAAGCCTCTCGGACATGAGTGTCTCCTCTTCAGTGAGTTCGGGCGCCCCGCGCAGCTTTTCCTTGCGCTCCTTAAGCTGACTGGCGGATTTGAGCGGCCACCTCCGAGCACGCTGAAGGGGGCCAGAGCCATTCCGAAGTGTCTGGCCATAGGGATGATGTCTCTCTCAAAGTCACGATCGAGGACATTCCAGCGTCCCTGATAGATGCTGAAGGGTGTCTTGCCACTTTCGTTGGCATACACATTTGCAGCACTGACGATCCAAGCTGGTGTGTCAGACACTCCGAGGTAGAGAACTTTACGCTCCGCCACCAGGAAGTGCATCGAGTCCATGATTTCTTTGACCGAGGTCGTATGGTCCCAGCAGTGGAGGTACAGAATGTCGATGTAGTCGGTCTGAAGCTTAGCCAAGGAGTCACGGAGACTCGTGTACATGGCACGCTTGTGGTTGCCCGTGTGGTTCGGAGCTGTGCCGGGTCCTCCCAGTCGGTAGGAGGCATAGTCCATGGTGTACTTAGTGGCAATGACCATCTTGTCGCGGTTCTGACGCTCAGCCATCCATTCCCCAATCCACTTCTCTGAGTCTTCATTCTGGTAATTGTTTGCAAGATCGATAAAATTGCCTCCTGCCTCGACAAAGGCATCAAGGAGCTTGAAGACTTCCTCCTTGGAGATGGAACCGGTGGCTTGGGACCAAGCCGATCCAAGCGACATGGCACCGAGCTGGAGAGGAGACACTCTGATACCAGCGCTTGAGGAGAGGACGCGGAGACGGCCCAGTTCCGTGGAAGGACTGGGAACAGGTTGAAAGAAGCCGGCCATTTTTTATGGGTCGTGAGTCAAGTATTTAAAAGTTAGCAATGAATGAGGTGTGTGTGTCTCGTTCGATGGTGAAAGATGTGCTTTTGGCTTCTAGATGATGAGCTCTGAGTAGCACAACCAGATCCCCAGCAATGAGGGCAATGGCTTTCTTTTATACTTCTCTGTGATTTAGAGAACTCAGGTAAACATGAATGCTGTTCAGCATTTCGGATTTCACTCATTCCAAGATAATTCTTAACTCCGGGCATTTCAGAGTTGTTGCCGTGAATCCTTTGCTCTATGCTCATGAAGCCGCGATGCAGCCTTGCACCAGAGCAGTTACATGAGATTCAACATGGCGGTCAACTGTCCAATCACCGTTGAGGAAATTCCAGGTCTTGAGTGTGCAGAGACCCATGTCTAGCCCTTGACCCGCCCTTGGTAATCCGCCGGCACGATTCGGACACTTTCGCTGGCTTAGGAGCGGCTTATGTCCAGGGCCTTAATGCCGGCAACTCCTCCATCCTTAGAACGCACAAGGTTACCATTCGATCTACTTCTCTCAACTGCCCTCAACACAAACAGGTCAACAGGTTGCATGGACTCACTCAAGCAGATGTCTTGTTTCTTTTTGTGTCATCGTTCAGTCTGTTCGTGCGAAGCTGCGTCAGTGTCGACGATCACGCCAGGACTTGGTGAAGGCCGTGGCTGATGGCTTGAACGCCTGTCAACAGTGTAATTGATTATGTGTCTCACAACCGTCAACGTTTTGATCAATTACACAAGCATGCGGCCGTGCCATCCTACTCTCCAGCCTGAGATTAACATCAGTCTGGCATGCCGGGCCATGTTGCAATACGAGTGCTCCCGAGTAAAAGCAAGGTATGCTACAAGAGTGGACAGCAACCGCGCGGGAATCTTGACCTCGGCGCGAGCTAGGTTCCGATGGGAAGAAGCGAATACCATCGGTTTGACATGCCCGTGAATCACAGACGACCTCCCACTCATTGCCTCTTCAGTACTCTTACAGGCATGTATTCCTTCGGATGCCCCGTTATCTCGTTGGGGAGGGCTCCCTGGTAGGCTTTGTCACCAAACCATTCCGGGTCGTCCTTGCTCCAGACGCTCGAGATATCAAAGTCACGAATCGTCATGGCCAGTATCGCCTTGAGCTCTAGCTGAGCCAGCTCCTGACCGATACAGTTACGTGGGCCTAGTTCAAATGGACCTTAACAAGATGTTAATGAATGGACCCGGGCACTTTTGTAGTTCATGGGGCACCTGAAACTTACGGAAAGCATTCTTGCGGACATACAAAGGCTCGCCCTCCTTTGCGAACCATCGCTCAGGGACAAGCTCGTTGGGCCGGGGCCAGAACTGCTCGGTGCGATGCTCTGCTATGCTGCAGGCGAAGAGCATCATCCCTTTTGTCGGGTATCGCAATCCAGTGTCCGGGTGCGTCAGGAAAAAGTCCTCGGAGCCTTGGCGGACCGTCCCGACGGGTGGGAATAGCCTCAGCGTCTCCTTGATGACCGCCGCCGTGAACGGCATCTGGTTCAGCAGCCGCGGGTTGGCGGATAGCCTGGCTCGCGCGGCAGTGGTGTCCTTTCCGAGCACCTCGTCGTGCTCAGCCCGGATGGCCTCCAGCGCCCGCTTATTTCTGTTCAGGAGGTGGTAGATGAAACACAAGGTTGAGCCTGTCGTGTCATGCCCGGCGAGCATGAAGATCTTGGTCTGAGAAACTGCAATTTCCACAAATGCAGGGTCTACCTCTGCAATGCCAGAGATTCCTTGCACTTCGTTGACGTAGGATTTGATCGCGAGGGACAAGATGGTTTTAGGCCCAGCAGAGTCACCCTTGTCCTGCGCGTGTTCAGCAACGCCGCGCTCGATCCTCGGCTTCACGTAATTCTTCATGATACGGTTGCTATTCCACAAATGGAAGCGCCGAAGAGGGTGCATCGACTTGAGAATATTCGGCGGGCTATGATCTGCGATGATCCAGCTGATGGCGTCTTTCAGTGATTCGAAGAACGGGTTGTTCCCGTTCTGACAGTGCAATCGTTGTCCCCTGAATAATGTCAGCAGCCTGCTGTGCGATCAAGATGAAGTCGCTGAGCAGTTGTGATCTTTCAGATCCTACCAGCATGGCTGCCTGCAGGCTGTACTCACAGTGTCGCTCGTCCGATGATATCACCAGTAGCCCGCATGGCTTTAGCCTCAAGCTGAACGACTTGACCACTCTCCGCGACATCACCCAGCCAATCCCGGAAGACCTGGATCTCTTCCAGGAAGGCCGGTACCAGGGACATCAAGTTCTTGACGGAGAATCCGGGGTTGAATATGCTTCTCCACATCTTCCAGACCTGGCCTTCCTGGTTGACAAGATCATTGCAGCCGGATAGGATATGGAATTCTTCGCGCATTTGACTGTGTTTAGGCCTTGAGTTGTCCTGGGTGAACTGCGCCATCATATCCGGATGGAAAACAGCCAACATTGGATGAGAGAACGGCCAAGTATCTAGGTAGAGAACTGCCTGTTCTGCGACCTCAGGGTACTCCTGGGCGAGCAGCAGTGGCATGCATTGGGGGTGGAGATCCGTCGGGTACTTGGCTAGTATCTTGGCTATTACTTCAAGATGTCCCAGCCAGAAGGAATGGGGGATCATTGGCTTCACTGCAGGTTAGCGCACGAGATTGAGACCCATATTCGGGCAAAACCTACGATGCCGTATTTCTGTGCTGCCTCCCTAAACAACGTCCGGACTTGGTAGAGCCGGTAGAAGAAACGGGCGATGACGAGGACCGACAGAACCGCGGCGGCGCGGGCGACGATGCCAAATGTGGACGCATTGTCAAGGAGAGCATTAGTCGCCATCGGGGCGCTGGTTTGTGGTCGCGCACGTCTCTCAGTCGTGCTGCGGAATCTACGGACCGACCTGGACTGTTTGTTTGCAGTACACGAGCAAAGGGGCACGCAACGGGAGGGGACGTGTTGCCTTTTGACTTTTGAGCGACGGGTCGGTCTTCATTGCCAAGCCCTGGGGATGCTGTTGGCGGTCAAGGCTTGATTTGACGGCCTGCCCCGGTCGACTGAACCGGGCTACAGGCCATGGATTTGCAGTCAATGACGGGGCCTTTGAGCTTTAACCAACAGCCCACATTTAACCTTGCGGCTACCCAGGGATAGGGTGTGGAACTGGGCAAGCTGGGCCGACACCCCTGGGAAGACTCGTGTCACCTATCCGCTGCTAGGAACAAAACTTGATTTACCAAGGGACAACAGCATAATAATTGGCCGTGAATTAGATCCAGCTTTATAAGCCCACGTATGTGCATTTAGAACACCTTTCAATCTTCAGAACGCTTGCTACCTTGACTTCATTTGCCGTTGCCGCTCGGACGGTTGCTTCGGATGATGTGAACTGTGAAACTTTGCAGATGGATCAAGTTGACGAACACTTGAAAAGAGGCACAACCTTGGCTAGCGCTGGCTCACTTGATGATTTGGCCTGTGAGCAACCTCGGAGGAGATCGAATGCACTTCGTATCTTCAGTTACCAACATAATATCTTAACAGCTGTTGTGCCCAAGACTCAGGCCCCTCACCCCATACTTTAGTCAGCTCAAGCTCGATCAACGCGAGTGTCACAGTCACACTCACCAGGGATTGGACTATCAGGCCAAGCTCTGTTTGGTTGTCCGTATTTGAGGCTTTACTTCATAGTGTCTCAAATCGCATTACCCTAGAACACAACTGAGAAAGTCACCTGGAGCTGCAATCCCCTTTCCCACGCGCAAAGCTTGCAATGGAAACATAGTGAGCCTAAGGGTCATATTCAGAAGTACTGGACAAAATGGCCAGGTCGTACATACAGCCGATGGTGATAGACAGGATCTGATGGCTGACGAGAATGCTATCAATAACACCTCATCGGGCCCTTTGAACAGGGACGTAAGACCGTAATAAGCAGAAACTCATAACTCATCAGAAAACGTTAGTCGGAATGAGAACATATTGTCTGCAAACCGGATCATGCGGTAAGTTAACAAGCGGCACGCCTGCTCGACATTCTGTATGTAAAAGTGAAATCATGCCCTTCTTTGTATAGGCTCATTTCATTTCAGTGTTCATGACACAAGGACGAAAGCTTCTAGAAGCAATTGAATCCAAGTGTTAAGAAATCAGGCATTGATTGCACCCAGCCGTCCGTCATGCAAGTGCGGTTACATAGCATGAAAAAGCTGCATAACATCTTGAACCGCTCGGAACGTACAGCATCGCCCGGTCCAAAAGCAGCTGAATTAGTGTCGATCATATCAATATCGAGAGGTGCATCCTGCATTCAACTAATTCTTCAGTCGAACGATGGATCCACCAGTGCGTCTGCCCCTCATGGCGCATCGCGCCAGTGCTTTTCTGGGCGACAAATTTTCAACAGACCACGTTTTCTCCCCTCTTCATACTGGCGAGCCCCATGTCCTGAAGGTGCAACGACTGCACAACTATCTCACAAGTGCGAACGAAGCCGCCGAAATGCGCCTCTCAACAAATCTCCGTTCTTTGGCTGCTTGCAGTCTTGTAGCCAGCGCAGTAGCATCCATACCCCAGCGCGACACCGACTGGGCGAGCATCCGGTGTCCTCAAGACTCCAAGTCCACCTTGCCCACGCCAACATACGGAGACACCGACGCGGTCTTCACAGTATGCACCGAGCAGCTCATCGACGCCCCACTCGGGCTCGTGTACGACGCCCTGATCGACTACGGCTCTTATCACCTCTGGAACAGCTTTGTTGTCGACGTGGAGCTGTCCCCCGGCGTGAAGACGCCTGAGGATGTGTACGTTGATATGCCGATGACCCTCGTTACTTGCGGCATTATCCCCCTCGTCAACACCACAAGCGACGAGGTTGTGACGGTGCTTGATAAGAACCTGCCTACCTGGAGGAGCAATGTCACTGGTAAGCGGCTTTCGGACACAATCTTAACCCCCTTGAGAAGAAACTTCTCCCATCTGCAGCCTGTAGCTCGAAGGTTTCATCAGTCGACAGGTTGTTAGACCGGCTATGACCACACTGTGGCCTGGCCCTCCCTGCACTTATATAGAACTACCTCCTCAAGTTCTCTTATAACTAACACTAAATTCTATAGTGCTCGGGGCACTTATCGTTGCAGAGCACCCTAATGTCCTGGTGGACGAGGGCGGTGGTGTCACAAGATACGTGTCGTACGAGACGTACTACAAGAACCCGCTTATCGTTTCGCTGCTGGCTGCGAGGCCGACACTGCAGAGGCTGTTTGGGCAGCAGGGGAAAGACCTCAAGGCGTACGTTGAAAGTCTGGTTTAAGAAGCGAAAGTCAACATGGGATGGAAAACCTGGCACAATTTATCGGAGGGGCTCAGTGGATGAAAGAGTGTGTCACAGACAGAAGCAATTCCAAGATCAGAATTTTGATCATTCATCTATACATTTACTGTAATGCAGTGGAGCTCAAGCAATTACATAGGGATGTGCTATATGAAACCGCAACGCCTACCCGATGCGAGCATTGAACCGCCATGTCCAGTGCACACTCACATCAGAAACGACAAGACCCCCAACTGAGATGCCTTGCATTCCGGTCCCACCCATGACGATATTGATTTACATGCACGCGGCGCCGTCAATGCCGAGAACCTTGCCGTTGATCCACTCGCCATCCTGCGAGGCGAGGAAGCAGACGACGCGGGCGATGTCGATGGGGAGACCGACACGGTGGAGCGGTGACCAGCCGGCAGCATACTAGGAAGGAAGCCGGCGTTAGCCTATTTGCAGGTTTCTTTGTTGGATGATCTGGAGGGGGAAAAAGAAAGAAAATGCGTACCTCATCGACACTGTCGTCGTCGAGCGTGGTGCCGCCGGGGATGTACTCCCTGCAGACGGCGTGGTACATGTCGGTCTTGATGCCACCCGGGGCGATGGCGTTGACGGTGATCTTCTTGTCGCCAAAGTCGATGGCCATGCAGCGCACAAAGGTCTCGATGGTGCCCTTGGACCCGGAGTAGATGGAGTGCTTGGGGACGCCCTTGGCCTGGCCCGTGATGGAGCCCATCATGATGAGGCGCCCTCCCTCCTCGAGGTTCTTGTAGGCCTCGCGGGCGACGAAGAACTGGCCGCGGGTGTTGATGCCGAAGACGCGGTCGAACTCCTCCGGGGTGACGTCCTTGACGTGGCCGAAGGAGACGACGCCGCTGTTGGAGCAGACGATGTGCAGCTGGCCCCAGACCTGCTTGGCCTGCTCGAACAGCGACACGATCTGGTCGACGTCCGACACGTTGGCCTTGATGGCCACGGCGTCGGACCCGGCCTCCTTGATGGCGGCCACGACCTCCTCGGCAGACTCGCTGCTGTTGGCGTAGTTGACGATGACCTTGGCCCCGCGGCGCCCCAGCTCCTGCGCCATCTCGCGGCCGATGCCACGGCCTGGGGGAATCACGTCAGCATTTGCTTTCTTACTTTTGCATTCAAAAGACGTCCGTGGCTATTTCTGGTGAGGAACTGGGCGGTGGTACCGAGCGGCTGATCCCTGCCCGCTCAGCCGGTCCCTAGTGCAGGACACTCAGGCCCGACCGGACTTCCCCACCCGCCGTCCGGGCCCGGGCCTTGCAGGGGTAAGCTCCCGTGGGCCGAACTGATGGCTGGGCAGGATGCACGCAATGGCGGGAGGGACGGCCAGGAGAGGGATATCGGATGGGAAAAAGGGACCCAAAAATCTGGGTCGGCTAAGGAAGTTTAACTCACCAGCACCGGTCACCAGCGCAACCTTGCCCTCGAGGGAGGCGGATGCCAGACCCAAGGGGCCGGGAATGGCATTGTATTTGCCCTTCTTCGCGGGCGCGGGTCCGTCTTGGAACTCGACGTTCGCGCCCTTTGATCCGTTGATGGGAAGGGGGGTCTCTTCTGTCAAGCCGGGAGCCATTTTTGTGATGATGTTGTGTGTCGTGAGAATCTGTGTCCAAGTGGTGGAAGGTTTCGCTTATTATTAAGTCGCAAGTAGTAGGTAAGAGGACGCTCTTTGGGTATCTAAGTCGCGAGGTGAATGGTGATGCTCTCTCCTCAGATTCGGGGGATGCAAGATGGTCGATGGAATATATATCCCATCGACATCGTCATCCGCCCTGCCGCCCGGACTGCAGGCCCCAGTCCCAACCACACGGCACCTTCGGACATTGTTGGAGATACCGGCGCACGAGTAATCTGGGAGAGCGCCCAGCTGCTCTCGGTCGCCGTGCCGGTGCAGCCCACTCAGGGGGTCTCTCACCAAGGCCTCCAAATCCGCAGCTGGGGCCGGAATCACACTTGGGCTTTGACGACGCTCGACGTTGTGTGCGAGTCTGTTCGTCCAGACTAATGTCTCGCCGGCCCATGTTTCAAAACTCTGCTCATCGTCAGGGACCCATCAACCGAAGTCTGCCGTTGCGTTTCCACCAGGAACCAACACCAGGGCGCACCGTCCTCGCTAGTGCTCCGGTGTCCCGGACCCAGCGCTCAGACAATGTCCGTCACCGACTGGCCCAGCTCCGGTATCAGCTCCTCCCATCCGTCGGCAAGGGCCACCCGAACAGCAAACTCGGTTACCACGTAGGCGATACTGTCTAGTGCAGTCCCTGCTAAATCATTCTAGAGGACTATTCGCCTCTTTTCTTTGTTGTTGTTTCTTTCAAAACACACGGCCCCGCTCAGGAGCAGTAACGGGCTTGCCGGCTTCTACACTCACTTGTCCGGGCCCAAGCTTTTGGAGAGGTCCGGTGCGCGTGGCCAAGACTGCGCGCATGCTCAGGCGGCTGGTTCATCCTTTCTGCCTGTGGCGAGCATTTACAGTTCCTCGGACCAAATTTAGCCCTCCTTCTCATTGGTATACTGATATCCCATTGCATTTTAGCCTAAGCGTACTACTCTGCCCTACTCCCCACAAGCATTCAAGTACATTAATTCTGAATGATAGGATGAAATACCTTCTGCGCTTTATTTACTAAAGATGCTGTCAAGTACTCCCGCAACATGCTACGACTATTTCCTGAGCCCGTTGTCAGCTGTGGTTGCACCAAATCTATCAAGTCTACAATCCACTTCGGCCGTCCAATCTGCTCTTTCCAAGTTAAAGACATGTTGATACAGTCTTACTTGCTTGATCAAGACATGGACAAACAAATCACGATGTATTAGAATCTGCAAACATGCAGTGATACACGACGAGCCTGCACAAGATACTGCCAATGCTCCCCACTTCACACACAGAGAAGGCACCCTCATAGTCCGTCCGTCGGTGTCCAGGAATGTACCAGCAGCATACGGGATTTGATCAAATCCATCCCGCAAGAATGCATCCTGCCAAGAGTTGGCAACAGTAGATGTCCGCAGCTTCAAGGACACATCCTTACGCGTTGGGAATCGGAGCTGATTCCAGCCGAGATAGTAGCGTGCGGTTGTGGAAGTATCAAATCGTGAGGGCGCAAATTCGAGCAGGCCAAGATGTGGATGCATTTGGGGATCCGTGGCGTGTTCACTCATCATCAAAGTGTATTTGCGGACTTCGCAATCGCGATCATGGCACTCAAAGCATGTTTTTCTGTTGTGTTCAACTGCCAAGTCCGCGGTGAACTGGCTCCGGGGGGCGCCTTCATGTGGGTGCGTGGCAACGTGAGGAATTTTACCAAATGTAAAATTAGAGTCTGGACATGGGATTCAGCCAGGGATTCCAGTTCGGTGCGATCGTGTGGTCTGCCTACCTAGGCAATGTTTGGAGATGTTTAGAAACGTTTGGGCTCCCATACGCTGTGCGTTTGGATGTCTGGGGACAAACAAGTTTTCTTCCGTCCGACCATGCTCCTTCTGAATCAAGTCACTGCTCCACTTTTCTCTTCAATAAAATGCTCATTGTACAGTCTTGTGCTCACTTTCTCTCGTACGTCATCCTTAAAAGTGCTTGAGGAATATGTGGATGGAAATGCTCGCATCGCCGGACACAGAGGGCCCCCATGCCAACTAGTTCTTAACGGGTGCGGCAGCACATTTTTGACGATTTACTTTCCAGACGTGGCATTCGCAATGAGCTCAGATGAGAATTTTGGGGGCCAGCTCTCGACTGCAGCCCTGAGCTGCCTGCCTGTTTGTGACGGCAGGAGCGAATGGGCTAGACTGGCTAATTGGGATCAGGTCCACCAGCTGCTTGCTGTATGCCTGGCCTCAACAAAAGACTGGAAATTTCTCAATGTACCAATCTTTTCACAATCTGATGTTGGGAGTTGAAATGCCTCGGCATCAACAGATATCCTGTGTGTATCAGTTGGCGCCTGCAGCTCCTTCCTGCAGCCTTACATTGGCCCCTGTCATCGGGAACCGAAGTACGGGCGACCTATCGACTAAAAAGTGGACTGGCATGTAATTTGGGTCTTTGTCATATACTTGCTTTGTAATTACCACATCCCATCCCTCAGAGCCCCAGCAGCTGACAAAGTACACCGGGTGGTTCGAGCCAGCACAACAATCAGCTGTTGGAGACAGGAAGGGAGTTGGTAAGGTGTGGATCAATATTCCTTCACAGGCATCCAGAAGACAAGGCGACGTCGCATGGAGTGGGCCGCACTTGGATATATATGTAGGTAGCAGTACGGCAACTTTCCTTGTATATTTGACTCGGGACAAGACGCCACGAGCAACTATCAAATTCCGTCTCCTATCCCGCTACACACACCTACGCCCAATTTCTGTCCCAACACCAGCACCATGGCACTCCCCTCCTTCGAGGCCCAGATCTCCAAGGCCCTCGCGGACAACACCATCCCGGGCGCCGTCCTCCTGGCCAAGTCCAAGGACGCCAAGGTCAACTACGCCCAGAACTTCGGCCCGTGGGACGAGACCACCGTCTTCCGGCTCACCTCCATGACCAAGCTGGTAACCTCCGTCGCCGTGGCCAAGGCCATCGAACAGGGCCTCGTCGCTCTCGACGCAGACGTCGCCGCCCACCTGCCCACTCTGGCCGCGCAGCCCATCCTGGCCGGGTTCTCGGAGGCGACGGGCGAGCCCCTCCTCAGGAGGCGCGAGAGGCCCATCACCCTCAGGCACCTCATGACACACAGCTACGGCCAGGCCTACACGTTCCTAGACCCGGAGCTCACGGGCCGCTACGTCCAGTCGGCCGGCCGGGACCCGGCGCTCAACTCCATCCTGGGCCAGAGCAGCGTCGACGACACGTTCGCCTACCCGCTCGTCGCCGAGCCGGGCGAGGGCTTCGCATATGGGCCGGGGATGGACTGGGCCGGCCGCCTCGTCGAGGTCGTCGCTGGCGTGTCGCTCGAGGAGTACATGCGGGCTCACATCTTTGCCCCGCTGGGCGTGGTCGGGGGCATCACGTTCTTTCCCGCGCGGAACCACCCGCAATACCGGCAGAAGAGGGCGGCGCTGTCGATCAGGGACGGCGGGACGGGAAAAGCGGTCCCCGCGCCGGCAGGGGCGGCCGGCGTCGACCCCGCCGGGGTGGAGCACTGCATGGGCGGCGCGGGGCTGTTCGCGGACATGGCCAGCTACCTCAAGGTCCTGGAGAGCATCCTGGCCGACGACGAGAGGCTGCTGAAGAGGGAGACGGCTAGGCTGCTGTTCGAGCCGCTGCTCAGCGATGATGGCAAGGACCGAGCCGCGCTGGTGGATATTTTTCGGAACCCTGACTTCGTCGTTGGCTGGACGCCCCAGCCTGCTGAGGGATACTCGTGGAGCCTGGCGGGCCTGGTCACGCCCGGCGGGAATGCGCACCGGAGGAAGGGGTTCTTGCAGTGGAGCGGGGCGTACAACTTGTCTTGGGTGAGTTCTTAAGGGGATTACTGCTGATAGACTGATGTGGATGGGTGCTGACATCTGTGCTGCAGTTTATGGACCGCGAGGCTGGATTGACGGCCCTGTTCGCTACAAGCTTCTTGCCGCCTGGTGACGCGCAGATAGAGGAGCTGATGAAGGCATATGAGCTGGGTCTGTACGAGCAACTGGGGTCATAGGAAGAGTTTCCTCAGCCGTGGGAAAGTTCAGAGAGAAGCGGCGTGCTGTGACACAGGGAGACAAATTGCTTCGACAGTAGATGGCGTCAATCACGAAGGACGATGAAGCTCGGAATAAGTCGTGATCAGATTGTCCTCATGGACGCATCAACATACCACCGCCTTCAGGTACCGGCTTCCAAGTCCCACCACTTCAGACCAAATAAGATAAGGGACGGGCTGATGTACACAAGTGCCCATGCGAGAAAGAAAAAAAAAACGAAGATCCCTCCTACCCACAAACATGGAATCGAATCACTGAACACCACCCCGACGCTAAAGTGATGTGGTACAAGAACACTGGTATGATAGGGGGAAATCTGGTGCAGGGTCTAGAGGCAGTGTGATATCAAGAGCAGAAACAGACGACTGGAAAGCGCGGGAAACAAATAGCAAACGACAAAAAAAGCAGCAGCGCTGAGCCAAGGGGTCATGGGTATCTGTTCAGCGCCTTTTTTTTTTCTTCAAAAGTGCACCTCCAGACCCCATAAATCATCCGCTCGAAAATCCCAGCTTATATGATATTCCCCCGTCGGTTGCGGCAGTCACTCACTCAAGGAGCTGCCTTGGCGGCGGCCTCGGGCGAAGCCGCGGGCTCGACATCCTCCTCCAGATCATCAGTCTCATCGATCTCTTCTTCTTCTTCTTCCTCGTATTCGCCTTCCTCAAACTCCTCGTCGCCCTCGGGAATTCCATCCTCTCCGATAGGGTCATCGGCAGCAAGTCCGTTCATTCTCTCCCACACCTCCTTTCTGATGCGCTCCTCCCTGGCGACCCTCTGCCGTTCGAGCTCTTCAACGCCGCCGCTCTTCTTGAGTTTACCCTCCGTGACAAACTCGACGAGCTCCTTCTTGATCGGATTCTGGTTGCGGGTCTCGAGCTCCTTCTGGCGAAGCTTCTCTGCACGCTCGATCGCCTCCATGCGGTTTTCGTGGTTCGGCTGCAGAGCTCGCACCTCCCCCAGTACGCCCTCCTTCGCCTCTGACGGGTCAACGAGGGTGTTCTCCTCTATGTGCTTCAGGCCCCGCGAGAATTGGCGTGACACGGTAGCATTCGCTTGCCCGGCATTGGTATCCTTCATCTGCTCCTTGGTGGCCTGCTCCACGAGCGCAAACGTCTCGCTGGCCTTCTCCAGGTCGTCCTGGAGGTCAGCCACCAAGTCCTCCATGAGTTTGACCTCGTCCCGGCCGTTGCACACGTCCTCGAGCTCCTTCTCCCAGATCTTGGTCCAGATAGGCTTCTCGCGCTTCATGTACTCCTCCATCTTCTTGAGCTCCTTCAGGGCATTTGTCATGTCCTTGGCCACGGTCTCAAGCTGGCGTGGCAGCGGTCGGACACCGCGTTGCACCACATCCTTGCGCAGGTCCTCCACGAGGTCTTGAAGGTCGTCAACCTTGTTGACGAGACGATCAGAGTCCGTGTTGAGCTGTTTCCGCCCTTGCTTTACGTATGATGATCCTGAACCTCCGTCGACATCGGGGAGCGATGCCTTGGCCGCGGCAACCTTGACGCTGTTTGCCTTGTTGCGGAGTAGAGTCATAGAACCGTCGACCTCGGACTGGAAGTTGGTATACATCTGCCGGAGGACAGCCAGATCCCGGCGCAGAGTCTGCACCTCAGCCGCCTGGCCACCCTTAAGCTTGCGACCAGTGCCAAGTGCAGTATTCCGGGGAGAATCTGCTGGGGGACTTGGCGGAGCGGCTGCGAGCCTTGCAATCTCCTTGGCCGACTCTTGTTGTCGATCGGACACGCGCTGCAGAGCGGCGCTTTGATCTCCGACGTCCTGCTTGATGGTTTCAATAAGTTGCCGGATGGATCCCAGCCCGTCATCCACGTGCTTCTTGACTTCGTCGAGCGCTTCCACGTTCAATACGAGAACGGAACGGTCCTTGATGTCCGCCAGATCCTCCAGCTCATGTCGCACTCCAGAGACCGGATCTTGAATGTAGATCTCGGGCAGATCCGCCCCATTTGCATGAGTATTCCAGGAGAACTTCTCGATGAAGGCAAGTTGCAACCGGCCAATCGTCAATTCGCCGTAACCCCCTGTGAGTACGAACTTCTTGACTCTAGACTTGTATTGTAAGAAAAGGGTGAGATCTTTCGGTGGCGACGCTGGAGGTGACTGGTCGAGCATGAAACTTTTGCCTTGCTCTTCCGGGGTGGGAGTCGCGGGCTTCGGCTCCACAGCCTTCGCTTCCTCTTTGGTCTCCGTCCTTGGGGTGATATCACCGTCGCTAGTTGCCATCGTTGGTACAACATCTGGCAAGGGTCCTTTCAAAGTCGCACTCGGTTTGAACCTGTCTTCGGGGGTCGGGCTTGGTGGTTTTGGCGCCTCTTTCTCTTCAGGTGCCTTGTTCGGTTGACGCTGGGGCGAGGAGGGATCCAACGCCCCAGGTCTCGCGCTCAGTGACCCATCGTTGTTCTTCCTTCGCACAGTTTCCCTCGCTTGGACAGCTCGCATAGATTCCCTAACCTCAGGTCTTCCTCGGTTTGGTATTGGGCCAGTCTGCGTTGGCATCATAGGAACTCCAGTTGCGCCGCTTCCCAGATGCTTGGAGATTTGGTATGCAGAGTATCTTCGAGATGCACGACGCTCCAAGTCTCCCCCTCTTTGCAGTGCTGCCAGAGCACTCTGCGTCGATGATTTGGGCGGAGGTGGCGGCGGCGGGAAAGAGTCCAGCTCCTCAGGCGCCGCAGGGGTTGGAACAGGGTCTTCGGACGGGTATGGAGGAACAACGGGCATGCTCTGCATGGTGTCGCTCGAGAGGGAGGACTTGTCCGAGACGGTCGCCTGAGATTCATCTCGCTGAGACTGAAATCGCCGGGGAGACCCATTCGCCTTGACCGTGTCGTCCGTCCCACGGCTACTGGCCGGTCGATATCCGTTTTCAGACAAGCCCTCGTTCAGCATCTGCGATAGACCCCCGGAGTTGCTTCCCTGTGTACTGGTGCTCGTGACGCGGCCATTGGAGGACTCGGGAGCTCCATTTTCCTTGTCACGCGCCTGCTTCTGTCGTAATTTTTGTTGTTTCTTTTTCAACCCGTGAAGCAGATTTATGATTATATCTCTTATCCTTGGCAAGTACTTTTCCAGGCTCTCGACGCTCGCCTCCTGGCTCAGGGTCGCCTCGAGAATATTTCGCAGAAGTTCAGGGACATTGCCGAGGTCGGAGGTGTCGACGTTTATCGCTGTGAAGGCCCGACAGGCCATATTGAACTCGTACCCAAGCCTGACGTAGACGTCTGACACCTGCGTGTCGGTTGCTTGGCCCCGGGACCATTGTGTCAACGTCTCGAGGAGCTGTTTCGTGGCGACAAGGAGGTGGGTGACGCTCTTCTCGATCTGAGACAAGGGCATGGCGGAACTGCTACTCGAGGTCTGTTACGAGGCATCAAGGGTCAGCAAGTGGTTGACATATCCGAATTTGAAGTCATGGCAGCACGCTTTGAAGCGAGATATAGCCTTTAGCCGTGCGAAATGCTTTCCCCCGATGCGTCACCACAATGTGTGACCGCTATGCGCGACGGAAACGAGCATGGAAGACTGCGGGCCACGGCTGGGATAAGGGGAGGATTGACTAACACTCGGTCGCTTCGAACTGCTGCTATTCCTCTCGCTGCTCTGGTTCGACCTGCTGGAGGCAGTCGAAGCGCGAGGCTGGACGCTTCCTGCCAGGCCGACGGCGGGCGATATGGATCGCAAAGGGACATTAGGTGGCGGCCCTGGCTCTGCACCTGGAGAGCGGCGCAAAGACCGTTGCGAGGGCCCTGGTGCCTGCATGGTGACTGTATCTTCTCTGAGTGACTCCCAGACCGGGACTTCCCCCTCTTCTGCTCTATAACTGGAGCCGATGGATGTGTAAAGTTGGACTGTGAGGACCAGATGGTGTTGAGGGAGGAGCGTCGAGATCAGGGCCGAGGTGAGACAAGGCCAAGCTCAGGTTGAATCGCAGGTTGGGTTCGGATGCAGTTGGAGCGGAGGCGAAAGAGTCGGTAAAGTCGGAGGCAGGTAGTGGGGTGGGAGCAGGTCAGGTACGACGGCCGGGTTGGGCTGCTGCTGCTGCTGCACAGTGGGATCTCGATGTGTTAAGTGAGGATGCCGTGATTGACGATCTCTGTCGGGGTGGTTTGGTTTGGTTTGGTTTGTCGAGGATGTTGTTTCTGGTTTCTGGTTTCAACACTGGGCGAGGCACGGACTTTCCCCTGCTGTCATGCCAGGGCAAAATCCTTGGAGACACGAGGAGCCAAACTCCGTACCTGAGCCTGTGCCGGAGCTTGAGCCTGAGCCTGTGAATGTGAATGTGACGGTCGGGTGCCATAGCGCTTTGGGCGCCTACAAAACCTCCACTGGGCCAGGGCTGCAAGCCGCCAGCTCCAATCAAGGGGGCCAGCGCAGGGCCGGGCGCCTCCACCCACATGTGTCATAGGGCCTCCACTCTCCCGTGTCCCTTCTCGAGATATTCATTATCCCATCGTCCCGTCTTTTCTTCCCATGGGCATCTGATGAAACACACCTCTGTAATCGAACACTGATTTATAGAATTAAGAAGATCTTCCTTCTCCGTTCTTCTTTCGTTATTATACGAGCTTCGTCTGGGCGTCTTGGCGCCTCGGGGCCGGCCCGAGCTGCCTCCCAAGAGCGGATACTTTCTGTCATGACAAGACTCCCCATCCGTCAGGGAAGCAGCCTTCTTTGTCGGATGAGGCTTGCACATGTCTTGTGGCGCCGGAAATTTGATGGCATGTCTCCCCTACCACAGTTTCTGTCGTGTTCTCCAGGATTGCCTTGTTCTTGCCCACATCACCTCGTAGGACGGCCTCTTACAGACACAGCCCTATCTCAACCCGGCATCCGATCTTAAGCCCGCCCAGATCAGTCCCCCGAAACGTCAAGGACTGCTTACTACGTATCAAGTGGCAGTTCTATTTCTGGATGGTAACATGGCACCCACCCACCTGTTCTTCGGAAACCCCATCAGGGCGGTCTTTACCTAATCTACTAGGTACTGAAGTAGATCGGTGACACGGGCGGACAACAACCATGCCGTCATACCAGCCAGTGGTAGGACATAATCTGACCTGAGAGATGAGAGGCTGCTTATAATGTGTACTGCCCTACCTTCTGTGGATGATGCATGGAGGTGGACTCGGCGTTGTTGTGTATTCGCAGGGATTCCCATTGACGTTTCCTCCAAATACTTGTCCACAAACATCTTCCACCGCCTACCAACCTAGTGCCTCCATCTATGTCAAATAGTAATCCTACTTTGGAGGAGTTCCGCCCAATTTAGGGCAATCCGATAAATACTCGCGCGAAAGCAGATCGTCTAGGCCCCATTGTTCTGCCCGATAAAATAGCACTTCATCAGGATGGAGGGCCTCCCGCAGCCTGCCTACCTGGACCAGGCTCCGGGTGATACATGAACTCCAACAGTAATGCACCTTCAACGAGACTCGACAGAAGGTTCAAACCCCTCATCTTTCCCATACCATCATTTTCTTGCAGGCCGTCACTTCAACCTCTTTAAGCTGGTTCAACCTGCCTGACGCCATTGCACGCCTGGTAATACGCTCAAGATGAGTTGGCTGTTATTTGCCTATCCAGTAGTAAGTGTCTGCATCAACGATCAGAGAAACGCTGTTCTGATGACGCAAAATGCAGCTTATCCTGGCTTTGATGGGCGTCGCTCTGTAAGATCACCAACTCGCACTTGCAAACGGCATGTGGGAGAAAAGAAGGCTCACATATGCCTGCCATACATAAAGCTATGAGCACACCAACAGTGTCACCTTGTCCCTCCCACTCTCCCCAGTCCTGACCTTCCTGACAATCCTGCTCCCCCTGATCGCCGCAGCAAACGCAACGGCCCTTCCGTACCTGCTCCGCGAGAAGGCGCGCTCCCCTCGCCGGCTGCTGGTCAAGCTCGCACACCCAGCTGTCTCTCAGGGCCTGCAGGGCATCATAACAGTCGTCCTCGCCACCCTGTACACCACCTACATCGTGCCGGGCGCAACCCGGGACTGTGGCCTGTCGAGCGTCTGGGAACATCTCTTCCGCACTAAGGACGCCCAGTCTGTTAAAGCGATTCAAGACGCTTTCGAGTGCTGTGGCTTCCGCAGCGTCAAGGACATGGCGTGGCCCTTTACCCCTGTCGACATCGCGTGCGCGCAGCGCTTCGATAGGACGCTGCCATGCCGGGGCCCTTGGACAAGTGCCTTACAGAGAAGCGCCGGCGTGGAATTTGGAGTTATCATCATAGTTGCCATTCTCCAGGTGAGAAAAATCACCCATGCGTTCAAGATATACCCGCCATGTCCGCTGACGGATCCTCTACACAGATCGCAAGTCTCGTCTTCCCGCAACATTTCGCTGCCCGGTTCGATGAGTCCTCGTGGCGCCGTTTCTTTGGAGGCCGTAGGTCCCACGGCTCTGCTACGGGCCCCTCGCCCAGTCGGCCCCTGATCACCGGCGGCGAGGCGTCGGCCGAAGAGGCTGATGAGGAGGTGGGGCATGCGGGCCAGACTAATGGCTATCACTATGGGGCTCTTGATGAGCGAAATGGTGATGGGCCGAGGATCGAGCCATCGAGCCTGCGTCAGGACGGCAACGAATGGCGAGACGAGTGATGGGTGCAAGACTGAAAAATTGTGGGGGCTTGGTATTGATACAGGAAGTGAAAAGCAAGTGTCTAAATGTAAGTTCACATGACTAGCGGCAAGACAGACTGAGGGATTGGTTTTCTTTTGCGAGGCATCCATGCTGGTAAAGCAAGGACAATAATTACAGGTGTGAAATGAAGTTTGGGTCACCTGAGTGCTGCCTTTTTATATAGGACCAAGCGAAATCATCGAGATCGAGGGCTGAGGATGAAGTAGCATGGTGTGCCTGGCACTTTTGGATGCATGCAATAGTGAATGGCGAAGCCGCACTGGCACAACATGTCAGGCTGAAATCACCCTTCATAAACATTCCTTTCAAGCAGAGATCAATGACGTATTTATGGAAAGTACTTAAAAGATGTAGCACCTGGTCAAAACACCATGCGTGAGTATCTGTCCATAAATGGGTATCAGTCATAAGTCAGCAAAGTGGTTCCGAGGTTGTTGGACAGTGTGGCAAAGGGGATACTGGCATTCATTGTCTCCTAGCAAGTTCAGTTGAAACAAGCGCCCCTGGAACCTACTCAAAATGCAAATGCCCTATAATTTTCAGAAGTTCAAATTGCCATAGAGCAGCCACCGATATGATGCAGGAGTCAAGCATTCATGTTCAAGACGAAGACAGTGAAAGGATTCTTTGACCAGCGTCTTGACCTTTGTAAATATCGAAAGGTAAATATGAACTGAACTTTGCCTCCCTTTGTGTTACCCTGATGGGTTCACTTGAGAATCTTATGTTAAGCCTCAGCTGGTATCGCTCCTGCAGATCTAGTTAATGCCTGCTCAGGAGGCAATCTCCAGATTTTCGAGGCTCATTAGCAGGGTAGATAAGAATACAGTGAACATAGTGTCAAGTCGAGGAAAAGATTCAGTGGCTTAGTCGCCTCTAGTTCACATTTCTAGTGGTATAGCGTGCTTCTGATGAAACCAGTATGGAGCCTATGTGCTCTCTAAGAGCTCAGGTGACTTTTAGATAGCACAATGACTCCTCCTTATCATGTTTCCGTTATTCCGGTGAAAACAAGCTATCAATCTCCTGATCCTAGTCCTAAATCCTGGAGAGTATGGGAAAGCTTTATACGCATTTCACCACGAATGTAGAGCTGTGAAGCAGAATTCATTCATACGTGCCCTGGTCATGGCATGCATACTCCAGTTCCCTGTATCTGGGTAGAGTTGGATGGCGTGCCATGTTGAATCAGAAGCCGATGGTTGATTCACACAGGCTGTGAATCCAGCCCGGGAGTTACTCAATATAAGCCTTCCCAGTTCTGTTTCAGACAGAAGCACTGGCTCAACAGTCATTCAGACAGCTTGTCTAGCTCGGTGGGTGACTTGGACAGTACCTAGTGTCCATGTGAATATGACTGCCCAAGTGACCGTCTCAACGGTACCTTTTATCTTGCAAACCTTACCGGCCTGCGGATTGAGGCCGGCCCACAGATCGTAGCGCAGGCATCCAAAGTACCACCCTGAGAACTGAACTATGAAACTAACTCTTCCCTAGCTGTCTTTCTTCAAAGACCCGGGCCTCTCTTTTCTAAATCAATGCACCTTCCCCCTTCTCTCAGTTAGCCTGACCACAACCTACCAGGACACCACCCAGAATGTCTACCTTCAATAGAGGCGCGGGAGCGCCATCCAACACCAACTGGGCAGCCACTACCAGTCCAGCGAACGAGACCGAAGAGCAAGACAGTATTTACGATGCGGATGAAGAGAAAGATGTTCTTGGAGGAACACCGGTCAAAGTCAAAACACCTGAGCAAGTTCCTGCCCAGGTGGACCAGTATGGTGACCCTCCAGAGTCGCCCGAAGAGTACCGGATGGAGTTCGTCAAGGAGAATGGAATCACTGGTTTCATGCTCAAGGTCGCAGTAAGTCAGGTTACCACAGCCTCGTCAAGATTCCACAAGGCTGACAAAGGCTGCGTCAGAGCCGGCTGAGGACCCTCAAAGACCCCCACGAGCGAGTATGTGTGCGGCACCGTTTCTGGAACCTGATCCGAGACCTCAAGGTCGACAACTCCGCGCGACCACCGTACAGCCAGAAAGCGGCTGATAATATCCGTCATCTCCTGGAGGAACGGGGGCTCGCCGAGACGCTGCTGCTCGACTTCGAGCTGCTGCTCAACGTCTTCGAGGAGCGGGCTCAGAAACGCAGGGAGGAGCTTGAGAAGACGAGGCAGGAACACGAAGAGGAGCAGAGGAAGAAGCAGGAGTGGGACGTCGTCAAGGAGGAGGACGCCGAGGACGAGTGGGAGATGATCTAGGGCGGACTTCACGGGCGATGGCTCTTCCGCCATCAACATCACATTGGAACAGAATGGGAAGCCCGTAGAAAAGCCCAGCGACAAGCACAGAGATGAGATAACAGCACCATCCAGGGCTAACAATTGAGAAGTTCATGTACGGCTATGCAGCATGTTTGGGTGTGTACGAACTGAATGAAGGCTTCGTGACATGTGCTGTCGGGCCAGCAAGTGGGTCAGTAAAGTAGTCTGCGAATGGACCACGATCAATCAGTAAGTTGGTCAATGTCAGCGGATTGCAGTGTCGTCATTCCCTCAGCCTCTGCAGCCTGCCGAGACGGAAACGGATCCCCATAGGTCGAGAGGCCCTGCCTGCCACCCAAAGGCACGAGGACGATTGGCGGGCCGCGACAGGTGGATCTCTCTGCCACGAGCAGCCGCCGCAATAAGGTCCGTGTCACCCCTACACCCGAAACGACCCGACCCAAAATTCTCTCGCCGACTGTCCGTCGCCAAACTTGACAAAAAGCCTCAAAACTTTTTGTTGTCACTTGTCCACTTGGAATCCCTATCCATCAACCACCACCACCAACCACCCCCTCGTGACAGTCGCAGCGTGCGCCTCGGGAACCACTCCACTCAGTCCATTCCTTCTGGTTGTCTCTTCCCATTCCCCAGCATCTTCAATCGCAATGGCCTCTGCAGCACCATCCACCGGCTCGACCAAGGTCGATGCCGTCGTCCAGAAGGCTACCGCCAGCGCCCCTGGCCAGCTCAGCGGTGTCCAGCTCTACTCCAGATTCGCCCTCGCCGGTGCCGTCTGCTGCTCGATAACACACGGTGCCCTCACCCCCGTCGATGTGTACGTCGCTTCTTCCTGACCCGTGTCCAATTCCATTCATCCGGGGCCCGAAAGACTCGTCTTTGTTTCAGCTTCGCGACCGATGCGTCTGCCGCTCCCGCTGTCGCCGGTCGTTCAGGCATTCAACCCCGGAACCCCGCCAGCTCTTCGAACTTCCACGCTAACGAGCACCATGAATACAGCGTCAAGACCCGTATCCAGCTCGACCCTGCCACCTACAACCGAGGCATGATCGGTGGCTTCAAGCAGGTCATCCAGAATGAGGGTGCTGGCGCTCTGTTGACCGGCTTCGGTCCCACCGCTGCCGGTTACTTCCTGCAGGGTGCCTTCAAGTTCGGAGGTTACGAGTTCTTTAAGCAGCAGTCCATCAACCTGCTCGGCTACGAGAACGCCTCCAACTACCGTACCGGTGTCTACCTGGCTTCTTCCGCCGCCGGCGAGTTCTTCGCCGACATTGCCCTCTGCCCTCTCGAGGCCACCCGTATCCGTCTCGTTTCCGAGCCCACATACGCCAGCGGTCTGCTGAGCGGCTTCACCAAGATGGCCCAGCAGGAGGGTATCGGCGCTTTCTACGCCGGCTTCGGTCCCATCCTGTTCAAGCAGTAAGTGGCAACACGTCTGGCCTGGACTCGTCGCAGAAACCATTCATACTCACAACTTCCACAGGATCCCCTACACCATGGCCAAGTTCGTGGTCTTCGAGAAGGTCTCCGAGGCTGCCTTCAGGGCCTTCCCCAAGAAGGACCTGTCCGACGGCGCCCAGACCGGTGTCAACCTGGGCTCCGGTCTGATCGCCGGTTTCGCCGCCGCCATCGTCTCCCAGCCCGCCGACACCATGCTTTCCAAGATCAACAAGACCAAGGGCCTGCCCGGTGAGGGAACCACCAGCCGTCTGATCAAGATCGGCAAGGAGCTTGGTCTCCGTGGATCCTACACTGGTATCGGTGCCCGTCTCTTCATGGTCGGCACTCTGACTGCCTTCCAGTTCGCCATCTACGTAAGTCCCCATCTGGACCTCTTGACAATATATAATATGCTAATTTAAATATAAAGGGTGACTTGAAGAAGGCGCTTGGCGCAACCGGTGGCGTTGAAATTGCCAAATAAACGACTTGTCGAAGTGTCTGAAGATGCCCGAAAGTTGTGGTTGAAGCTGGGGTTGGTGTGGTAGAGGCGTGGTTGCGATGGGATAGACATTTGCGCCGGTAGAGAGGGTACAAGATACCGCAGGTTTCGATTACAAAAGCCTGCTACCTGCTACAGGGACTGCTAACACGGGCTAGATTAGACTCGACGATTTCCTGGGTTTAAGACGGTTCACGCAATTCCGATTGCAAACTTATACTATTTTCGGTCGGGATCTGGTCTTCGGGCGGGATCTGGCCACCATGACTGGTCAAGAAGCTTTGTATAATAGTCTTTTTACTCGCGCAATCATAGACTTGGAGTTGGAGACACCTATCATCAGTTTGGCTGAGTCCGTGATGTGCGATGGTGGTCATAAGGATCACAGCTTGAAGGCGTTCTACAACGTAGGCGCATGCCAGGAGCAGCACACCCTTCCTTTGTGTAACCTCCTCAAAATGGCTTCGCTTGCGATAGATTGCTTCAAATCGCGTCTCAGGGTTCTGCACAGAACACTGTTGATAAGCAGCCCCGTGTCTTTATGAAAATCTATTGGTAAGAAAATCTCCTAGGGCATTGCCTATAGACCAATCTCCTATTGGACAACTCCCTATAGGACAGCCTCCTACAAGACAATATCATAAACTTCTATGGGATAACCTTCCGTGGGATAACCTCGTGTAGGGCAAGCTCCTACGGGCTGCCCTCTCATACGATAATATCCTATGTATGGGATGAGCCATAGAGTAGCCTACTCTGGGACAATATTCTGCGAGATAACCCCCCTGGAGTAGGCTATCGTTCCCGAAGGTAACCTCCAAGCAAGCTCTTCAGCCCAAGTCGGGGACCAGCGCCTACCAGCTGCGACAAGCACAGTCACGGCGTCAGCGCAGGTCGACCGTGTAACGGTTCCAGTGTTCGACCGTGGCAGATCTAAATACGGAAACACAGGAAAGCATCTTGACAGATACTCTTCAGAAATGCAGAGAGATGGGTCCTAGCATCATCTGCTAGATCTCATTTGGACTGGCCAACTTTGTGGTTTCCTTGGAACATTTGACGCGTCTCGCGTGTGGACCAGAAAGCAAATTCGAAGCTTGAAATGCCTCAGAGGGTCATTCTCATTGCCTTGCCGCTGCCTTTGACTAAAACATCATTTGCAAGGTTGATGCTTTTGTCCGGACAACACACAAAGCGCTGATGCCTCTCTCAACCTGGAAGAAATTGACACAACTATCCAATGTGGAAGTCGTTTGTGCCTGCCTTGTCCTTCTGAACGGCTCCGTTGTGTTCAAGATGAACTGAATTGATTTCGAGCATCCACGTCGTCCGACCTCTCAAGCCTCGACGCCTGCAATTCCGAGTCGTCACATGCAGAAAGTAAAAACAATACAGATTCGGCGAACAAACATAACTTTGACCAAGGCATTGTGTTGAATATCATCATACCCCAGATACATAGAATTCCCTCATATATGGTGTCTCATTTCCTGTCAAGAGATTTCTTGCTGAGAGTCCCTCGCGGGATGGTTCAACGTCGAAGTCGATCTTTCTACGAAGTACACCAATGACATGGGCCAGCAGAAAACAGCGCCAGATCAGCCCGAGACTTGCACTGCATCTGGCACTACTGCGCATGGTCAGCACCCGGTGATAAAATTAGATTCGTAACATGTCGATGAACACGGTGCGTGCTCCCCCAACAACGTGGTACAAGATGACGGCACCTGCCGTGCCACCACACATTTCAAGCTTTGCATCCATGTGTCACTAATAAGTCGAATCCTAATCCTGATTGTCATCTGTTGCAGCTACACCGCCAGACTGCCAAACTGCTCCGACATCTTGCACAAACTGAGCTGAGCCCCGGTCACCTGTACAAGAGGTTGCAACTGATCCTCATCCATGTGATCCATGTGGTTCAGCCCTAGAGCTGAAACCGCCCTGTTGGGAATTGTACATCCGGCGCTTTGGCCTTTTTGTGCTGCAAGGGCGGCCGAGGCAAGTAATTTACGTATCGTCGAGATTACACGACAGCTGCAATTTCCCGCTTATCTGCCTGGTCTACAAGTGGTCGATAGTCTCTACGATTTCGAGCCGCCCTTGCAGATATCACAGCAGGTTTGCCGAGGCACGTATTTGAGAAAGCCGGGGGAGCTTGGACGTTTTGAGGAGTCTGCTCCTTGCCTTGTCTCGCACAGCTTATACGAAAGAAGCAGGCCGGAGTGCCCTGCGTCCGACAGAGGTCCGCTGCCCGCTGCAGGAGGGTGCTGATGCAAAATCGCGCCACTCTCTTTTGGTGGTGCTTCAGGTTCAGTAGTGGTCGAGGTAGGCCCGGCGAGCACAGCTGATAGGCGAATGATCCCTGGGGGGGAGATAAGCAAGGGGGGAGGTTGGGGGGGGGTGTCACACCAGCACGAGATTCCGGCAGACTGGCCTGGCGCTGTGCGGATTTGTGGAATCTGGCTAAAGCAAAACCCCCGGCCGAGGACGCACGCGAGGGCAGCAGAACGACCCCATTCCCAATCCGCGCTGTCCGTCTCCATTCGCCCACTCGCCTTGCATAAGTTCGTCCGGGCAGCAACGTGGTTGGCTGAGGTACCCATGCAGCTCCGGAGCGGCTGTATCGCAGGATTGGCTGCACCGCTGTGGCGCCCCGGCCTGATAACGAGCGAAGGATCAACCCAGGATTGACGTGATTCTCCCGCCTAAATGGTCGATAAACATGGGGCCCGGGGTTGACACGAGAGGGCTTTTGTGTCGGCCAACCCCCCCGCCGTCTGCGCCCCCCCGAGTGCTCTTCGCCAACGAAAGCCGCGGCCGTAAGGTTCAAAGTGGGAGGAGGGTCCTCACCTACCCTATTTTTACGTGTTCGTGCGGATGCGAGCAGCCTGTCAAGATTGCGGCCGGTTGGTTCCGCTCTCCCGCCTCTCGGGCTCCGTATAATCTGTCATGTGGTCCCCTCCGATTCCCTTGAGCTGTCTCCTCCCACTCTGCTCACCCGAGCTGTGTTGCTGTCCATTAGTGGCCTCTGGTTATTGAAAGCTGGAGCGGGATATCTCCTCCCTCTCCCCCTCCCCTCGTTGAGAGGATCAAAGACCGAACACCGACTGTCGAATCGCCCTCGCTGCCCGTCCACGAACCAGTCACCGGACTGCGACGCCGAAAAAAACCGTGCTTGCCTCCCGACGTCGCTGGTGATCTGCAGTGACCCGACTCTTACTTTCGCACGGACGAACCGCTTCTCTTCCCGCCCGCCCTGGGGCTACCTTGATAGGGTTGCAATGTCACTATGGGAATCCTGTTGCCCAGGAAAGGGACACATGGGCTGGAAGTCATCGAATCGTCTCATCTGACATATTTTCCCATAACCCTGTGGGATATCCGGGTTATCGCGGTCCTCTGGGCACTGTTCTTCGTGACCGGAATCTTCGTCGTCCTCCGCCTCTTCTCCCGAGTCAAGATCCTCCAGTTCTATGCCGTCGAAGACTACCTCTACAACGTCGCCTTCGTAAGTCGTCAGCTCTCTCAATAACTGGGCATCCGACCCCTGGGAACCAAAAGCTGACCGTGCGGTCGTCAGACCCTTCTTCTCGCATACAATGGCCTCATCACGTTTTACTCCTATCACGGCCTCGGCAGCCAATTGCCGGAATACCTGACCACGAGCGACGTTACTCTCATTGTTGCCTTTGAGAATGTTCTTTTCGATCTCGCCAGTATAGGCCTCGTCGTTGCGAAGAGTTCCCTCGTCGTCTTCCTGCTGCGTCTTGCTCCCCAACATCAGTCCCAGCTGAAGTGGAACATCCTCATCATCCTCCCCATTGTGCTCCTGGGCATTGTGACTTTTGGGGCCATCATGGCAATGTGGGCGAGATGCTTCACCGCACTGGCTGGGACGACTCTATTGTGCTCCAGCGTCGTTCCCGCGATGCACTGGATGCAGGTGGCGGCGGGGTTCAGTGTTGCGATCGATCTGTGGTACGCCGCGATGCCATGGTATCTCCTCAGGCGCCTTACGAGGCCGAGGAAGGAAAAGTTCCTGATCCAAGGGAGCATGAGTCTTGGTATTATCGCTGCGGGCTGTGGCATCGCAAGAGCGTTGACTATCTACGCAGCCGTGAACAACCTGCAGGAAAATTCTGGTAAGGAGTCCCTCGTCCTCGATGCTCTGGCGCCCATGGGGGACTGACCCGGAAAACAGCTGCGGTGCTCTACCTCTGGCACGGTGCGGAAATGGCAGTGACGATGATCTGCATTGGCGTGCCTGTCAGCAGGCCGGCCTATGCTAGCATGATACAGGCATGTGGTATGCGAACCCGCAAGGCAAAGAACAGCAATTTGTACCCGTCTTATACCGGCACATACAGACAGGCTCGAGATCGTGCAAATGGCGAGCCGGACACGTGGTCTCAGCGGGAGATTTTGACCGACACGAACGCCATGGCCACGAAGGAGTCATTCACTCTGACTATGATAGGCAAACCGGGCATCACAGTGACGAAGACTGTAGATGTCACCCAACAGTCTCCTGTTTGACATCGGCGTTTCCTGTTTTTTTTATTTTATATTGCTCGTTGAACGAGACTGAGCGGAGGGGTTTGAGGCGTTGTATGATATCTTGTTTTTCATAGCAAAGGGCTCGGTGGGCGTGTAATTGGTGGTCATTTGGCAACTGTATATAAGTGCTGCCCAGGCACTCCATGGAGAGGGCTGTTTGATACTTTTTATATGTCAATACGGCCCAGAAAGTCAGCCATGCTTTCACCAGTCAATATCATTCCATCCGATCTTGCCCCTACTAGTGTGAATCGTGTCCCGTCACAAGGGTCATCGCTCCGTGGCAGCTTCATCAGCGTTCTCTGTGCGAGGCAGCGAAGTGTTTAGAACAACAATTGTCATTGCGAGTCTGGAGCGGACTCTGGAAAGAAAACGCAGATTTAATTTACGTTGCTTCTAGGTTCCTTGGTCAGCCATGTGTACAGAAGAGGGAGGGATTAACGACGTGAGAAACGGACAAATACCCGGAATGTGTTAAATCCTCTTCAAAAATTCTACAGTACATTTGCTTCTCGGCCACAGGCACACTACCCGCGAGGATCGATATTTCCGGCCGCCGAGGTCTGGACGATCAAATGCCTGGGGTTTTCCTCGAGCCCTTCACCTGAAAAGCGGATCAGCTGAGAATGCTTCATTCAAACTCCCAGATTTGGTTCACTTCATGGCCGTCGGTGGCTCACAAGGACTTTTTTATCTGGATATAATTAAAAGCTCCATATGGAGAGTGATAGCAGATGTTATTACAGCACCGTGTAAGGAGACGGAACAAACTCTTACATATTATGGCGACCGTCCCAGAAAGCAAATTGCCAATTCCTAGGAATATTGTACACGGAGTACACTGGAATTTCCACTTAGAAAGATACTCTTACCTTTCAGGATGATAAATTGAGTCTGAGGACTGTGCAAGACATCGGCCGAGGGGAAATGGGCAGGTCCATTCATGACAGTAGAGACCAGCTCAAAAAAGCTCGGATGACGGTTGTCCCCTTGCCCGAAGAATCGATCACACCTCTTCGTGCAGCAACAGAAGTGATACTCGGCCCGCCGCTTGCATCTACAAGCTAAGTTATGCAAGAAGTCGTTGCCCTGTTTGATCTGCGCGGGATGCATGCAAGTTGCAGATCACACCAATTCCAAGTGTTCGAGAAGTTTCCCATGCAGCTCACCGAATGCAACGGCACATTTGAGTAAAGAGGACACGAGGAAAGTACCCAAGTAACATTTCTGAGCTCACAGTCATCAAGGCTGGATAGGATGCCATGACACGAGACAGCAGAAACGCTTCTGTCGGATGCACGCCGCGTCATGTCTCGAAACTTCCTGCCAAGCGTCGGTAATTCGAGCATTCATATTTGAATTGTAATTCAAATCTACGCATAGTCACACTTCCGGAGGAGGAGGGGGGTGGGGTTGGTGGTGGCGGGATTGACAATCTCCAGTCCACGTCAGTACTGCGGCCGCAGCTGAGTTGAGTTCGAGCAAGATGATAGGACTGAATACCGCTTGCCGCTTGAATAGCCTGTGCGGATGATGAGAGTCGGGTTCCACGAAAACCGTGAGCTTACCTTCTGTCGCCGATTTGAAGGCAGCCCGGGAGAGGATGGGGGTCCGCGGAGGGGGCCGCCCTGAGACTCTCGCCATGATTAACTTCGGTACTCCCAGACTGCGGTACTAAGCACGTGGGTCATGCAGTATGCCGTGCATGTGTGTCACTTTGGAGATATGATACATAAGTACGCCCTTGTGAAGATAATCCAAATGATTACTGAAGGCTGGCCGTTCGTCTTGCACGAACCTGTTCTTAGGAAGATGAAACTAAGAACGGTTGGGGGAGTAGGAGTTGCAGCATCGTCCATTGCGTCCTCATAATATTCGGATCATGTGTGTTTGATCCATCCGTTTTATAGCAAACACACTAAATCCTGAGGAGGAATCGAGAGCAGTACAAGCGGTTACGCCACTCGTCTCGGTGTTTGCATGACAGGTGAAGGACGACAGGCAAATATCTCAACGGCTATATTCTCCGATACATGCACTTGGCGCATTAGACCTCCCGCAAGCTTATAGCACAGGTAGTGTGACGCAGCACATCCAGATCCAGATGAGTATCAGGGTCGCAATGCTCTCGCCAAGCAAGTACAGCAAGTCTTAACTCCACCCTCGTCGGGCCTATTCGCAAGGAATGGCATTGCCAAGCAATCGAGGCCCATTATTACTTCAGGGGCAACGTCACGAGGGACGAAGTGCGAGTTGCCCTGGACGGGTTAGAATCTCCTGCCCAAATATTTGTCAGGACTCACATTCGCAAGAGTGACTGAAAATTACCCAGTATAGGCAGCGTATGTATGCGCCTGACGAGCCAATAGACTCATCTTCATCGGGGTTGCCCTGCCCTTGGGGACCAATCCAAGAGCCGGCAGTCGCGGTGCAAGGTTTGATATTCCGCATCATAGGTTTCCCGGATATCTGGTCCGCTCCTGCTCTCCTCGTGGGATTGACTCCCGGTTCATTCAACCATTTGCACGACTCAGCAGGTTGAGCTTAATTCGCGCCCCACAGGCGACAGGATTTCAATGATCTGGTCCATAATCCGGACGAGGTTGAAAGCCTGGCAAACTGCCTTGTAACTATAGCGGACGGAGGTGGTCTGAGATTAAGCCTGGGTAAGCAACAGGCGTCATCTATGCGCGACTTCTAGATTGAATCTGCGTTATTTGACCTATGTCGCCGTGCTTGGCAGCATCATTAGCCGTCCTGTGCAATCAGACTGGCCGGGACCTGCATGCTACTAGAACGGGAGCTACAGTTTCCCGAACAGTCAGTATGGTTACAGTCCTGAAGTCCCCGATACACGGTGCCTGCAGGGACAATAAGCCTCCCTAAGTGGAGCAACTGGCTGATCGCAAAGTTGGATTACTCGCTCGATCTTGTAATCATTAGGATAGACAAACCTCATCGGCCAAGGCAGTCGGTACAGGAACAGTTACCCACTCTATTCCTAGTCCGGCATCGGGATTTAGGACGGAATTCGGCTCCAGGCAAAGCGCTTTTTTCTAGCACTTGGGAACCTTCCCCGCGGAAGAATGGAAGTCGTTATGGGAAACCCCAAGTTTCCCCGCATGTTCTCTACGAATCAATCCAGTGCCGGCGGTGACCGGGTCTGTTTAGGGTCTTTAATTACCGATGCTTCTCCGTTCTTCGCCTCGCACTAGCAAAGCATCAAGCTTTATTTCCTAGGCCGTCGAGCGTTGTGCTGCGTTCTGCAGAGGCAGATCCGGGCATGCGTAGCGGACAGGGTACCCCATGGCATGGAAAGCTTGGGGAATTACGCAGTATCCACCTTGGTTGCACTGCTTGAAGATCTTGCGGCTTGTGGGAGGGGATAGCCCTCGTATATAGCACTGTATAAAGTACCATGACGACCTCCCCGCTTGTCGTTCCTTCGAGAGTACCCAAGGTTCCAGGAGAGTCTCGTCAACAAAGCTCCAAACAGAGTTCGGTCAGAAGCCATCTACGAACAATGGCCTGGGTATCGCTGCCTTCCCTGGCCGTTCTAGCCGCCATCCACATTCAATGGCTCCTGAACCCCGACTCGGTGGTCGTCCAAGCTCAGGACCTTCCTGCACAGGCCCAGGTTATTGACCAAAGAAGCTTCAACGTCCTGCCTAACGTACTGCCCGCTACCGTCGTCAATGGAAGCCAAACCTTCATGCCCCCAGGCATCACACCGGAAGACCTTTTGGCCAAGCCCTTCCACGTCTACGACGACGAATTTCGCTCCATCATCGGTTCAGAACCCACTTTGTCACTGATTGCGGAAACGGCAACGGACCCGTTGTTCCACGAGGCCGTGGTTTGGTATGCAACCCTTCTCAACATAAACCTGGCACAATTTTGTACTTGAATGTGGACTGAACACCAAGCAGGTTCGAGCCGACAGACGAAGTCTTCTTCGTTCAGAATGCCGGCGCCAAGGCCGCAGGCACGGGACTCAACAAGTCTGCCATCATCCAGAAGATCGCGCTGTCGCAAGCAGACGCGGTCAAGGGCCAGGCCAACGCAACTGGGCAGGTCACGGTGGAGGTTGTCCCATCCAACCCGCAGGTCGTCAACCCCAACGGAGCCACCAACTACAAGGGCCAGATTCTCTACATGGCAGAGGGTGCTGGCGCGGAGAACACGTCAAACGCCGTCGTCATGAACCCAAGGGAGCCTTACAACACGACAGTCGTGCTCAACAACTACTTTGGCCGGCAGTTCAGCTCCCTCAACGACGTCGCCGTTCACCCGGTCAACAAGGAGGTCTATTTCACAGATACTCTTTACGGATTCCTGCAGGACTTCCGCCCGGCCCCTGGGATCCGGAACCAGGTCTACCGGTGGAACGATCAGACCGGCGCGGTCACGATTGTTGCGGATGGATTTGTGCTGCCCAACGGTATTCTCTCCCCGGGCCCTGTCTTAATAGTGTAACATTGAAAAAAGCGACAGTTGCTGATTTTTGTGCGACGCAGGCGTCACTTTCTCTCCAGACGGCAAGTTTGCCTACGTCGCGGACACGGGAATTAACAAGGGCTTCTACGGCGTCAACTTCTCCGACCCAGCCTCCATGTAAGTTCATTTCCCCCAACAACGCAGAGATGCCCGCCCAAGTCCCGCAAAGATGCTGACCACGTACCTCCCAAACAGCTACCGCTTCGACGTCCTGGAGGACGGCACGTGGGACAACCGCAAGACCTTCGCCTTCGTGGACTCGGGCGCCCCAGATGGCGTGCACACCGACACCAACGGCAACGTCTACGCGGGCTGCGGCGACGGCATCCAGGTCTGGAACCCCTCCGGCAAGCTCCTCGGCAAGATCTACCTGGGCGGAACCAGCGCGAACTTCAAGTTCGCAGGCGACGGCAGGATGGTCATCTGCGCCGAGACCAAGCTGTTCTACGCCACGTTCAATGCGAGCGGGTGGATCACCGAGGGGCAGTAGATGGTGTCTTTTGTATATATCAATGGGCGTGGCTCGAGGATCTTGCCCAGCCCGCATCAAATATTTCCCTGCCAAAGTGGCAAGTTATTCATGAGCATGCCACCACTATGGGTACTTGCGGACTTGAGTGACTCGATTTTCGCAGGTGACAAGTAAGCTACGAAGCATTGACGGACGGCCGGACTGAGAGCAAGTCCCTTCTTCTGTAGAAGTTGCCAAGGTGGACAATTTCAATGCTCATCAAGCCCAGTTCCGTCGGGCCAGACAATTTCGGTCTGGGAACCGAAGTAGTCACGATGTAACCTGAATTCAGTGATCGTATCAAATGAACAGCACCAGTATGATCCCTAATGACAATTGGTATGTTGAATGTATTTTCAAAAAGCAACACCTCTGTCCCGCAGTTCCGTTGCCAAGGCCTCATCCCGATCTTGAACCTTCCTAATTATCCATTCTTGAGACAGCAGCTTAGTGTACACCAGAAAAGTCTCAAGTGGGACCTCCGAACATCTTTACACGCGACTACAAGTCGAGGAGCCTTGAATTCCCAACATGGTAAAAGAAATCGAGTGGTGGTTGGCCGGACAAACCAAAGGTGTCGTCAATGTAGTCCCCCGTGTCGAAGCTGCGCCGAGTGGCGCGTGTGGATGCAGGACCGAGGGTTCTCGAAGTAAGCGGGGTCTGTTGAACTCAACGCTGTGGCAGAGGTTCAGAGTGAGTCTATTGTTTTGGGGCAATCTTGTATTGCCTATTAGAATCTGAAAGCCGCCAGTCGTTATCCCATCCCGCCAACTTCATCAGTCCAACCTTCCCATGAGCACCCCGGACCTAGAAACAGCCGGAACCCCAAGCTGCATCAAGATGGACGCGGAGGGCAAGTAACGCGTTACCACTAACTTACCTTGAGCTAGATTTCTCAGGCCGAGTTCCGTTTCACTTACTCGACTTCTTGACAAAGACCAATCGCTAGACTTTTCGTGGCTTTGAACAAGTCGAGCAAGTCACAAGATCCCTCTAACGTAACCTCGACGGGTGTGGATTGGCTCCAGCAAGAACACTAACAGTCATTTGGTAGTAGGGATGGGACCAAGAAGGTTTTCGTTTCTGAGCGCTTTGAAGACCTTGAAGCCCTTGAAAAATTAAAGTGTAGCGGGTTTGGCAAGATTGAGTTTGAGATCTTTCCTCATGTAGCAAATTGACGTTGCAGGGATTTAGGAGCGTTGTGCCTCTTCATTGTTAAGGTTTGGACTAGACTGAGCAAGAGTCCCGATGAGCGCCCCTGGAATACGAAGCATGTCGTTGTTGAGCAAAATCGAATCTCGACACTTGAATTTCGACACTCGGATCGAGATTATTATTGGAAATGAGTACATAGGACCAACTGATTCGGGAGAAAGAGGCCGTGGATAGCTGAGCTAGAGGCGTGAAGAAAACCAGAGAGTGCCCAAGTTAAACACCTGCGTTGTTGGGCCCGGCACACGCTCCGTGAAACACGTTTCAACGGATTCGCGATATATTCCATGGCCCATGAACGAGCTAGGTCTCGAGAGACAAGGGGCAGCTGGTTCAACGACTCGATAGTCCTTCAGTTGTGTGCCTCGAACTTCACCTACATGATTCAATTGCGAATACTGCCCCGGTTAGCGGAATGGAATGCGTGCGATGAGTTACAGTCGGCATCTCCGATTTGAGGATCAACCAGAGGTCAATAAATCAATGAAGTTTGTGGTTTACGGGTCGTCATGGCCTGCAGGGTGTTTGGTCAGAAGTCGAGGCCGTGTTCCAAAACGGCCTGAGCACGATGAAGTTCGTCCAGAGCGGTACGCTGACAGTGGGACGCCGTCCTCCATATAGAAACAAACTTGAAAAATATCCATACAGAGAATTACAGTGTTGGATATTCTTAACGGTGAGACTGCATGAAGCCCCAAACAGACCTTATCATTTTATGATGCATTCTCTTAAGGAATCAGAGCTTTGCGGTATTGGGAATGCCATCCTTTTGGACTGACCACATTCTGCTTGAACAGTCAACTCTCTCTCTCTCTCTCTCTCTCTCTTCAGTATTCGATTCCTGCTCGTATATATCGTCAGAATGTTGGAACTCCTCAGCTAGTCCCAGTAGAGCTTACATGCATGTCAAAGATTGGAGCATGACTTGACCAGTAAGGGTACATGTGTGACATATTTCTGTAAAATAACCTTTTAGGATGGAAATTCTGTGAAATGACCTTCCATCCTGCCGAGATTTATGAAGATCTTGTCAATGACTCTCTTCACGTCCACAATGCCGGCTTCAGTCGATGTTGCTGAGAAGCTAGCCAGGTCACGAGGAACTGAACATCACATCAATCACATGCATCTACCTATGGTCAATATTCCATGGGACTCTGAGAAGTAGACAAGATCCGAAAAGTGTTTTGTTCTTGCTGAGGACCAGTCGAATAGAGCCTCCGGGCTCAGTTGCCTCTGCCCGACGATTGTATTATGAATAAATGATGTTCTCATGAAGCGCACAAGTATCGGCACGGGAATATGGACATGCTCCTACCGTTGCAGGTGGGTTTAAAGACGTTCTGGACCCAAGGCTTCCTCTTGTAGGATACAATACCTAGAGTGGCACAGACTTTCACATGAGTTCCTTGTTTTTCGGTTGACTTTTCTTCCATCTGGAGCTATTCGTGATGACTTCCTCGTGCCTTAAAATCCTGACATTCGAATGTTCAGAGGTTTATACCCGAGGATTCTGTACTTGGGGATTTTCTTTTTCATCAGGTCAGAATTCATTCATATTAGATTGCATGTGGTATATTGCTTACCTGCTATCGTGAATCTCGACGGCCTCCGCAGGAGGCCCCTGATGATGCCGTTCCAAGTATCATGTTTCGTTCTCGCTCTTTGAAGTCGCGAACACGGGGAACTTGCTCAAACCCGAAATCAAGGACATCCTCAAGGTTGTCCCCGTCGAGGCGAAGAAAAGTTCCAAGCGATATCACCCCATCATGGGGCGGCCTGCATTGATTTCTATGAGGCCCCAAGCCACCCTGCATACCTACTCGTGGCGATCAATGGGGGCGGTGGTTCGTCAAACCTGCGCAATGGGACAGGTGGGGGGGGGGGGGGGGTCGTTTTTTTCGCTCTCTCGAGTCGCACCTTTAAACCCACGCGACCCTCCCTGCGCCCCTGGCCCGACCTCCTGGGTACGGCTTGGCGTGTCGCGCGAAGCAAGTCTTCCCGATGCGCGCACCGGCTCGCTGCAGGGATGGGAGCTTAGCAGTGTTCCAGGAGCTCGTCTCGAACAACCGCATCGGTAAAATGCTTCTCAGAACATCCAACGGGCTCGGCGGGGTTGGGTGGGTTTGGTTGACTCCAGGCAAGATAGAGCTGCCCTGTTCCTGCCTTGCGGGTCGCGTTCGCTTATAGGGTCATGGTTTTGGCCGCATCTTGGCTGTTCAAGCAGTCTTGTCGGTCTGGGCGGTGCGCGGCGTCCTCTTCGCCCCGAAGCTTGAGTATATCTCGTAGGCGACACCCGAGCATTTTCCCAAGCTCTTGAGCTCGACAAGATTCTTCAGTCCATCATCGCACATCACCCGTACTCTTGGGACCTGTCAAAAACGTAGTCCAGCCTTGAGCAGTGAAACGAAACAATCCATCACCCACCATCTCTGATTCAACGACACACCTTACTCCACTTCCAAAGCACCACCACACAGCACAACCATCAAAATGCTGTCCAACCGCCGTTCCTTGCTGGGAGGTCCCGCCGGTGGCCCAATGTCCGTCGACAAGTCCAACCCCAACCGCGCCACATGGTGCCGCCGCGCCTCATCCTTCACCGTCGCCCCAGGCGCACACGCCGACGGAGCGCCACCAATGTACAACAGCGCCCAGACAGACAACCAGCCACACTGCCAGTCGCCATCCGTCCTCACATCCACAACAGCCGAGATCCCAGGCCACCGCGTGGTCAAGGTCATCGGCTCCGTCTACGGCAACACGACGGCGGCGCTGCCAAAGGACGGCGTCAAGATGTGGCTCAAGACGGCCTGCGGCATGGGCGCCGAGGTCAGGAGCCTGACGAACATCATCTATAACGCGAGGGACGCGGCGACGGATAGGATGGTCATGGACTGCGTTTCGAGGGGTGGCAATGCTATCATCGGGTTGAGCTGCACGGAGAGCGAGATCGCAGGCTGCGCTACGGTTAGTGTGCAGGGCACGGCAGTTTATATGGAGATCAGCAGGAAGGTGGTTGAGGATCCGTTCAAGGGAGAATGAGATCAAGGGTGAACAGCTAATTTCTTTCTTTTCTTTTACATTTTCCTGGATCATCTTACGACATACCCGGCGCTCAGTTGAGAGATTTCCATCATTATTCATACACTATTACTTTTACGAATAACGTCGACTTTGAGTATGTGGGAGTTATTTCTAGCCTAATACTACACAGTCACTCTCAAGGACCCGGAAGAAAACAGATGTGACTAGACTACATCCCAGCACAAGATATACACGGATGGTTGGGAGAGTGGCCCTGCGTGCAGGGAGCTGGACCGGAGGGTTGCAACCGCAATTCGACGTCGCATTCACGCAACACGACCGGATGAGGGATGGGATGGGATGTGGGCCACAAGCGCCGACGTCATCTCGCGCGCAGTCCAGGTTATTGCGGCACGCCATCTGACTTGATCCGCGACTGAGGTGACGGCCCAGCAGCTAGACTACAGCACTTCAGCATCACTGGTCCGAGTATAGGGTGGTGCCTAAGCCGTATTACATGACAGCTCAAACAAGCTTTGGAATATGGAGGGTGCTGTGGCGAAATATCGTCGAGACCCTGGGAGTGGTCTCCCGTGACGTGACATGATGATATATGTAGAGCTGGACGGTCCCCTCTCGTCGCCTCTGCAGTCCATCTCGACAACATACAATATCACTGAACTGTAACACCAAAAAGGAGCTAGCCGGCAGACCCGACCAAGAAGCATCCCACAATGGACACAATCAAGAAAGTCCTCCACCCAAAGGAGCCAACCCACCAAACACATGACACCAACGAACCCGCCGCCTCACACCACAACCACCCATCATCATCACTCCCTCCAGGTGCCCGCCCAGACCAGGAGACCCTAGACCGCCTAGGCAGCGAGCCCAACGTCACAGGCACCAACCGGCCCCCGCCCCACGAGGACTTCCCCTCGGCGCACACCGCAGGGGACCAGCCCAAGATCAACCGCGGACACCACCACCCGCGCCAGCCCGTTGGCGCGACGGGTCCCCCAGCGGGCCACGGCGGAGCTGGGTCCGGCGCCGTGGGGGCAGAGTCGGGCGCACACGGCGTCAAGGCGCAGGCCGAGGAGGGCAACAACTTCCCGGGGACTAATCCTCACCCTAACCATTCGGCTTAGGGGGAGGCTGGCTGGAAGGGGTGGCGAGATTTTCAAAGTTGGAATGCGGATGCACGATTTTCTACATTCCCATGTAAAAGAGGGTTTTGGGCATTGGGGTCGCCTTACGGAGGACGACGAGTGTGGCACGAAATTGATACCAGCCGGCGCGGTCATTGCATTTGAGCTTTACGAGGGGGGTTTTCAGCAGCAGCACAGAAGTGCCTGGAGGGCATGGAGCAGTGTAGAGAGATAGCTGAAAGTGATCGTTCACATTTAATAGTTTTTGAGGTATCTTGCATCCATGAAATCCGAAAAAGGCCAGGCCACTCATCCCCGCTACAGCACCGTCACAGCGGCATCTGAAATTCAGCATCCCTCGAGGACGCCGACACCTGCCAGAAAACCCCAAGCAACAAAATGTTCTCGTCCAACAATTCTCCAAAGCGCCCAGATCAATAAAGCCCCCGCTTGACCTTTGGCTCGGGATCCCACATAGCCTGACTGATTTTCCGATCCCGTACGTGAGGAAACACGGCTCCATGAGCAAACAGCAGTCTTTGACCTTTATTTAACACGTCGCTGAAGAGATGTTGTCAAGGACTGGGCACAGCTCCAATGCCAACATGCAGAACATCGCAAGAACGAACGCCACGCCGTGCTTGTTGGTGTCAGGTCATCATATCTAAAACAAAAGACGAGAAAAGTTCAAGTATAAGCGTGAAATTGCACAAGTATCACATGTGTCCCTGGTTTTCGGGGCCGCCTCCAAGGTGATTCGCATCGAACAGGCCAGTAAAGTCACCGGGGAAGAAGTCCCACGGCGGCATCATATCATTCGGAAGCCCGAGCGATCCAATGTTGATCTCTTCCACTGTGATAGCATCAGCTATTGGCCCGCCACCAAAATAAGGGTATGAGCCTGAGGCAAGGCCATTCTGCGCGAAATCGTGACCATAATTCCCAACCACGTCATTGGGCGTGTGGCCCTGAGCGGCGTGGTTGAGCTGGTGCATGCGCTGTTGGTGGACAGAGGTTGGATCGTTGAGCGAGTTAGGAGGCGAGGTACCCTGAAGCACAGAGGATTCGTAGTTTGACGCCGGTGTGAATGGGTGCGTTGATAATGGTGGATGAACAGGACCTCCACTTGCGATCCCAGACAAGACCTGAAGCCTGGCGTCGCTCGCGGGTGTGCCTGGGCCGACCTCAGGTGTCAGACCTGATCTGGTATCTGAGGTAAGGCTGGTGGATAGCGACGGGGTCATGCGGTGCGCGGCCGAATTAGTCGCGGAGTATCGCATCGAAGACAAATTTTGTTGTGGGAACGCAGAGGAGAAAGCTGTTGGCGTCTCCGGGAGGCTCTGCCGTATTGGGTCGTAGATCATGTTGCCCGGCGGCGTTGGAGCGGATTGAGGCGCAGGTGGTGGAGGCGGATGTGTAGGACCCTGAGTTGTCTGCGATGCTCCCGCGTTCATGTTCTGGTACAAAAGTGTGAGACTCGAGTTTGGTGAATTTGTTGTTCCAGTGAGCGACCATGCAATGGGAGGCGCGCTCGGCTGAGGGGAAGATGGGTTGTCGAGTCGCGCAAACCGACTTAATGAAGTAGGACGGCGAGGCAATTTTGTGCTCTCGTACTCCTCGGCAGTGTAGGTTTCGCAGTCCCAAACGCCCTTTGACCTGTGTTCTAAAGCGACCAGAATGTAGTTGACACCGTTCCAGTACATGATGAGCTGTTGCAAAACCTTGTAGCATCTTTGATAGTTTTGATTCGCCGCATCAGCCAACAATGAATGCTTGGAAGACCTCGACTCGGCGCCTGACTTGGCCTTCCTGTTGGCTGGTCTTGTCGAGTTTGTATTCACACTCGCGTTCGCAACCGGCGGCGAGGCATCCCTTGAGACGGGCTGCGAGGCTACGGCAGCGGACTCGGTCAGGAAGGCGCACGCAGCAATGTACATAGGCTGCGATATGAACGGGTTGCCGATGTAGCTTTTCGGGTCAATGAGCTCAGCCAAGGCGAGAATATCGGCAATCGTTTTGGCACTTGACATGGCCAGCTCTCGACTGTGCGATGTCAATTGAGGCTGCCTGATACCGAAGGACGTCAGGAGCGGTTGGTGAAGAACAATGATCAAGGCGTGAAACCAGACATGCAGGAGGATGAAGGTAGTTCCCTGTCCATGCTTGACGTAATTCTGGAAGTGTAACGGATTAAAATGCAATCGGGGGTCTTGCTTGTGGTAGAGCTTGGTCAGGTCACTCTCAATCTTGGCCAGTATAGCCATCTTTTCCTCTGTGAGATCCTGCACCTTGTTGATCTTGTTCAGCACGTCGGAGACACGGCCATAAAACTGAGTGATCTGGATAAAGGCAGGATAAGGAAGTGGCCAGCCCGAGACTGGATCGATTATTGGTTCCGGAGTTGGCAGTTCGAATTCCTCGTCCTTGATGGTGACGGTCCGACCAGTCCCCGAGGAAATGATCCTGTCTAGGATGTAGACAGCCCAGGCAGTGTCGACACGCTCCTGAACGATCTCCTGCTGCTCTTCCGGATTAAGCGTCTCGCTCTTCGGTATTGCAGTAATGATGTCCTCCTCATCACCATTTGCATGATTCCAGGATCGGGTGTACCACGGGTCTTTGTCGCCTTGAAATTGAACGCCTTCATTTTTCTGAAGGCCCAGGTCAAATGCCATGCGGATTGCGAGACCAAGATACATCCACAGCGTACTGTCTTGTCCTGCGCCAAAGCCCTCGTAAGCCATGAGCAGATATGCTTGGACTGCGCCGACCGAGGGACATGGGAATGCATCGACCGTTGCGGTCCTTGCTCTCTGCGCAAAAGCATTGCCGTAATCCCACTTCGAGCCTTCCCCGCCGGCAGCCAGAGAGTCCGCCGCGGTCGAGAACCTGGCCGCCAAGGCACATATCGCGTCCACTAGGATTGCGTCCAGCCTCTTTTCTTTCACCATGCGCAGCACCCGTGCCTCATGCAGGAACGGGTAGCTGCAGCCAAGATGCACGAAGAAGACCTTGATGAGATTAATTATTGTGGGGTGGACTGGGGCCGGATCGTTCGGGTCGTACGCAGGGACTTCTTCCATTGCCTGCAGAACAGTGTCGGCGTGCGACGGCAGGCTGTGGTGGCTCAACATGGACCCGGAGCCGGGGGAGGTTACTGAGGCGGAGCCCCCTCTACTCCTGCGCCGATGATAATGATGCACATTGACCACCATCTGCTTATAACCGGGTACGATGGCGGTCGGTCCGAAGTAGCGAAAGTAAGGGACCTTGTGAGAATCATGGTGGTGCTGGACAGGTGATCGGGTACTCGGACTGTGGCCATCGTCGGATAAGGAAACGGTGCGCTGGAACGGGTGCCTCTTTCCTGATGTTTCTGGCGTCCGTGGTTTTGATGGTTCCGTCGCCCATTCCTTGCTTTCCTTCCTGGGTTTCGCACCGCCGCTCGTTGTGGAAGAGGAGTCACTCCGTGTCTTGTGGGTAGAGCCGTATTCGAGCGCAACTTCCGAGTGGCGACTTGTGCCATTCCGGGACTTTGAGGGGCGGCGATCAAGGTCTTTGCTATCGAAGACATCTGTGAGTTGGTCGTCCTCAGGCTCGACAGGCGAAGTATCGATTCCTCCCTCGACCTTGACCGGGGAGACCACAGAGTCTGCCCTGATCTTGTCATTCTGTTCGGGGTATCCAAGGCACTGGTGGCCATTCTTGTCGCACGTCGAGCAGGTCGGTTTTTCTCCGTCGCACCGCGTCTTTCGTTTCCGGCAGGTAAGACATCTGTAAGATATAGATCAAGGTCAGCAGGCCGTATTTCCTTTCATGTAAATACAACGGCCCGAGTCGCAGTTGAAACCCCCCCCCAGTGATACAGAGTCTCACAGGTCGGGGCACAGATGACGCAATGTAGAGGGGCGAGGGAGTAGAATAGAGGTGATGCACTGACGCTGCATTTACGCGTCGTCTCTTCGAGGGGGGCTGGCCCTGATTGTTGACGAAACGAATCTGTTTCGGGGGCGGTATGGCGCCGGCCGACGGAGTCGCCATCACAGAGGGGAGGAGGGCGGCATGGGAGTTGCTCGACCCGACCATACGCGAACAGGTAGCAGGTAGCTGATCGTTGCAGGAGCGCGTGCGAGACGTGGGTCCTGCCTGGTCACGGACGGAGCGGATGACTGCAACGGAACGAGATGCAGATGGGGAGGGAAAAGGCGCCAGCAATGACGGAGCACTGGCGCCCCAGGTTCGGGGTCCGGCAGATGCTTGTTGGAACTTTGGGCCCTGCTTGGAGGTGCCTGGTGGGCTGGTGGATGCGGGGCCCCGGAGCGAGCTCCCACGTTCGGGGGATTTGATGGATGGGGATCGGCGAGCAGGCGAGGAGGCGGGCGGTCGAGTCAGGCGGCACAGACCTGGCCAGACCACACACAGCGGACAGCGGGGGAGTGGCCAGTGAGTGAGCACTGAGCTGGAGCTGGATCTACCTAGGTAGAGCTGGACCCGGAGCTGAGGTACGCAGGCGCAAGCGAGCAGGCGAGCAGTTGGGCGGGCTGGTGGGCGGGGATGAGCGAAATGTGAGAGATGAATGATGTGGCAGAGTTCGTGCAGGCCGTCACGGTGGTTGTCGGTACTGTACTGTTATGTCGATGACACCATCCGACTTGGCCGTCGCTTGTTGCTTTCCCCCCATTCTTGTCAGACTCGTACTGCACCATCTGACTGCCAGACTGCAATCCCCTCCCCGAAGGATTGCAGAGCAGAGCACAGCTCCGTTGGGATCGACGAGGCGGAATCCATGTCCAAGGCCATCCATGTCAACCTGGGTGTCGGACGAGAGGGGATTGGCTTTAGAATGCGGAGAAAGCACCTCGATCCAATCCATGCCGTCTCAGTAGCTGCTCAGTCGGCCGGTCCCCTGCCACGTTCGAGGGCGAACAAGAGGTGTCGTGGTATTGTTGAGGTGCAGGAGACTGGAAACATTGGCCAAGCCGCGTCTGCAGCTCGGGTAGCCCACAGCAAAAGAAAACCCCGGGCAGACAGACACGACAGCCCGCCCATGCCTGTTGCCGATGCGAGTAGCCGATTGTCCGGAGACGAAGGTGATGTTCTGATTGGATTTTGTGACTTGAGACGACAGACACGCAACGTTCACTCACGTAGACTCTAGCAGACGGGATGGAAGAGATGGAGTATGGAGCATCCATGGGCAGGCAGGGCAGAAGACATCCACACCTGCCAAACAAAAACGCGGGACATGACACGACATGGCATTTCGCGATATCGATACAGTATCTCATCTCGTCGGGTGGGCCCTGCCTTCCCTGTCCTGACAGGAACTGGAAAGAACCACCAGTCACTCACTCCCCCTCTCTCAACCACTGGGCAGCAGTCAATCAATGAATCAGATGAGCTGCGAGTCTCCACCACCTGTCACCTCATCGACAACAACAACCCGGGGCACCTTGGACAAGATCCACTTCTGACTGCAAGACCACAATTCGTGTCACATGCGAAGAGCCGTCGAGCCCTGCGACCCAATCTTCCATCCGATCACGCTGGTTTCGACCTCACTCTCTCACACGTCTCCCCACGAAGTGCTGGGTGAGTATGTTTCGGGCTGCAAGGCTGCATGCAGCACAGGATCTTCTCCCGCCTTCTGGACCCTGCTGTACGACCGCAGGTTCCCCGCTGTGTGCGACATGCCTGTGGCCCTCGGTGATGGTCTGTCTCCTCTGCTGACCTTTTTGTGGGCGAACAAGCGTCGTGCTGTTTCTTTTCATTCTTGAGAGCCAGTGCCATGGGAGTCTTGAAGGGTGGTTCCCCCCCCCCCCAAGTTTCGGATCGAGATATTCACATGCGAGAAGAAAATTGTGTACACCTGTTCACTACGAGGGCGTTCAGCTCCGAACCATATCCGGCGCAGTCAATATGCGCAAGAAGCAGGAAGGGGGGTGGGGGGGGGGTTTAAACCTGAGGCAGAGTCGTCGAGACCCTATTGCTGTGTCCACAACCGCCATCATTGCTGTGCCTTGCGAAGGTCTACAACAAGGCCCACCGCCCACGACTGCGTGTGCGGATTTAATGACGCCTCAAGTCGCTGTGACGATGCTACAAGCCGGGCGCCGTCACTAAATGGATGAAGACTTGGATGCACTAAGCAGCTTGACCACTGCAGCAGTTGGGTCACCACAATAGTTTGGTCGTTATAGCAGCTAGGTCACTGCCCGGGTGCGCCGAGCCCAATCTGAATGCTCCGGAGGTGGTCGTCCGAACAGTCTGAAGTCCGGACTGCGCCGACCAGTCGCGAGCCCCCGTGGTTATTTGCCCAGGAGGAACGGCACTAGAACAAGTCTCTGGACAGTGAATTGCCCAGCATTTCCTGGATGAGACGGTGCGCAGCTCCGAACGTGTTCACAAACATAAATTCATGAAAGGGCCGCTTCGATGATTTGGGCGGAGGCGGTCGCCTACCCAAACGGGTCTCTGGCCTCGTGAGCATAAACGACACTCGACATGTTTTGATCAACTGCAGAGGTTGATGAACAGTGCAGCTTGACCCCGTTGCCCAATTTGACACGTCGATTGTTGTTAATTGACCAGACGGGCCTTCGCGTCAAGACACAACTCCAAAGCCTTGCATAAAATTTACAAAAGTATGCTAGAGCATCCAGACGCGTTTGTACAGGACCTGCAATAGGGCCGACTGCCCATAATAAGCCACCCATGCCAATAATTTTTCCCAACCCCAGAAAGCCCAATATCCCCCGGCCGCGAGGGGTCTGATTTTCACCGTGCAATGCTTCCCCACCCCCTGCCCAATACGCCCCAACCCATGTGATTACACGTCGTATCAATACACCATGCGCCCGCCACGGCGGCTCCGTCACCTCCGCCTCGGCCCGCTCACCCAAACACGATGCTAATACCCATCTGCTTGCTCACACTCCTCCACAGGTCCGGCGTGGAGAGCGCCCCAGCCACGGGGAAGCCCCCCAGGCCGACCAGCTGCTGCTGCTGCTGCGCTCCTCCACTTCCGCTGGTGCTGGCGCTGGCGCTGGCGGTGGTACCGGCCCCCTCGCCCTCGCTGTCCATGGCGTCGGCGAGGCGCCACACCTCCTGGACGATGTCCCACGCCCACTTGATGTTGATCATGCCCTGCCTCTTCTCGACGAGCGCGAACGCGTCCCGCGCCAGGTTCCGGTCCTGGTCCGTGACCGCCTCGCACGACGCCACGAACAGGGGCCACAGCAAGGCCCCCATGGGCCCCGCGTGCGAGCACGTCTGCAGGCAGTGCCACAGCGCCGTGTGCGCGTGCGTCTGCACCGACGTGTGCGAGCGCGGGTACCCGTAGATGGTGTGGTACAGGTAGACGAAGGCGCTGTGCCGGTACGCCATGGCGTTGTTGAAGATGGAGTGCAGGCGCGACCGCTCCGCCGTCTCCGTGTCGTGCCGCCGCTCCTCCGTCTCCGGCGAGGGGGGGTCGTCCGGGTTGAAACCGGGGGGTAGGTACGGCTGCCACGATTCTAAAGCCCGCTCGATCGCCTGCGAGTTTGTCTCGAATTCTGTCTTGAGGACGGCGATCATGGACGAGGGCTGGCCCTCGCGGCATGCGCTCTCCAGGTCCGTCTTGTCGGAGGAGAGCTTTGAGAGGCGGTGGATTATCGGCCAGAGCGAGGTGGCCATGCCCAGCAGTGTATCGACGGAGCTGAGCGATGACATGACTGGAGCTCCGGTGGGAGGGAATGGGTGGAGGCAGCCTTTCCCTGGTGCTTGTGATAATGGCGCTGTGCCAAAAGAAAGCGCTGCAATAACATCGTAAAATCGGAAAGCCTTTCGTGGACGTCAGTAACGCGCAGAGACAAACGCAGGACAAGTAGATGAAATATGACTTACACGTTCCAGAAAAATCCCAGTCGCATCCGTTGCTGTAGGATATGAATTCATAATCGTCATGGCGCCTTTCAGGTGTCCATCTACCAGATTGGACCGTCCCCTTTGAACCAGCTACACGGAAGGTCAGCAATGACACGCAGAAATGTGTCATTTCTTCACATACCACTTCGTAATACACCAAAAGCATAATGGCTGCCAACAGCTCGTTCCTATTCTCAGCCGTCTTCGCCTTCTGGTCGATCAGGGCCGCAAGCCCCTGGATGGCCTGGCCATGGAAATACATCGACTGCTCTTGATTCGTCACCCCGCGGTATTCCATGTGCGCGCTGGAGAGGGCGTAGATGGCGTTCATGACCGGGGAGCTCTTGGCCGTCAGGGGCAGGACGAGCTCCCGGAACGGGTTCCCGCTCTCCTCGCGGAAGACGATGAGGTGGCTGAGGCTCTCGCAGAAGTGGGCGACGAGCGCGCGCCGGTTCGTGCGATCTGAGAACTCGGAAAAGGCGGGGATGTAGAAGTCCAGCAGCGGCGAGCCCACGGGACACGGCGCGATCATGGCGAGGTCCGGCGGCTTGGAGACGTGGGTCACGGCGCGGCTCAGCGTCGTCGTGCTTGCGCTCTCGGCGTGGTCGTCCTCCTCGAACTCGACGGCTGACTCGGGGATGGTGCTGGGGCTGAAGCTGCAGTTCAGGTCGGATATGGTGGGCAGGGAGATGGAGTCGAAAGTGCCGTCGAGGGGGCTGATGAGGTGGTCAGGCTCGCCCTTGGTGTCTGCGTGGTAGTGGTACCAGTCATGATGACCACTGCCGGTGCTTCCGACCGACCAGCGACGGGTTGAAGCGAAGGAGAGCCTCCGGTCGAGTTGGCTGGCGACTGTCGAGGAGGCGTTGGAATTTCGTTTCCTCCTCTGGCGCGGTCTCACTGCTTCATACGAACAATCAAGGCCGCGCTCGGCACAGCGCGAGCAAGACGGTCGGACCTCGTCGCACTTTTTCTTCTGCGAGGTCGTCAGCGAAAGCTCCTCTCGCGAAAGCTACTTACACATGGGCAGAAGAGGGTGGTATTCGTTCCTGAGACATGGAGATCGGACGAACCTTCTCTTTACTGTGAATGGTCAGTCGATGTTGGCCAGTGAGAGCACGGGGACGGCGTCATTGACGCGAAGAAGACGACTTACCAGAATGTACAACCTGGAGAAACAAATGGCAATCTCGTGGTCAGCTCAGATCATGCACTCGGGAGAAGTATTGGCATTTTAGGGACGGGTTGCTCCAGGTCGAGCGAGTGAAGGTGTGATATGTGATGGGATGCAGGTTTCAGCTTGAACGAGGACGGCGCGATCGGAATATGGATCGCCTGTCTTGTCGACATGTGGCTGGACTGGGCTGAATTGGACTGTCTTGGATTGAACATACCTGCCCTCGACCGTCGCTTCGGTGCCTTGGGAGGAGCCACTTTCGTATATAACAACATCCTGCCAGACTCCAACATTGAACTCATTTTGTCTCGGGTATGCAAAACTGCCGGCGCCTTCAGTCCTAGCTTTCTAGCCGTTCCCTGCCTTTTTTCTTTTTCCACTAATGAACAAATTCAATTATGGCTCATGATGTTGAAATCACGAATCGCCTGGCGGGCGGCGACTCGAAGGGGTTGGCTGTGGGCGCAGTTCTGCGAGATTGTCGCTGACGCGCCTGTACGAGCACTCGGACTGCGGGGACGACTCGTGGATCTGGGAATTGGGGTCGCGGACAAGGAAGGGCACGGGACGGGACTCTGGGGTCTGGGGATTCTGGGGGGGGGGTGGCGATCGCAAGGCGCACTCGGTGGATCGGTCGGCAAGGTCGTCAACGTCGCCGAGGAGTATCGTACGGTCGAATTTGGGGCGGGTAAGGACGATCAGAGGGAAAGGAGAATAGCATGAAAAGGGCGGAGGTCGACACGAGGAGAGAAAGGAGAGAGTCGAGATCAGATCCAGAGCGGTCACAAGCCATACTTGGAATCGAGTCACGATGGCGTCTGGACTCTTTTAACGCTTCCTTGCCCGCCCACACCCGTTACGGGCAAGGTCCGCCTGAACGTTACCTGCGGCTTTGTTAGCCTGCCCCGGGCTCCTGGGCTCCTCCAACTTGTGGCCTTCAATGCGTCCTTTCCCCATCATCCACCATGCGCCCGGGAGGCCCCTGGTCCTGCGAACGAGGTCACAGCACGCCCGAGGTGGACCTGATCTTGCCCCATTCTGGGTTAAGCTTGGGCCGGCCTCGACACCTAATTGATGGACCTGGAGGCTTGGAAGTGGAGAGAAAGAACCATGCGGGGTTGGGCCTGACCCCCCGGGTCAGGGACAGTCGCCGGCCTGGGAGCCGTAGTGATTGATCTCAATCGTGCGCATATAACTCAACCACGACACCATTCCAGTCGCATAGTTTTCCACAGGATAACCTCTGATGGGATAACGATCTGTACCGTATACGGTAATGTGATCGTCTCTAGTATCTAGCAGGATGATATGCAGTGGAACCCTCTCTGGTAGAACAGCCTCATGCGCACCAGTACCGCCAATGTGTTGTTGTGATGAAAGAAGCTCCGCTGCATGTGCAAGTACAGACGTAGTCTAGGTTATTCTGTAGCCTGTCCCGACTGGTCTACATCCGTACACATGTTAACTAATAAGTGCCTGGCAAACCGATATCATCGTAGCAACCCACGCTGGCTCTGGCATTCTATTAAATGATTCTATATAAATATGTCATTTCCCGGACGTGGATAAGGCGGTTTGGCCGAGTGGTCTAAGGCGATAGACTCGAATATCATAACCTTGTGGTATTGATGTGATCTATTCTCTTCGGAGGCATCGGTTCAAATCCGATAGCCGTCGTGCTCGAATTTTTCTTGCTCATTTTTACACCCAAATGATAACGATCTAATCTGTCTCTTCAGAGATGTTGATTTAAGCCCTGCTGTTGTCAGACTTATTTTTGCTACCTGTGGGTCATTAAGATCGCTGTTACGGTGTGGGTTTTTATTCCGGTGTTGCACCCAGCGGCTGGAGTGGAGGTTGAGGGGAAGACAAGCGGGACTGTTCCCAGGGTGAGAGGGCCGAGGAGCCTGGGCGAGTGGCAAGGCTCAGGTGTCCAGAATCTGGGGAAACCCATCCAGGAACCCCAATTTCACAGCACGCTATCCTCCACACACCGTAGATGATGTGCGACGGGGACTGGATAGTCTGGATAGTTCGACGGCGCCGGCGCTGCGGAAGAGCTATTTCTGTCCCAATTCCGTCCATGATCTCGGTGATCTTGCATAACGAAGCCACACCGCAAAGGCACCTTGGAGCCGCCACTTGGGCATTCTGGACTCTGGAGCGCTGGTCCTCGTGACATGTCTGCGCTGTCTAATTATGAAGTACAAGCTTGAAGGAATGACGGCGTTGGGCGTTGGTGCGAGCCAAGTAGCTGGGTTGCTCGGAGAAGGCCCCCATCCGGCAGGTGGTCGGGCTGGGATGATGTGGAGGACTCCTGAGGGACGAGGAGCGATACGAGGGCAGAGGGGAGAGAGTGGTCGTACATGTGCCAAAACCCCAACGCCGTGCCTGGCGAAGAGGAGTGAATTGTCATTCTGCCATGAAATGCGTCCCACGCAGACCCTATGATACAACCAACCACCTCCAACGCAAGGTCCACTGCCGAGGACTGCAGTCCACACCTCACGACCGACTTTTGTGCTCTACCGGTACCGCGAATCCCTTCCGTGTCGACGGTCAGAACGTCCTTCTCCAAAACAACTTTCTGTCGTGCTGCCGTCCGTGAACCTGGCCCGAGAATTGAGCCTTGGCGAGATCAACACGCGAGGAGGACCTACAGCGAGCAGGGATGCCGGGATGTCTGCATGCAACTGATTCAGCGTGAGCGTCCCATCCCGCCTTTCTGGCAGGATAACCTCCAGCGGGATCACCCTGTCAGACAAGGCAACCTGTATACCTGTGTTCCGGTGCGGACTTTCCTAATAAATCACTTTCAAACCTGTTCAATGAGTATTCGGTGAGCCCTTCAGCTCGCAGGGAGCTGTAGGCCAGACATACGGTACCGACACACCTCGGCCAACCACGGGGTACTCGCTAGCTCGCATCGCAACAGCACTTGAGCACCCGAACAAAGCACTGGTATTGGGCCCACCGACAACGCTTGTCGGGACGAAAACATGTTCTTCGCAGACTTCATTATTGCAAGTCCTTTCCAAAGAGTCAACAGGTCTTTCATACTCCCGAGGTCTGTTGCACCTTGCCTCGTCTTCCAAAGGGAAGGCCTCGGAGGTGGGGCTCCTCGGAACCTTACCGAAGCCGTGCAGGAGGTGCCCACAACCCAACAGGACCGTAGTCTTCACATGCTCAGCGCATTGCAGACCGCGTCGACTGAGCTCCAGATATCTCGATGCGGCCTGGACGGTTGCCCGCACTTGGCGACTCGGACCTCGCTTTTTGTGTAGCAAGGTATGACCACGGCGAGCACGAATCGTGAGCGTATGACATGGTGTTGTTGCACAGAAAATCGTCCCCTTCGTGTCATGAGTTCGGGCCACCCCACGCTGCAACAGGACTGGTGGCCTTGCGCCATGGACTGCAGGGCAATATCTAGAGGCTCTTTAGCGGTCAGCCACAATAAGTGGCAATCGCTTCGATTCGATCCGTCTCACCAAGAAAGGAAGACAGGTCCACGAGACATGTCTCACTCTCCCGGCAGGTATGCATGTCAGACTCACGCGCATCGTGCAGACAAACTGTCTCTTTCGGAAGCGATGCTCAAACAGGTCCTTGCCTTTTCTGGGGCCAGCCACTACTTCTGCAGGGTGGTTACGCTTGGAGCCAATTGCAGCGGCCAAGACGGCTGACTTTCCCTCGCCCGATTTCTGATTGGGCAAAATCTCCCACGTCCTCACGGCAGCGTTGGTCCCTCGTTGGTGTTGGAACATCCTTCGGTGCATCCACGATACACACCCACCCTGCCAACCCCATCGCCTGACGCTGAGAGGCACGGCTTGTAAGGCAGCAGGATTCGGCATGTCGGCCATCGCCGCTGCAGTGTCCAGATCGGAACTCTCTGCCTGCAAAGGCACAGGGCCACCGTCTTACAGGACGGGGCCATCCTCAGTTCCTTCGACCACATGTCTGGGACATCAGCATGTTCAGCCGCTGCTGACCCATATGGGCATTTTCCCTTTGCCGTGACGCCCGATGAGCATTTCCCGCTCCCTCTGATCCTTGTCTCGCATCTCTTTACTCAGGCTGATATACCACCAGTTCAGCCCTTCAGAGCGTTCCATCACATCGACTCAGATTAGAAACATACGTGGTACCGCCCCACACAACTCTCGCTGTCAGTCTGTCAGTCTGTCAGTCTGTCAGTCTGTCAGTCTGTCAGTCTGTCAGTCTGTCAGTCTGTCAGTCTGTCAGTCTGTCAGTCTGTCTGTCTGTCTGTCTGTCTGTCTGTCTGTCAGAGTCCCTGACGGCTGCGACATCGCATGCTTATCACACCCTTCGTGTGTCCCCGGTTGTCTGAAGAGACGTGTTCGCAGAAAGTGGATTGCGGTCGCGGCTCATCGTGCGTCGGCTGGACGGGAGGGACTCTCGTTACCTGCAGGTCTGCGGCGTAAAGTCCTACGGACCGAAAGCTCAGCCACCAGCAGCAGCCGCACGCACAAGAGTGTGGTTCTGCTCCCACGCTGCCCCCCCCCCCACGGATTGGAAAGAATAGTTTAGCTGTCTCTGGCTGCAGCCCGTTCTGGACCGCCCGATTCCCTTTCTCCCTCTTCATTTTGCCCTGCTGACCGATACGGCTGGCCCTTGCTTCTTCTCTCTCATTCTCACTCTCTGCTCGCCCATACCTGGCGTTTTTGTCTCCCTCACATCTCATTGACTGCCCCAATCCCGAGCTTGTTCATGAGAGTATCATTTCTGATGCTGCCGCCTGCCGGCCCATGATTTCGCCGAACCTGCACGGACCGCCCGAACAAGGCAACGCCCGACGGAGCGGCGAGCAAGAAGCTCGGTAGGACTAGCCGGGACACGCACGCGCACGGCAACCAGCAGTATGGGACTTCGTGGGGCGCGGTCGTGGGCCCCCTGCACGTTGCTGCTGCTGCTATCCGTGGTCTTGCCCATGCACGCCGCAGCCATGTTTCAAGGCGACGGGAAGCGCGAACATATTCATAGGGTCTACAAGGTCAAGATCACCGAGGACCACCTAGCCCGTGACTCCCTACTCGACAAGCGTGCAAATAACCAGTGCCCGACAAGCTATAATCTGTGTGCCTCCTCGCTGGGAGGCGACTGCTGTCCAAACAACTACGCCTGCGCAAAGGACTCATGCTATGCTACGACCGCAGCCGTCTCGACTTGTGCCGGACGCGCATCATATTATGCTTGCCCCCTAGACGTCGGCGGGGGCTGCTGCCCTCAAGGTTCGTCACTACTCTCATGATGCTGGGCATCATGTGCAAGTTGGAGTCTCTCGTCCCGTCCGTTGACTAACACCTTGTCCCTGCGTTCAGGTCTCGTGTGCGGTGCCAACCAGGCATGCAGCCCACCTGCTGGTGCCACTTACTCACAGACATGTGGGACTGGGTACTCTCTATGTGCAGCCTCTCTCGGTGGTGGTTGTTGCCAAAGTGGCATGGCTTGCGGTAGCACGGCATGTTATAATCCTTCGCCGTCGACGAGCGTCCTCGTCGTCGCAACCACCCAAGACGGCTCAGCAACGACGATAACCTCCACTTCTGTGTTCACCCCAACCGTCGAGCCGTCTGACACCGGCGCCGATGTTGTTGCCAAGATCTTCCCGTCTACGTACCCGAAGCAGGCCGCCACGGAAGGCGATGACTCGTCTGGCGGAGGCGGTAGCAGCGGTCTTTCAAAGGGCGCGATTGGTGGTATTGTTGGTGGTGCAGCAGCCGTGCTGGTCATTTTCCTCGCCGTCGCATACTTCCTCGTCAAGCGCCTGAACAAGACCAAGCGTGCGGTCGAGTCCCGTCGGGAAACGACATCCGGCTCTGGAACCCGTCAGACCGGGGAGAAGAAGTCAGCGACACAAGTCAGCATCACACGACTTCAGCCGACCCCATCCGAAGTCGATGCATTGGATTGCGATCCCCTGATGGTGTCCTCAAGTGTTGCATCACCCAGAGGACAACACCAATACCCGCGACCAGGAAACGGCAGATCACGAAGCGGTTCCGACGCACTCAGCCAGCCAAGTGGATACAGTAGCTCGGCTGTTGGACCAAGGTGGAACACGCCGAGTGTCGACTCTGACGGCGGGGACAGCAACTACTTCTCACTCCCTCCCAGGGTGCACAACCAGTTCGGAGGCCGCGACGCAAGACGGGCTAGCGAGGCTTCGTCCCAATACAGCTACCACCGTTTCGCACATGGCGGCCGCCACCACGGCCGCAACTACAGTAATGCCAGCGAGCTGTCGGCAGGCAGCGACGAGCTTGGCTCCCAGCATGGCCTCGGGTCTCCGCTGATCGGGCCTACCGCGGTAGAGCTGAGCAACGATGGTGGCTTCGTCCCCGAGCTGCCGGGATCGGACACCGAGACGGAGAGCAGCGGGCCTCACGGGGCCAACGGTCGTCGACCCAACCAGCCGCGGAAGCGGTCCGCCAGCGTCGTATCACCCATGTCGACCACGACGGTCAACAAGCCACCGCTGACGCATGGGACCTTCGCGCGCCGGAGGGGGAACAGCGCGGTCAGCCCCATGGATGGGCAGAATGGGAACGGAGGGAGGGGGAGGAGTGACAGCTCGACGCCGCCCGAGCAACGGCTCGGCAGCATCGACGAGTCGGCCACGGCCGCCGCGCCGGCCACGAATTCCATGCACGGATACTTTGGATCGCCGACGACAGCGGTGGGACAGACCGCGGCGGGCACGAGGGCCGGCTTCGACACACCGCCGCTGCCTGGGTATGTCTCTCTTGGGCTGCCTCCCTCAGGGAACCAGGCGGAACAGGGGCAGGATGAGAAGTGATACTTGATCACCAATGAGATTTAATCTACTCAGATTAATGGTCCGCTGTTTGGATAGCTTGCGGCGAGGAGGATATTTGCCATGTTTGAGAAGCATTGCACAGAGCAACAAATTCGTCGGCTTGCACTGTTATTACTTGAGCGCACCGTGAGGCTTTTCAGGGTCTCAATACCAGCATATTCTATTGCGAGATAAGCGATTGGCCTGGAGTTTTGCGGGTTCTATGGGTTTCATTGATCAACAATATGGGGCGAGCATTCTGTAAGGGATAGAATGACCTCTTCATGTCGTCGTTGATAGGGCTGCTACGAGGCTCTCAGCTTGCCCGGGGTGATGCCCTTGGTTCTTGTTTTTTGTTCACATCGAAGTACTCGAAGTCTTTTCATAGAACAATGAATACTGTGACGAGCTTTCCCAGGCATGGATACAAATACGTGACATATATTTATCTCTGTCGGCTTACACTTGCAGGAACTTGCTTCTGTTGAAAGCACGCATCGCTATCGAAGCATGGGTACTTGATAACGCCAACTCTAAGGGCACTGAGTGCCTAGTCTTAGGGGGCTGCAGAAAACAACGTGGATATCGCTCATGTCCTCTCGAAAACCGGCAAGCGCTCTAGCGGTGCATCCACCTCAGATGTTGCACCACCTTCGTACACTTTGTCTCCCTCCATTTCCTTCCACTTCACCCCAAGGGGAAAGTAAACCTTCCTCTTGGTCAACCCCGGGTAGAGAATGGGAGCAACGAGGTACTTCCCACCAAACATGTACTCATCCTCGACCTCCCAAGCCTGCTTATCCTTGGGGAACTCCAGGAAGAGTGGCCTTATCAGGGGCGCACCCGTCTCGCTTGCCTCTGTCATCAAGCTCCTGACGTATTCCCTCAGGGTCTCCCTAAGCTTGAGATACCGCTCAAGAATCGCACCGACCTTCTCCCCGTACGACCACACCTCATTATCCGCGCCAGACGGGCACTTCCCACCGCCGCTGTTAGAAAGCGGCGGCTTGTTCGGGTACCTGTCCCCGTGGAGCCGGAACACGGGCAGGAAGACCCCCCACTGGAACCACCTCACCAGCAGCTCCCTGAACCCCTCGTCCTCGGGGTCGCCGCCGTGGAAGCCGCCGATGTCAGTCGTCCAGTGCGAGATGCCGGCGACGCCCATGTTCAGCCCCGCGGCGAGCTGGTTGCGCAGGCTGCCCCAGCTGCTCGCGATGTCGCCGCTCCAGACCAGCGCGCCGAACTTCTGGCTCCCCGCCCACGCGCACCGCACCAGGTTGACCGTGTTGGGCTCGCGGCCGTGGAACTTGCCTGACCCGTCCACGGCCGTCGCGCCCTCGTAGAAGGCCTGCGAGTAGTGCCGCGGGTAGATGTTGCCCACGGCGAGCGAGGGGCCAAGGTGGTACCGCCAGTTGTCAAAGTCGTAGTGCCGGTACTCTGGCTCCGCCTCGTCGAGCCAGAACAGCCGGATCCCGTACTGCCCGTAGTTCTTTGCGGCTTTCCCCCACACGTACTTGCGCGCCGCCGGGCTGGTCGCGTCGAAGTGCGTCGTGTTGGCCTGGAAGTCCATCACGTGCCGGAACCCGCGCTCGCTCCGGATCAGCAGGCCCTTCTCCAGCATCTCGTCCCAGTTCTCGCTGTCCGGCTCGACCGTCGGCCAGATCGACACCATGGGCTCGACGCCCAGGGACCGCAGCTCGTCGCACATCGCCTGCGGGTCTGGCCAGTAGTCCTTGTCGAAGGACCATTCCCCTTGTGCGCGCCAGTGGAAGAAGTCGATGACGAGGACGTCCAGGGGCAGGTTCCGCCGCTTGTACTCCCTTGCCACCTGCAGCGTCTCCTCCTGGGTCTGGTACCGCAGCTTGCTCTGCCAGAACCCGAGGCCGTACTCGGGCATCTGGGGCGGCTTGCCCGTCACGTTGCAATAGGCCTCGACAATCTTCCTGGGGGACTCGTCCACCACGATCCAGTAATCCAGCTTCTTAGTACTCGACGCAGAAAACGACATTATGTTAGTGCCCAGCACCGCCCTCCCAACACTGGGATTGTTCCAGAGTAGTCCGTATCCCAGGCTGCTGAGGAGGAACGGCACGCTGGCCTGGCTGTTGCGGTGCGCCAGCTCCAGGTCCGTCCCCTTCAGGTCCAGGTACGGCTGCTGGTACTGGCCCATGCCGTACAGCTTCTCCTTCTTCGACACGGACTCCAGCCGCAGGGTCAGCGCGTAGTCCCCGCCGGTGATGGGCTTGAACTCCCGCGCCTGCACGTACAGCGCCGACGCCTTTGGGTCGCGCACATCGTCCCGCGTGCGCGTGTACTCCTCGAAGATGAGCTCGCCCGTCGCGGCGTTGTGCATCGTGACCTTGCCGCTGCGGGAGACCGTGGCGCGGATCTGCCCATTAGTGATGGTTGCCTCGTCATCGCTGATCTTGATCTCTGGGCTGAGCTTGGGGACGGGCTCATCCAGTGCCCAGTCTTCTGGGGGCATGGCGTCGCTCTTGGTCGAGCGGACGCGGAACGCGTTGGGTCCCCATGGCTCGAGGTGGAGGACCTCGTGGTCGTAGGTGTAAGTGAGGCGGTTTGCGTCTTGAGTGAACATTTTGCCTGAGTCTAGCGAGGGGAAGGGGGGCTCCGAGTTTTGTGCTTCGGGGCTTGTAATGCAAACAAGGAGGTTGTAAAGTCACAAGCAAGTTATCACGAGGGCTTCATGTGTATCACGATCTCGCATACTTCAAACGTCACCTGGTGCCAACCGTCGGGTGATAGTTAGCCTCGGGATATCATCACTGCGAGCTACCTACGTGGATCGTGGGCCAGCCCGTGCTTCAGGCGGCCCAATCGTGACGGGCCGGACGATCGCTGCATGGGGCGTCTGCGACATTGTCTTAGGCTTAACTCTCACAGAATTGTATCTGGTTATGCGGCCGATCGCGCAGCAAAGAGCGGGGTGAAGGTTGAGGCTTCACATAATCGGAGAACCGAGCTCACTCCAGCCACGGGGTAGTTCGGCAGCCGGTCCGTACTACCGTGCTTCGTCCGCAGGGCCCGGATTGGAACTATTGCCGACTCCCACTGCCTCTTGTCATCGCAGCCGTCTGATCAGGATGGTTGTCTCTTGATTCTATCTGAGTAACTTCTATAAAGCAAATCTTGGATGAGCCGGACATGGCATTTGGTGATAGCACATGCTCCCTACAAAAAGCACACAGATGTGGAAAAGCGTAGCTGAGAATCGGTTCTGTCTGTTCTTTCATAATCTGTTTACGATGGCAGTCGCGATGTAATTCCACACAAGTAGCTCCGTTGAAACTGAGAACCTGTTCATTGTTCAAGTGCGGCAGGATGTACGCTGGAAACGGCTGTCTTGACGGGAGCACAAGGCCACGGTCCCGCTCAGGCGGCCCTGGAACCCTTTGTTCCGAATCGATTAATTCTCAGTCGAGCTGGGCCAACCTGGGAGTAGGATTGATCAACCTTGATAGAATCGTTACAAGTTCGAGTTACCATGTGAATATACACCTGCCCCAGCAGTCGAGAAATTTCACCAAAGACACCCGGACATACTCGAGCGATCAAACAAGTGTCCCATATCACCCGGCTCAAGAAGGCTCTTTACTGACGCCTGATAAATGGCTTCCGTACCGCCGCCACGTAACACATCATCAGAATCCGATCGACGGCAGCTGCCCGTTATCGCGCCGGTCGCATGGCCGCCCATGGCACCACCTCCCATGGCCCCGCCGCCACCGAATCCACAGGCGCCACCGTCATCAGATGACGAAGGCAGGGCTACCACGGAGGAGATACAGCAAGCCAGGGACCGGTTCGAACATTACTGGAAGGGGGAATACGACTGGTGGAGAGAAGAGGAACGTGCAGATAGACGGAGAGCTCATTACACAAGGCTCCAGGTCCCGAAACCGAGACCACCTGGGGCGCGCCCAAATGCCCCCCAGGCGCCACCACTGAGGGTGAACCAGCAGAGGATCCGATGGAGACAGTCGAGGCGCGAGGACCCACAGAACTTACGGCAGTACGTTGCTGAAGTCCAGAGTGGGAAGTACCAGATCATGAACTTCATGCGCCCTCTGGGCTTCAGGCTTCTCAAGATCCTTGGGAAAGGCGGCTTTGGCATGGCTTGTCTGTTCGAGATGACAGATGTCGACGGAAGAAAGCACAAAATCGTGGTCAAGGCAGGGACAGGGAGGGATCTGCAGCGAGAAAGGACGTGTCTTCGTGTGAGTGTGTAAGCTTCTTTTCCCCGCGCAAAGCTCCAGTGCTGACTTTTAGCTCTTCGCATAGCGGTTGGCAGGAGCAAGACATATTCTTCAACAACAACTGTTAAGGGGACTACCTCAACCCCAAAGCATCGAGCCTACTCCACCTGGAGTTCGAAATATTTTCGGCGCGAGCGCTCCCGAAACGGTTCAAGTGATTTTCAACATGAACCCGGCTTTATTGGGCTTGGAATTCATGAAACACGGTGATGTTCACAACCTGCTGCAAAAGGCAGGCAGTCACCCAAAGACATGGAGAAGTCAGGAATTATGGCTTATCTGGCACTGCCGTGGGTTTATAAGCATAGTTCCTCGTTTGATAATGTACTTGCATATCTAATATAGGCGTACTAGTCTTTAGGGGCTGCATCGCGTTGGCCTACCCTGACACTTGGAGTGGCGGACGCGACCCACTGCGCGAGGATATTGTATTACAAGAAGAGAGAATCCCCCTACTAAATGGACAGGCGGCCAATCATGATGGCGCATTGGTTCATTTCGATTTAGAACCACAGAATGGTGAGTCCTTGAGTGACTGAATGAGAGCTGGGATTGTCGCTTACGAAATACCAGTGATGATTGGCAACTATGACGATCCAAACACTCAAACGCAAGCACACTTGCATAATGTCACACCGATATTCAAGGTACGACCAAAATTACTTGGCATATTTAGACCTCGCCTCTGACCTTTACGCAGATAGGCGATATGGGTATTGCTGAATCATTTACGGAAGAACAACGTCGCCAACTGTAAGCCTGCTGCACCACTGAATACCTCGCACATAACCACCAGTGCTGACTAGTATGAACAGCTGGCCTCTTTTGAGATGCAGAAACGCAGGAAAGCAACACATTTTCACACCGGTAAGAAACCTCAGAGCTACGGGAGGATGTATGGAGTGGAAGCCTTATCCCATCCAGAACCACAAAGCAAAGGCCCCTAGGAAAATTAGTGCAGTGGCTGAATCATCATCACTACACAGGAACAAAACACCAGAGAGTGGGATTATCTCGACAACGATTCAGATCTTAGGGCGGAGCCGACGGCCGGCCAGTATAATTGGGGGACAAACTTGTACCAAGCAGCACTGGTATTCCACATCCCTTGAAGCCGTCCTGAGTCAACACTCAAAGACACTAAGCTAATGGTTTGAGTAGATCATGTATCAATTGATTCTAAATGTACATCCTGACCAGCCACCCCAATGCTCTCTAATTGAAATCATGGGCTACCCTTTTTGGACATACGGTGGCTTGCTGGTGCAAGACAAATCTGAGTCCACAGAACTGATAGACTACAACCGTATGTATCCGCCATATAACCCCCCCTCCCCTTCCCATCCCTTTTCCCCAGCGCTGTACAGGAATTTGAGACATTCATTACGACACAGGGACACGGTGCTAATCGGCTCGCTCGTAGTTCGCTTTTGTGTAGCAGCTTGCATGGCACACGTGCCAGAGTTTAGACCTAATATGACAGAACTCGAAGAGTCGATACTCCAGAATCTCAACATGGACTGGGCGACAAAAGAGACACAGCTCGAAAAAAGGTTTACGATCAGGGAACTCCTGAGTGAGCCAGCACCGTAAGTCAATACGAACTGCTAGAGATCCTCACGACCCTTAGACACATCTTTGGCAAATTTTGACGCCTTCCTGGCCATGCCTCGTAAATATCCGTAATCTGACAATACAGCAGGGCTGCCCAAAGCTCAACAGCAGTGCCGCAAGATGGTGGCGCGCCTCCACCGGGCTCAAACCAAGCGAGGTCATCGGATGGGTCGGGCATCAGGGGTTTCCTGAACCGCATACGCATAGGCTTGACTGGGCGTGGCTCAAGAAGTGGCTCGGGGCAAGGTGACGGGAGCCGGCAGAATCAAGGTCAGCAGAACCAAGGCGGAGCAGCGGCCCCTCAAGCCCCAGTTCAACAGCCCCCCGCTGGGGATAATAATAATCGGGCTCCACGACCTGGTTTAAACCCTGCGGCAGCCATATTTAGACCTGGTGGGTAATCATGCTGTTTGTTCGCCATTCTTAGAGGCAATACTGGGGGTAGATGAGCATTGGACTTGCTTTGTAGGAACATCCGAGCACCATGACAATACATTACAGCTTAGTCAAATGCCTAATGGCACGATAGAAGGAGTTAGAATCTAAGTGGATATCATTGTGTTTGTCACGCGAAGCCTTGGACGTAGTCTTCGAATCTTGGATGGTATCGCAATATGGCTAGTGCTATACCAGGAATCTGCTTGATTGTAAGCGCAATGTGACATCGCGTGAGAAAGATACTGCCAGTCTCGCGCCATGGAGATGCTTAAAATTACTGTACCGAACGACTGGGATGCTTACTGGACTGTGCCGCTCGCTGCAGAAGAATTGAAGACGTGACCTTCCGTCCCAGTCTAGTGTACTTATCGCATGGAGACGGGTCCAGCCAAGAAGCCTGCCGATGGATCCACCCAGGGGCCGAGGCCCACAGAGGGCCTCACGATACTCACAGCCTTCCAGGCATGCCGGGTCCGGCTTGGCAGGCTCACAATCTGGTCAACGGGAGATTTGGATGACGCCGACGGGCAGTAAAAGCCGTCCTTGCGAATCCCATTCCAACTATTGCCCTTCCCCATTCGATGCAACCCGCAAGACGGCCCCGGTTTTAATCTTCGCCATGGATCGTGGGCTCACCCAGAGCCCAAGCAGGCTCCATTGAGGCCCACAAGAAGAGTGCATGAAGAGACTGTGGGCGCCCCTGAGATACACCGACGGTTCCAGGCGCCAGAGGATTAACGTTGATGATTTAAGTTGCAGATCCCCACCAGTCTTCGAACATTCTACTGCACGTCGTACCCACGTGCAAACGTTCAAGACAAGACAACCGAAAAAGGAAGTCCTCTGATCATCACGTCACGATGCCTTCCTCGCTTTCACCAACCACGCGCGGCGTGATCTCTGCCCTCGTCCTAGCGAGCGCAGTACACGCCAAGGACACCCTCATCGCCCGGGATGATAGTGACGCATACACGGAGCCCAGCACCGACTGCCATGATATCCACATCTTTCTCGCCAGGGGAAACAACGAGGTGGCCGGGGCAACGACACGGCAGACTTCCGTCGTGCAGGCCGTTTGCGATGGGCGGAAAAGCTGCGGGTGGGAGGACATTGACTACAACAACCCCATGGATAACAAGTATGCTGAGGCTTGCCATGAGGGCGCTGTCAACGGGTTGAAGCAAATTAGGTCCTACGGCGAGGACTGCCCGGACTCTAAGTTGGTTCTGACCGGCTACTCTCAAGGCGCGCATGTCATTGGAGACATGCTTGGTGGAGGCGGAGGCACCTTTGAGACTATGGGTGGTGGTGAGCACATGGGCGAGAACAGCACGGAGGAATACGTTGAGGGGTTGGACCAAGATAGCAGCCCAGGCAACCAGAGTAAGTGCACTTTTGTTGTTGCTGTCAAAGTGCTACGCTTTGCGATCCTGCGAGAAGGTCTGTCGCTCATGAAGCGCGAGAATACTTGCTAACAATCTCAATAATAGTCGTCGCGGCATTCCTTTGGGGAGACACGCGCCATGTAGCCGGCCAGGCCTACGAGGCCTTGGACGGCGGCGACTTCGAGGGCTGGTATCCCCGCAACAAGACCGAACTAGACAGTCTGAACAAGTGGTCAGACATCCTGCGGTCATGGTGTGACGCCCGCGACGGAGTCTGCGCCTACGACACGACGGCGACGGCCAACTACACGTACCACTGGAACTACCTCGATCTGTACTCGACGGACGCCGCGGACTGGCTCAGCATCAAGCTCGGGGAGAAGGAGAACACCACAGCCACGGCGACGGCGAGCTCGAGCTCCAGCAAGGCGACTGCCACTTCTACCTCGACCGGCGACGGTGAGTGAAATATAGCTCACAAGGCTCCATTGTGCAAGACTGACGCTAATGTTCAACCAGCAGCGGATTCAACCTCGACCTCGACCTCGGCCGCGGAATCAGACTCAGAATCAGGCGCCTGGAGAGCCCAAAGTGCACCGATCGCATCACTGGTAGCCGTCGTGGGATTGATGGCTGCTTTCTTCATGTAGTGGAGAAACATTTACCTGGAGAGTCGATATCAAAGACTGTTAATGCCAAAGGCTCCAAGAGAAGACCAAAAATAAAATTTGTAGTTAATAATACATGATATTATACCTTCCGTCTTATCAAACAGGCAGTAAACTATCAAAATCCATTCCAGGGAAGATGGTCTTGAGTGTTTCCACTTTCGAGAGAATAATATCCCGTTGCGTCTTGTCTATCCTCTCGAAGGAAAGTAGGACCTTGATCAAGAGCAGCAAGTCCGCCATGCATTGACGGGCCTGGCTCTGGTCAAACCCCGAGCTTTCTGCTTCGTCGTTTCTGAACTCTCCCGACTCCTCGGCGCCTCCGGTCCCCGTCGAAGCCACAGGAAACAGATTCATGACATCGGCAATGGTATTGGCAATTTCGAACATCTTCTGCAAGATGCCGCTCCCGTGCTTCCCGATGCTCGTCTCCACCTGGAACTGCGCGAGCTTGCGCAGCTGCGCGGACAGGCGGTGGGCGGGGAAGAAGAGCGAGAGCGCCTCGTGCCTCTCCGAGCCCACCGGCCCGCTGGACAGGAGGAAGTCCGACATGGCGAGCTGCCAGACGATCGTGCGCAGCCACGCGCGGGTGATGAAGAGGTCGGCCAGCTGCAGCTCCGTCAGCGCTGCCGGGGTCCCCTCGAGGCGCTGCTGCTCCGCCTCGACCTCGGCCTCCTCGTCGTCTACCTGCTGCTGTTTCTGCTCGATCCACTCGACGGTGATGCTGTCCTTTTCGAGACGGTTGCAGCTCAGCGGGTCGGCTGCGTTGTCGTTCTGGGCCATCCAGTTGGCGAGCAGGTCGTCATCGAGGATGAGGAAGAGCTTGATTATCCTTCTGAAGCCTGAATCGATATTGATGGGTATTGTGTGATCCTCCGTCCTTTGCCCATTTCCGAGGGGAGGCATGACCGACGGAAAGCAATTCGTTATGGTCAGAAACCTCTCGTGGATGTATGCTTCCCAGTAAATCCTTTGGCGTCGAGCGTATTCGGGTGCGGTTAATGCCCCCGGGCCTCTGTCTATATGTAGCAGCTGGATCAATGCAATTGCTTCCCGAAGCACCAGGAACGCGTGTTTGGGCTTTTTGAAAGCCATCCAGCAAATCTCGAGGAAGATGCAGGTCGCGATCTGGATCTCGATCAGGTCATCCGAAAGACAATTGTCCGACAAAGCATCAGTCGGCGTTGCCCGTCCTTTGGCGCGGAGAGAGTGATTCATAAGGTCATGTATGCGTTCCGAAGTCGTGATGGGCATCCCGAATCCGGTGCTGTTGATGAAATTGATACTCAGTTTATGAGTGTGTTGTTGCTGGGTCATGGTCAAGTTGATGGTGACAGCTGCAAAGCTGTAGACAAGGGCCGCCCGTGTAGCGTCGATTGACATAAGGTCAATACAGCTGCGAATCTGCTCCGATGTGATAATGGGGTTCACTGGGTAGGTGTAGTTTTCGAAGTCTGGGATTAGGGCTGAGAAGTACTCGGCCGTGTAGGTCGCATGTGGTGCGAAAGGCGACGGGACATCTTCGGCCAGGCGTGCAGAGGGTGGGCTTTGACTTGGGATAGATGGTTCAGCGGTAGAGTGGTCTTCGCCAGGTCTGGTGTGTTGTTCCTGAGGAGGAGCAGTTGTAATTGGCTCTTCTCTGCCCTCATCTGAGCCGCGAGGACGAAGTGGAGGAAAAAGACGAGGGTGAACCAGTCTTCTTTTGATCGTTGCTACCTCCGTTCCTTAGCTGAGCCACCAGACGACCACGTCGGCCGTATGTGCGCTCCTTCTTTGGCAGTGTTCGCACTGCGGACATGGTTGTCGACCATTGCACCTAACCTTCCGCGTTCGACAGCCATCGCAGGCCTGCACCTTTGGCGCTCGAGCGCTCATGGGGATTTCCCGAGGGAAGATAAGATCTCAATGTGGAGTCTCTGAGACACGTTGGACACATGGTCTGGGACCATCAGTCTTGGTATTGAGGCCCTCGTCAAATGTGATTCATGTGTGGATGGCGCCTGGAGTGACGCGGCCAAGAAGCCGTTGACGAGCTGGGGCGGTACGGACTAGCTTCGGAGTTATTGCGACCGATTTATCGGCCGCACTATACTAGCACGACGCCACTGACTTGGGTGCTTTGCTTTCGATATCCTCAATGAGTGTGTGGAGCAATCTATGCAGACGTTGGAGCTCACAGGAAGCCATTCGTATCCCATACAATTTTGTCTCGTGATGTGGAACAACTTGAAATGGAGTTTGAACAAGAAACTCTTGGAATTGCTTATCATAAATACGCGCTATGGTTTGCTGCAGTTTAAATAAAGGCGCGTATATCCCTCAGCCTGTGTACCCAGATTTGAATTCATGAGGACTGACGCGAGACCGTCTCAACGATTTCGACCTCGCCTTCTTTCTTCTCGTCCCCCAGCACCGAGTCATCCTTGGGTGCTGCAAAGCGATCTACCACGGTCTTATGGAATTTCCTTGCGGAGACGCGTTGCTCAAACAAGACCTCCAACTCTCCATATGTCCTGTCCTTCGGCTCTGGCAGGCGGAAGAAGGTCCACACTGCACAAAGGGCACAAGTGCCAGCCCAGAAGAAACCAGTCTTGGCTCCCCAGCCCCAGGCCGTGGGGTTCATCATCTGGGGGGACAATACATTCGTGATGATGCCCATGATGTTGTACAGATTTCTGGCAAGGACCACTGTCTTGTTTCGCAAGCGCGTGGAGCTCAATTCGGAGACGAGCGAGTAGCAGACAGGCCCGACAGTGACGTTGTAGGTCAGGGTATAGAGAAGCAGCAGCGCAACGATGGCCGAGCTTGCACCGGCGTTTCCAGTTCCCATGATACCAGCCAGACCAATACCAAGGAGGAAGAGAGACATGCTGGCTTGGCCGTAGAAATACATTGTGCGTCGTCCGAACCAGCGCATCAGGAACCAGGAGCTGATGGTTCCGAACGCGCCAATACCATAACCTGCCAGAGTCATATTAAAAGCCTGGCTTTCGGGAATCCCGGCGTTCTTGTAGAAGTAGGTCGAGAAGCCGATAAAAGTAGACCCACAAAGGGTCTGGATAGCCCAGGTCATACAGACGATCTCAGTGCGGCGTCGGTTGACTGGACCTCTGAAAAGATCCTTGTATGAAGTTCCTTCTGTTACAGACTTTTCCATCTCATTGGTATGAATCATCATGGAGATATTGTTATCGATGTTGAACTTCGTGTCCGTCGTGTTTCGAGATGTAAGGCGGAGGAGAGAGCGTCTTGCTTGGTCATATCTGCCCTTGCGTACCAGCCAGTAGGGAGACTCGGGGGCGAGGAAGATGAGGAGGATGAGTGGGAGTGGCCACATCCACTGCAATGCAAATGGGATCTTGTATGACCATATCCCAAGCTTTTCCATGTGCTCAAGCATGCCCACCATAACACCGGCCGCTATGAGTTGACCAATCACCCAGCACAGATTGTTGTAAGTTGTAAGGTAAGCTCGGAGGTGGAGAGGGCAGACGTCAGCCGCGTAGGTCGTTGTAAGAGTCTGGAAGACTCCCCAAGGGATACCGATCAGGAACTCGCCGATGAGGAGCTGGACAAGAGATTCCGAGAAGAAGATGATAAAGATGAATGCAGCCACAAGAGTCATGGCACCCATGAGCGTCTTTCGATATCCATACTTCTCAGAGATAATACCGCTGACGAACAGGCCAGCGATCTCTCCCACGTAAATTGCATTGGACAGGCCGGCCTGCCAGGAAGCAGTGAGTTCGTAGCTTCCGTTCGGCAGCGGCTCGCCAAAGCGCTTCACGAAAGGTGGGAAGGCGTAGAGCTGATTTAACAGCGCCATGTCGAAGCCTTCCATGATGAGGCATGTTGACAGCCCGATGGACCAGAGGATCGCATTAGGGTAGGTCTTCAGAGACTTCCAAAGGCCCAGCTGGTGCTCGGCGTCCGTGGCCGCAGCAGCCTCTCGTGTGATAGAGTCCATGTTCAAGCTTCCGTCGACAGCTCCCGCCTTCTCTGTGTCGACCACAGCCGCTACGGGCGTGGCAGAGACGACGTTGGGCGTCATGGTGAGTCGTGCTGTGGGAGGCTTTGGAGACGATGGATCATCCGAGGACGATGTCCTGTTTGGGTTCAAATTGAGGGATGAAGATGTGATGATGGCGAGGCTGGTGACGTTCCATTCGAGGGAAAACCAGACATATTTATATTGAAATAGAATGAGGTAGCTGAATACTACGAGACATCTTGACGCATGCGAGCGGGAAAATGTCGCTCTGACTTCGGCCTACCCGTGGACTCTGGTGTGGGAGGCACAAGAGATGGCGCTTCGCGCCCAGAACAGCTAGGACCCGTGTGGGGAGGCTTTTGTGTGGAGGTGGACCTTGCCCCAGGTTTGCTTCTTCCCCGGATTTCATCTCTGGGGCCAGACAAGATTCGACCTTGGTCGGGCCGACGAGGAGTGGCCACAACCACGGCCGGGGATGCCAACATGCTAAAACAGCTTGGCGCGTGCAATGCTGAAGCTGAGCAGCGAGAACTTCCCCATGGGGTCAAGGCTGAAAAGGCTAATGGTTAGCCGAGAACTAGGCCCGATTGCTGGGGAGGGGCGTACCACATCCATGGACAGTCTACCCCTGGCAAACAAGGTTGGCGTGGCGAGTCGGCTATGCATGCCGATGCATACGCAAAGGTCTGACCATAGACTTTGGAAAACGTCCTTGTTGAGAAGTGGCAAGCGTGTGGCTACGTGGTTGACTAGGTGCCAACATGAAAATCGACGGGAGCTGATGTAGAGACATCCGAGAGAGAATTGTCATTGAAATCCGAATACAAGGTAAGGCACGTGACAAAACGTTCGTCATAGATATTGGCGGTTGTCATTGCAGCATGTCTCTAGAACAGAGGAGACCCCTGCAAACATTGGTATTTGTAGCTCCTTTGCACCACGTGGGTGAAGGCCCGCCGCAAGTGCTCGCTCGATTGCCTGGTGTGTAAAGGCTCATAGTGTTTAGACGTTGAATTTTGTCGTGGAATTCGACGATTGTAACACAATTGCATCCGGAACACATCTGATAATATCACGGCCCTTTTCTTCTTCTTTCTCCTTTTTTTTTTTTTTTTTTTTTTTTTTTTTTTTTGGAGGAGGCGGGGTTGGGGGAGCTCCTGTGGTAAGGCCGTCTATGTGCCATGGAAGAGCCTTGCAGAGGGATGATTTACCGACTCGGGAGCACTCGATACTTATCTGTATGCCGCAGGTATTTCTGGACTTGTGGATTTTGGCAAGTTGAGGTCTCCGTGGTTTTAGGGCCGATAGAAATATTCAGGCCGAAAGGGTCAGGGTCGGACCCATGTCCTCTGATAAGAATTTTGCTGTTGAACTTTTCACTTTTACATCAATTGAATCGTCGAGCTACTTCAATCCCATGAACAATTTCCAACGTGGAACTTCGCAAAACCCTTCCACAAACCAAAAAGAAAAGGGGGGAGGGGCAGGAGTGAGACGTTTGATAAGCTACAGTCTCATTCAAGCCGCCGTCATCTGACTCGTCATTTTCAGTTCTTCCTTGTGAATGGCAATGTCCATCACAGCCCTTCTGCAGCCTCCAGTAGATTGAGGTAGACCTCACTCATGGTAGGGAACGAAGGAACAGCGTGCGCAAGCCTATCCAGGGTTAGGCCGCCCACGATAGCCACTGTTGAGCCATGCAGTAGTTCTGCCACGCCATCTCCAACAAAAGTCGCCCCAAGAAGCTTGTTGCTCTCGTTATCGACGATCCATTGTGCCCATCCATCCTTGTACCCGTCCTGGTGTAACTTTGCTCCCAGGGTGGTCACCGGAGCAGTGACGACTCGAATCTTGTCGGCCAGTCCTGCCGTCTCGGCTTGGCTCCGGGTCAGGCCCACGCTCGCGACTGTAGGACTCGTGAAGATGACCTGTGGCTGTGCTAAAGTGTCATTCGTTGCGGAGACTCTAGACCAAGGAATCTTCCAACCTTGGTTGGCGATTTCGTTGGGCTGTGACCGGGCAATGATGGCGTTGGCGGCAATTCTGCCGTGATACTTGCACGAGTGAGACAACGGTGCCCTGCCGTTGACGTCCCCGAGGGCATAAAGCCAGGCTCCAGGGACTGATGGCACATCGAGAGACTCGCCCACGGGGATCGGTGACCCGTCAGTCTCTATCCCGAAGTTTTCGAGACCAATGCCGCTTGTCTTGGCCCTTCTGCCTGTTGCTGCCAGAATCTTGGTGACGCCTGGGATTGTGCAGCCATTTGACATCTGGACTGTCAGACAATCCTCAGTCTCCTCCGGCGTGACCGATTCCACTGTGGTGGACACATAGACGCGGACGCCTTGCGATTCGAGCCCTTCTCTTACGAGTCTCCCAGCTTCCTGATCGATCCTCGGGAGCAGCTCTGCTCCTCTGGTAACCAGACTCACCTGGGCTCCCAGAGAAGCATAAGCTGTGGCCATCTCCGTGCCAACTGCTCCGGCGCCCAGAACTAGCAAATGCTTCGGTACCTCGCTGGAAGATGTTGCCTGTCTTGGGCCCCACGGGTTGCTCTCCTTCAGCCCTGGCATGTTTGGAATAATTGGCTCACTACCGGTACAGATGGCTACGGCGTGTTTGGCTTCGAGCTCAGCTCTTTGGCCGTCCTCGTTGATGACGGCGACTTTCTTGACGCCTATGAGCTCCCCCTTGCCGCGAACGAGGGCAGCCCCACTATCCTCCACCATTGGAACCAGGGCTTGGCCATCATCCCAGGAGCCAGTGAACGCGTCTCGCCTCTTGAAGACCGTGCCTGCATCCAACGATGGTTTCTCGCGAAGCATCTCTCGAACGCCACCAACAGCTCTGGCTTCTGCCAGTGCTTCTTGTGGGCGTAGAAGAGCTTTGCTTGGAACACACGCCCAGAAGGGGCAGTCACCGCCCACGAGTTCCTCTTCGACTACGGAGTGTATATCGTCAGCATCAAAGCCCGAGATTGGTTGGATAAAGTGACGGCGTCAATAGAGAAGGTTCCTCGGCGGTCATTGAAAGAGGACAGACTTCTTGCCAGTGAATGGAGAAAGTAAAACCCAACCGTGGTCAACTTACTGATGATAGCTGTGAGTCCAGCTTTGATAATACGAGCGGCCAGGACACGTCCTGCCCAACCCGAGCCAATACAGATTACATCGAATATTGTTCGATGTAGTTGTGACAGGAGATGATCCTGCGGATGAAGGCTGATCATATCGTAGGAAGGCATTTTGTCGGGTAATTAGGCCACCCGCAGTGATCTGTCCGTAATGCTTGGATGTTGATAGGTTCGGGGTTTATAAGTCCCTCTTCAAAAAGTGAGAAGTCGCATTGAGAGACTTTATATGCCTCAAGGGGCGTTGCAACCTCCCCCTCATCGTTGAATCCACATAGCGTTGTCAAGTTTCCTCTGGATGAAAGGAATTTTTCGTGGTACCATTCTGCCCTATCATGTCACGCATGGCATGCTATGTCCCTCGAATCTTTACTAACACTTACTTCCTATTCAGGATACATTGATTTCTCATACTCATCCTGCAGCGACGCTGCGCTAGACGATCGACCAACCGACGCGCCAATCCCATGGTACACAGGCACTTCTGCCCACAATCACAGTGTTAACCTCGCTATTTTTCAAGGATGTTCCTTGGGACGTGTAGAAGGATACGAGGCATTGAGTGGACCATTTTCGGCTCTCCGCATCAATTTCGCCCTACAGACGCTAATGCATGTTGATTATACGCCCTTCAAGCCATCCCGCGAAACCCATGCGAAGTGACGCCCCATCGGCTTTTTACAACCTGTTCCAGCAATATCTTCCACTTGTGTCCTCTTTTGGAAATGAGATGGGGTGGAGCCCTACCTGTAAAAAGTCCATTCCACCTATCCCATCTACACTCGCGACTAATACCCGCCAAGCAATGAAAGATGTCTGTGTCCATGGATACTGCTGGAGTGTCCATCGAGGGGTGCGAGACCAATGCTATTGAAACGCCGAATGACTCCAAAGATAAATGTCTAGGCGCAGAGCCAAGTCTCATGCCATTCGTCAGGCTCTGCTCAAGAAGCGAGAGCTGCAAAGTCGAAATATGCATCCAGCCGCTGCAGAAAGTGCCGGAGATCAAGATGCTCATGTCACAGCATCTTCGCCCCTGCTGCCATACTTCCAATCAACTCCGTCTGCTGGGTCACTTGATCCATTCATGAGCCTCGCTGCAGACTCACATAGGCTGCAAGAGTTACTTTCTCTCCGTAGGTCCCAGCACGTTGATAGAACGATTACCAACCACATGTGAAAGTGTTGGTAGGTCTCTCGTATGTATGATAATCGTATGGGAAGCAATCGTGTATTGGTATTATTCTATCTAAGTTCTGAGAGGCTACGTACCCTGGAGGGGATAATTAAAGTAGCCTTTTAAGTAACAAGGGTTATACTTATTAATACTTATAATTTTTCTCTTCTTTTAATAAGTATATATAATCCTTATTATAATTAACCTTAAAATTATAATTTATTGCATATTAAGTATATATAATTTTCATTATAAGAAAGCATTGCTAAAAAGGCTTAAAATTATAACTTATAAGTTTTAAAGTAAGTCTTAGCAACCCTTACCATTATATTACTCTTTAAACTTATAATCTTTATTATTATACCATTCCTTAAACATTATACCCATTATTCTTAATACTTAGCTTTTAAGGTTGCTTTTTTACGGAAATTATTAACTTTTATGTAAGGGTCTTAGTTTTAAATTTTTTTTTTATAGAGGAAGTTAATATTTATAAAGCTAATGCTAAACCCTTTAGCTTATATTTATTTTTATTACATACCTTTATAATATAAACATTATTATTTTCATCCTTACTTTTATTATTAAAATATACTTAATATTGCTTTAAATTATTTTCCTTTAATTACTTTTTATTTTCTTAAAATTAAGCGTTATAAGCAGCTTAATTATTCATTAAATCCTTCTTTTGCTTTTTATTATTCTTTTTAATTTCCTTAATAGTTATCTTTTGCTTAAATTGCTTAGGCAGTAATATATATTTCTTAATAAGTTTCTTTATATATAAGTCTTGTATACGCTTATTAATAATTTAATGCAAAAAGTTTTAAAGCTAGATTAGCATAGCAATTTAATCCTTTAATAGCTAAATTTTTTTAATTTAATATATATAAAAAATACTTAAGATTAAAACTTTTATTAAGTTGTTTATTGCAAAAATTGCAATAATTTAGTATTTAAGATAATAATTACCTTAATAGTTCTTATTGTTAAGAATATTATGTAATCTTGTATTAAGAGTTTTAATGCTTTTAACATAAATATATAGCTTTTTAACTATATTATTAAAAAATATTTACTTATTTTAATATTAAAAGTTATTAATAATTTAAATAATAGCTATTATAATAGCGTTATTTAAGAAAAGTATTTTAGCTTAGATTATAGCTATGGCCTTTAGCTTATTAATTTTAATAATTTCGCAAGAATTAACCTTAATAAGCAGCTTGCTTTTTTTAATGCTTAGCATAAAAGTAAAGTTAAAGGCAATCTTTGCAATCTTTATTAAGGTTTTATTAGCTTAGTTTTGATTATCTTTATTATTAGTAATAATTAGATTATTATTAATATTAAGTGGATAAAAGTTATTATTATTAATATTTTTATTAATATTTATTAAATAAGTAAGCAGATAAGAGTTATTATTATTAATATCCTTATTAATATTTATTAAATAAGCGTTATTAGCAATAACCTTGCTATAGGAATTAGCAAGATTAATAAGCTTATTTTTATCTTTATTAATTAAGGTAATTTTAACCCTTTTTATAGCCTTAATAATAATTTTAATCTTTATCTTATTGTTTAATAGGAATATAATTATAATGTTTATTTTGTTAGTTAAGGTTATAGTTGTAATATTTATAGGGAAATCTTGATTTTAATTAAGGGTTGCGGTAAGGCTACCTTTAATGCTAGCTATATTAATGGTAGCCATGGTAATGGTTATATTAGGTATATTCTTAGCATAAGAAGTAAATGCAATATTTACTAAATAATTTTACTTATTATTATCATTCTTATAAAGCATGTTAATAAAAGTATTAAATAACTTTTATAAGTTATTATTAATATTTTTTATTATAATGAAAAGGAAAAAGATTTTATAAGAATTTAGTAATTAAAATAAATATTTATAATATAAAACTTTATAATTATTATATAATAATTATTAATTTATTTTTTAATTATAAGAGAAATTAATAAGTTATAAATAAATTTAATAAAAATTGGTTTTAATGTTTTATTAATAAATAATAGTAAAAGGTAATAATAATAATAAGGTTAATTTTAAAATAATAATTATTAATAATATTAATAATTATAAGGTTATCCTTATATAAAATAAGGTATTAAAAAGGTTTTAATTAAAATATAAAAGATTAAAGTTTATATTAAAGGTTTAAGTTTAAAAGGTATAAGGTTTTGCAATTAGCGGCAGTGAAATTAAAAGGAAAAGGGTGCTAGCGGTAAGTTGCTCCTTTTTTAATAAGAAAGGGCTATTTTAAGTTTCTTAATTAACCTATTTATTTATATATAAAGCTTATTATTATTAATAAGCTTTTATAATATAATATTTAGAGTTGGTTTTATTATTGCGTTAATAGGGTTATTTTTCTTATTTATTCACCTTACTTTAGCAATCTTTCTTATCTTATATAATTTTTATAATAATATAATATTAATTATAAAGCGCTTTTTTTTTATTATTTTTAGCTTTATAAGGCATTTATATAAGCTATATAAGTTTATATAAATAATTAAAAGTATGTTTAGTAATGAGAGTTATTTCATAGCCATTTTAATTATTATGGCTAGGGAGATTTTAATATTTACTTTATTTATTATGCTATAAATTTTGCTTATTAGCATGCTTTAAATAATATATTTATACTTTATTAATAATTAATAAAAAATATTACCTATTATTATAAATCCCTTGATTTTCTTATAAGTTTTATTTGCAAGAATAATAATATATTTAAGTTAAAATGTTAAGTCTTGATTATTTGCAAATAATTTATTTATAAATATAAAAAGTTTTGCTATTTTAAGATTTAAGGGTATATACTTAATTCCTTATATAGCGTTATTTATTTACTATAATAATTGCATATTTAGGTTTTTATAATTTTCTATCTTTAAGTTTTATACTTATGCAGCTATTAAAAGATTATATAAAGCTTTTAATTAGCAAATTAAAGCTATATATGCTTCGTAGGCTCTTTGTTTAAAGTATCTTTAAGAAGCGTTTTTAATTATTGTATTAATAAAGGTAAGTTTATCAGCCTATCCCTTTTATTAAGTAGTAATTAAGCTAATAATATCTATAGTTATGCAAGCCTTATTATAATTTATTAAATTTTTAAGTATTAGCTTTTATTTTAATTTTCCTTGCAATTTTACAACTTTTATCTTAATTTCCTCTTTATTTTAAAATTTTAATATAGATAAAATTAATATATTATTTATTTATATGCCTATTATCCTAAAGAATTATATAGGCTTTATAATTATTAAGTAAGGATTATATATAAAGCAATTTATCTTAAGCTTTTATTAATAATATCTTTAATATATATTAAACTAGTAAATGTTAAATTTTGCTATGCTATATAAGGATTAAATAATATAAATAATTATGCCTAAAGAGTATTTATTTTTTAATTTTTTTAATAGCTTTGCAAGGATTATTCTATGTAATTTAAACTTTACTTAAGGATAGGCTTAAGTAATAT